CAGCAAAAAGCCTTGTAAAGCATCTTACCCTTAATCATTTGCTAAGCCATTGTCCACCTTCTATCCAGAATGTTTTTTCTAAAATGCATCAGCAGAAAAGTGATCAGCAGCACTTTTCTGTTTAAAACCAAAAAGCTATCCAAAGCCTTTTGAAAGAATTCTACAGTTACCTCAACAGCTTCATCTCTCTTTACTGTCCTTCCTATATCCTGTCCCCAAACATTTTCCCCCATATCTCTTAAACTTCATAGTACTCAGTGCCTTTTTATTAGGTCTCAAATTGTGTGACATTTTCTCTTCTTGTACCCTTAGACTTCCCACTTTCCCACCCTCAAGGTTTGCTAGCTGCCCCTCCAGGGTGCTTGATTTTACCATAGCACACTGTTTTAATTTCTGGTTGAGTTGTGTGTAAACTCTTCCTGCCCTCACTAGACTGTGAGCTTTTGGAAGCAGAGATACTGTCTTGTTTATCCAAGGACCTAGCACAGTGCCTGAAATTTGTCATTACTTACTTAATATGTCTTTGTTGACTAATTGAAAACATTTCATAGACTTCTCATCACCTCCGCAATGAATTTTCATGGTATAAAACAATTTTAATTATTATTTTTTGCATGTACTTGTCCAGATCTCCCAACACCATTTATTGAAAGGGCTGTTTTTACTCCGTTTTGTGTTCCTGCTTTTTTTTGTCAAATATTGATTGACAAAAGTGACATGAGTTTATTACTGGGCTCTCTATTCTGTTCCATTCATTTATGTGTCTGTTCTTATGCCATTACCAGACTGTTTTGAGCATACTGGCCTTGTAATATAGTTTGGTGTCAAGTATTGTGATCCCTTCTACTTTGTTCTTCTTTCTCAAAATTGCCGAGGCTCTTTGGGGTCATTTATGGTTCCATATAAATTTTTGAAATATTTGTTCTACATTGGTGAAATGTCATTGGTATTTTAATAGGGATTGTGTTGAATCTATAGATTGCTTTGGGTAGTATGGACATTTTAATGATGTTAATTCTTCCAGTCCAATCCATGAACATGGTATGTGCTTCCAATCATGTGTCTTCCTTAATTTCTTTCTTCAGTGTTTTCTTCAGTGTTATGTAGTTTTCTTTGTATAGGTCTTTTACCTCCTTGTATTTTGTTTTACTTCCTTCTTTCCAATTTGGATGCCTTTTATTTCTTTTTCTTACCTGATCTCTGTGACTAGAACTTCCAGTACTATGTTGAATAAAAGTAGTGAAAACGGACATAATTGTCTTGTTCCTAATCTTATGGGAAAAGCTTTTAGTTTTTGCCCATTGAGTATGCAGCCTTTATTATGTTGAGGTATGCTCCCTTTGCTGAGTGTTTTTACCATAACTGGGTGCTGTACTTAATCAAATGCTTTTTCAGCATCTATTGCTATGATCACGTGGTTTTCATCTTTCATTTTGTTTATGTGATGTATTACATTTATTGATTTGCATATATTGTACCATCCTTGTATCCCTGGGATGAATGCCACTTGATCATGGTGTATGATCTTTTTAGTATATTGCTGGATCCAATTTGTCAATATTTTGTTGAGGATCTATGTTTATCAGCAATATTAGCCTGTAGTTTTCTTTCTTTGTTGTGTCTTTATCTGGTTTTGGAATTAGGATAATACTAGCCTCATAAAAAGAGTTCAAGAGTCTTCCCTTTCCTCGGATTTTTTGGAATAGTTTGAGAAGCATCAGGGTTAGCTCTTCCCTAAATATCTGGTAAAATTCTCCTGTAAAGCCATCTAGACCAAGGTTTTTGTGTGCTGGAAGCTTTTTGATTACTGCTTCAATTCCACTAGCTGTCATCGGTCTATTCAGGCTTTCTGCTTCTTCTTGACTCATGGGCACAGAACGAGGTGGGGACTAACTGTGGGAGCGGGGCAGGGGGCAGAGGAGAGCAACAGGGAAATATGTGGGACAACTGTAACTGAACAACAATAATAAAATAAAAATTTTAATTATTTGTTTTTCGTATACATCTTTAAATTCATTTCCCACCACTTTTGGCTTCATGACCCTATACTCCATTCATTTCAGCTGTGTGTGTGTTTATCAGTAGAGTGTCTTTTAATATTTTTATACAACGTCAAGGGGAATAGGTTCCAGCAGCCCAGGCCCTTTTCCATTGGTTCTCACAAAGTGTGCATCCCTGGGTGGAGCCAGCTGATGCCTCAGTTGAACCCAGGTGCCTTTTTCTTTTTCTTCCTTCTTTTTCTGATTATTTTCCTTCACACATTTCAGGAAACTCTCTCGGTTCTTAGAGTGCTTAATATGCTCAATATGTGCATTAATTCTTTTGGCAAGAATCTTGCCCTTGTTTTGTGCACAGTGTCCACTGCTGGATGACATTATAGACTCTTCCAGTTTTGCCATGGGGACATTTGTGGGCATTCCTTTCTGAACAGTGCCAGTTCTCTTGATGTCTGTAATACCACCTTTCTTATAGATTCCCATGTACATGGCCAAAGGAGCAACTCTATGTTTTCTAAAAGACTTAGAGAATATATGATAGGTGTCTCTCCTCTTTCCCTTTGTGTTAGTCATTTTGGCGAATTAACTGGAAGATGCATTTCTAGCTGAAAAAGCTATCTGTTTTTAATGAGTAAACAATACTGTTAATATTTTCACGCTTTTATAAATCCTCTTCCTTTGACCCGGAGTTTCCTCTCTCTCCTTCTCTCTTGGCAAACTTTTCTCATTCTTTGAAACCGCTCTAATTCATCCAGCTTCGTTTGATCACTTTTCATCCTTCAGGATATAATATGTACATATTTCCTTTATAAAATTTATCACAACATATTGTAATTCTTTGGTTTTATTTTGATCTTCCCTAGTGGACTGAATTCCAATAAGGTCTGTGTCTTTGTCATTATATCTGTGACACCTAGTGTTTTATTACATTAAAGGTAATAAAAATGTTTGGTGAAATATGAAAGACTAACTATGTAAGAAAAGTTATTTTGGTCCATGGGATAAAAGAGTTTTTAAAATCTGATAGCTTAGTGTTATAACTGGTGATTTAAATTGAATTCTGGTGGTACACTTTCTATGTGTAATTGCCTGTGAGCCTCCTAGATTTATACATCAAAAGACTAACAAGATTGAATTTAATGAGAATCTAAATGACTATGAATATTATGGGTGTAGTGTTTTTATGGGAAGAAATAATATCCCAAGCAGACCATAGAAATCAGGAAATGGTAATATAACTTAATATTATTGTTTTTTTAATATTTATAATACTTCTGTGTAGTTGCAAGGTATCATATTTTAGAATTATTTATATTGAATATAAATCTGCTATAGTCAGATTATTTTCTGACTAAATATAAATCAATTGAAAAATAATACATTTTGAAGAAATAATATGTTGTTCATATTTTGATTAAAATATATTTTGTTTAAAATATATCACATTTATTACATTTTGTAAAAAGCTCAGTTTATATAATCTTAAAAATAATTGATACTGTATTACTGGGAAATAATCCAGGGTGGGGCAAAAGTAGGTTTACAGCTGTTCATGTGGAAAATAATACGATAAAAAATTTAATACAAGAATAAATTGTTTTGTGTACTCAACACTGTTTTGTGTACTGAACACTACTTTTGCCCCACCCTATATTTAATTCTAGCATTAAGTCAGATATTTCTATCTGTAATAATCACAATATGTTATTCTTGGTTTTTTATAAGTGTGGAGCTGCTTGTATTTTTCTCTATATTTAGAGACATAATAAAATATATTTTTTCTACCCATTTTTAAATACTTAATGAAGGGTATTTTGGTATTTAATTTGACATTTGTCAATTTTTGTGACAGAGCAATAGTTTTATTTTGTTCATTGTTAAAAAAATTAATTATAGCTGAAGACCTCTAGGGAATTATAAAGAAACTTGCTTAAATTAAAACTGTTTAGTGCTTATATACTGTCATTTTTTTCAAATACTTCTTAACTGTCAAGTTTAGATTGTTTTGGAATTCGCAGGCATGTTGCTAAAACTTAAGGAAGCTGTAGTTGAAGGTGATATTTAAAGTTTCCTTTATTTTCAAGCTAATGATGGGGAAAACAGTTTTTAAATTTTATTAAAATTAATTTGGCTAATTTTTCCCTTGAATACTAAAAAGTGGAAATAACTATCATCTATGTATGTATTTGTGTATGTATGATTTCAGAAAGAAATTGTTTTATGAGAGAGAGTTAATATTCTATAAATGCTGTGGGTTTAGAGTCCCCTCTTCAGCATTAATATGAAGCTCAGTTTATCCTTGTTTCTGACATTGTGTCTGTGGTGGCAGAAATTACACATAAATATTAGATTGAACATTTTTAGAAAGTTAAATACTTACACAATTCTTTGTTAAGCAGTGATTTTATGTATATACATATATGTGTGTATTGTGTCAGTAATTTCTTGCTTTTTGTCTTGTTTTTGGCCATGTTGTTTTCTTACTTGTATGACAGAATGTAGTTAATTCATTAACATTTATCTTGGTTTTGTTGCAAGACTGATATGGATATTAAATCTTGAAGACCTTGTTTAAATTTAATCATGGATTTAAAATAGTAGTTGGTTTTGGTATTTTAAATAGGAAAGATAGTTATTTTTAATGAACATGTAGTTTACTAAGTTTGAATATATATGATGTTTAAAATAGTTGTAGGATAAAATTATTCTAATTGAATTTTCTCATTATTTACTTGATAATTTTATACATATAAAAGATAGAATTGGTACTATATAAACTATTAAGATATTAAAAATATTAAGATATTAAAACTCATGTGTGGAATGGTGAATAGGTTATGGTTGGGGGTGATGGAGGTTAATGTGGGGGAATTGGGACAAAAGTATAATGTCCAAAACAGTAAAGAATTAATTTCCATGCTTTTTAGTTTGAATTATTTTTGTTCATTGTAGTGTTTTCATTTTCTGAGCTTTTCTATGCACATACAAAATGTTTCTCCTCAGGCCCCCTTCTATTTGCTGGTCCTATTTTTATGAACCATCGAGAGCAGGCTCTAGCCAGACTCAGATCCCATCCAGCACAGCTAAAGCATAAACGGGACAAGCACAAAGGTATTTGGTCTTCCTTATCAACTAGGCGGGAACTTTCCCAATTTCTTCCATTCATTTGAATTTTGTCTCTGGGAAAATGCACAAACCTAATTCTTCTCCTTTGCTTCTATCATTATCATTAGCCTGAGGAGAAAGAACATGCTGAAAGTTGTACTGTTTGTTGATGACTATCCGTCTTACTTCCCTTTTTTGGTTAACTTTCATTAAGATATTTTACAGTGTATCTTTTTCTTTTCCATTTCTTTTCAAATTTTATACAGTTAAGAGAAGGTAGAAAAAGTAATTATTGCTTTCTGTTTTTGTCCTTTGTTATCTGTTCTTAGATGACTGTCATCTGGCATTTTATGCTTCTTAAATTGTTAAATGCTATTTATTTGCTTTAGAATTAATGAAAGTACTCAGTTCATTGTATAATGTAATGATGAATTGACTGCTGTTACACTTTTCCATTGTTTTAATATTAAAGTTTATATATACAACACACATGCATTATTTGATTTTTGAGGGTTAAATAGTGATTAGGTGTAAGCAGTCCATGGGTTGTGTAGACCTACTCTAGTCGAAAGAAAATGACAGAGGTCTAAAAAGTCTGTGAATGATAAGGAATCCATTCATGCATAGTTCTTTGAGGTATCAGAGTTTATATTAATTAAAAATATGCTTAAAGCAAGCTTATTTACTTTTAAACCACAGATTATAGATCAACTAAGACCAGGAAAGAGTTTAATTCAGAGAATGTATACATTTATATGTAGATTCTTTCTTGAATCCTACTAGCATGTGAACAAGGGGTTCTTTAAGTAGTGTAATTTACCATTGCTGTTTTCTTAAATGCCTAAGATAAATACTGCCAAATAGAATAGAAGGTTTTAAAATCACCTATTTCAATAGTCAGATTAATTTGTTTTGTGCCTTATTTTTTTTTGCTGTAAAACTGTTATAGACTAATTTTATTTTTAAACTTTCACATACAGTATATTACAATCAATTTTATTTTTATTTGCTTCTCACTTTATCAATCTGTCCCTCAAAGCAAAAACACAAACAAAGCAGACAAAACCCATTTTTAGTATAAGCAGAAGTAGAGCACTACTTAAGATACATTCTGCAGAACTAAAGATTCCAAGTATTTTAAATCTAATGTGAGTAACCATAGGAAAATTTGTGATTGCTTTATTTACTGAGTGCTTTAACAATACCATAAATATTTAATGTAAGGAATGGTATTTTGGGTATGCTGTGTAAATTATTTTAGTTATTGTTAGACTCTCTGATCTCATATTTTCAACTGTGCCCCTATTAGAACAGATATTCTTAGTGTCATTTTCCCCCACAATTATACAAAAGTGAAGTTTTTTCCTAATATTTTACCTGATGTTAAATATTTACATTACATGGAGTAGTTTAAAACTTTTTGAACTCTATGTTAGTATCTTGTGGACAAACATCTTCATTTTTTCCAAAAATTTAAAATGAAATGCAAATGGAGACTAAAGGTATAAATTTAAAACAGACTTTTTGTAATGTCACATTGATTAGCTACAGAAATTACTCGATGATAGCTAGCCTAACTTCCATCTTTTCTGCCACAGGGTTATTTTATAACAAGATTTTTGTATTTTTGTAGCACTTTTTGGAAGGACTTTTTTTTTGTAGTATTACAGGTTAGGGCCATATTTTTAAATATCAGATTTTATGATTTTGAGCGACAGTTTCATCTCTTTACCACCAAAATTTAAATTTAAAGTATAAGTAACGGTGTTCTATTTTATATAAAGATTATTAACTTTCCACTTACTAACTCCTGTGTACCCACAGATTCTCTCTCCCTTGCCCTCATTGCACTCGCTGTTCCTGTCATTCAGTCATCTCACCATTCACACTGCTTTTTACTGTTGCTACATATTGTCAGTCTTTTAATACATATTTTTTTCATATATTTTCTCTCTTTTTTCTTATCCTATTTGTCTTCCAGTGAGGAATTCACTATGTTAATTGCTGTATTTTGTCTTATGTTGTTATGTCGGTGGTATAAATTGTAGGATGATAATAGCTAGAATTTTCTAGGTTGATATTTTTTTTTTGGTTGGGGTGTGTGGAGGGTAAGACTATGGATTTATTGTTAACAGGAGTGAGTTTTAAGATGGAAAATTGGAGAACTGACTGATTGGAGAGAATTCAGGAGAGGTCACAAATCCATCCTATCCAGGCAAAGTTTTGACTAGAGAAAATAATAGAGTATTTAAGGCTGAATCAATAAGCATAACATATAGTCCATATAAACATATACAGTAGTAACTTATTTTTAAAATGTAACCATAGACTGTATTTCAAACAGATATTGGGGTTAATATTTGTTTCAGCTGTTCACACAGTGCCTTGCACAGAAAAAAGTTTTTTTTTTTTTAAAGAAAAGTTTTTTAAAAATATTTTATTTATTTATTTTTAGGGAGGGAAGGAGAGGGGGGGAGAGAGAGAGAGAGAGAGAGAGAGAGAGAGAGAGAGAGAGAGAGAGAAACATCAATGTGTGGTTGCTGGGGGTTATGGCCTGCCACCCAGGAATGTACCCTGGCTGGGAATCGAACCTGGGACACTTTGGTTCCCAGCCCGCGCTCAATACACTGAGCTACGCCAGCCAGGGCTTAAAAGATTTTAATATAGTATTCCTAGTTAGGAACATTTTGCATTTGTTCTGGAGGTAGTCTTTGAAATTTCTGTCTTGAAGTGAATGATGTGAAAATTGAGAGACACACTGATAAACATCTGTGTGCATTTTACATGTTTTTTGTTTGGAAGGGGTGTGGTATAATGTAAATGTTTTTGCCTTTGGAATTAGGCCTCATCTTTAATCATAAATTTGTCATTTACTAGAACCTCATGGCCATTCATAAATTAGTTTTCTTATTTTAAAAACAAGAATGATAATTTTTGACTGATTATGTTGGTATGAAGATCCAATTAATATGTAGATATGGGCATATACAAATACATATATATTTTTTTACAGATAGAAATCATGAATACTTTAATATTTTGAATTGAATTCTTTTTTAGAATTATCCTAAAGGTACAAAATTTAAGGTATATTAAATGTGTAATTAGTTTTATAATTTCAGCCATTTGGTGATGGTAAAATACACGAGCCTTATTTTTGATCAAACCCCAAAACTGCTCCACCATTTATTACTTTGGACTGGTTATTTAATTTCTCTAAGCCTTGGTTTTTCCAACTGCAAAATGCAATAACGGTACCTGTGTCATCAGATTATTGTATTGATTAAAGTAAGTAACAATTTTGCATATTGATTGAGCACTTTTCTGACATTATTTTACTTAATCTTCATAAGAGCCTTGTGAGGTAATGTACTATTATTGCTATTTAATAGATGGGAAAGCTAAGACTTACAAAGTCCAGATGTCATACAACTCTCAAATAGTAGAACCAGGAATCCAATCCAAGTCTCTTAGGTGTTCAAGCCCGAACACACTTATCCTGTTATATTATTTAAATTTTCACAGTGTTTAGCAGATAGTCAAGTGTTTAGTGAAAGTACCTACTACTTTGCTGTTTAATTTTAATGATGTTGCTCAAAGTACTCACTGTGTTCTATGATATATTTCATGATATACATGACCATAAGGTTACCCAAAAATGTAGATTTAAAGAAAAATTAAGTTAAAGTCTTTTAGATACTGAATCATCTCTGTGTGCACACAAATATGTGTAAATAATGTATATATACACTCAAAATTTTGGTACATATCTGTCAAAACTTTATAGCTATTATAGTTTCAATGTCACATGATGTATGTATGAACATACTTATATCAGGGAAAATATAGATATATTCATACCTGAATGGCTGCTTATAAGAATATTCAGACCAACTAGTTTTCCTGCAAATGTGAGATTAATTTTATTGTTGCTTATTAACACTTTACTGAATAGTGACCATGACCAGAATTAATGTTCTTGAATTTCACTTGGAATTTACGCTAAATTTTTGGCTACTTAATGGGTACCAGTTTTCCTTGATAAACTTTTAGAAATTTCTAAATTGTTAGAATTGTATTTGATTTTTTCACTGACATCAAATACAGATACAGGTTCTGTTTTGTTTTTTTAATTCTGCCACTGCTGCTGATAATCATAAAAATCTCATCCCTACTTTTTTATTTATATTAGCAATATTTTCATCATCTGTAATAATTGAGAATTATTTTGTATGGATACTGGTTTGTTTAGATTAACTTGAACAAAATGTTTTTAGTATTATTTTTAACTTTAAATACTAGCTGCTATTCTTTTGATCACTGTGGTATTAATCAGTAAATTACTGAGCTTTATTATTTTTTTCTCTTTCCCTGATGCTATGTCTCTATTGTGGGATTTGTATCTATATTTAATCTCTGATACAGAGAGAGGGCAATGCTAAATAAATTCAGAGGTAAAAGATTATAAGTAGGCATTAATCCACTTACATAAGGTGGAATGATACTTGTAATGTTGAATTTACTTAAGTTTGGAAAATTTGTGTTTATTTTAAATCAGATTTGGTTTTAATAATTAGATGTTTTTACCAGTGGAGATAAAGTTGTGAAATTTCTACATCTTTCATCTTATTTAAATAGTCTTTGGAAGCTACCTTACTTCTTTTTGTATAGGCACATGTTTATGTTTAACCATTCCATTGTCTTTCCAAGTTGAGGAGTCTTTGAATAACAGTATATTTTGTTTTGGATGGAGTGAAACTAAATGTTGTAATTTCTTTTTGTAGCCCATCCGTTCTTGGCAAACCCACATTAGATAATTTAGCAAAAGTGGAATCATATTCTTTATCCTATCATACATAGTAAAACCTCTCACTAATTCAGAATTTATGATATTTCAGATGCAGTATTTGTGATCTTTTTGAATTAAAAATTCAAAGTAATTTCTTCCTCTGAATTTTCAGGGTCATTCTTATAAGGGGAAACCTGTCTAAAATCACTAGCTTTTCAAAGGCTCAAGAAATGAAGGATTTCTTCAACGTGCCTTCAACCTCTGGGTCAAGCAATTAATTCTTGTATGTTAAAGGACTTTTATGTTTTTGGTACATTTTTATGTAATATAGGCCTATTTTGAATTATAATGTAGGTAACCACATTTTATTAAGTGTAGCATTTAGTTTAATCTGTAATCTGTACTGCTTGAAGGTAATAAAACTGAATTTTTACTTAAATGTCCTATGATTGAGACCTTTTCAGTAAGTCATATAGGCCAACCTATTCTGTTATTCCGAATTAGTGAGGTTTTACTGTCCTAGTAAACAAGCTTAAAGCTTTTTAAAATGATAATCATTTTGTTACAGAAAGGCATAATTTAGGCCAGTTTTGTCTTACCTGGATATTACTAAAGGTTAGATAAAAACAAAGGATAATGTGAATATGAAATGATTTGATGTTACTCTGTTTAGCATTCTAAAATGAGAAACGAAAATACAGAATTAAAAATGTGTGTCTGTAGATCACGCTTGTACCTGCATATTATACACACTTGTTTAGAGTTGCAATGCCAGAAGAGAATGGTTTAGACTAGTTACCTGTTGACATTTCTTCTGTGTGCAAGGAATATGAATCTTGAAGATATAAAGGTCATATTTTAGTGATATGTAGTTTTACATGAAGAAAAATAAGTTGACTCTCTTACACATTCCAAATTAACGATTTTATATTCTGGAGTGTGTTTTTTTAATTTTATGGTTAGAATGCTAGGCAGGATAGTTAGTCTGATGTAGAAATCAGGGAAGGCTTAAGGCAGACTTAGGAGGAAGTTGCCAGAAGGGAGGAGGAAAAAGGGAATGAAAGAGAAAGGTTTGGTTGAAAGCAGTTAGTGGTTGGGGGCCGGAAGGACCACAAAGCAGAGTGGCTGAGGGGAAAGGTGAGCCAGGAAAGATGAATGAGAGTAAGCCATTGAACTACCGTATGTTGGATAAAGCTATTTTGTGTTTATAAATTTTTAAAACTTTGAATTTAGTGATACTGATGGACAGTGTAGCCTTTCTGAGATTGGGAAAGATAAGTCATTTGTAAGACAACTAGGAATTTTTTTAATGATTAGTACTAACAGTTTCACTAAGTATAAAATAATTGTTAACTGACTGCATGCAGTTATTTTTTGTGCAAACTAAATTTTCCCATATAAATTATTACATTTAGAATTATTTACATAACTTAATGACCTATTTATACTACATAACTGATTAGATTAATAGACTTTATTCATTACTAGATCTCTGTTTTATTGATTTAGCGATATTTGCAAACAGAAGTGTATAGTACTATATCTTTTCAAAATTGCTTCTTTGCAGGTAGATTCTTGATCTATCACTTCTAACAGTTGCAGATTCTTCCTGCTTGTTCCTTTTAACATTTTTCTCTTGTTCTTCCATAGTAAACTGATTTAAAATTTTACTTTGAAGATGAATAATGGCTTAATTACAAATTATAACACTTACAGATGGAAGTGGAGAACGGGGAGAAAAGGATGCAAGCAAAATCACAACATATCCTCCAGGCTCTGTGCGGTTTGATTGTGAGCTCCGGGCAGTGCAAGTCAGCTGTGGATTTCACCATTCAGGTAGCAGCGGCACTTTAGGGTATAACTGCATTTTTACAATTGTGCAAAATCAGTTATTTGTTAGCATAGACAAGTGTAGTCTGCTAACTGTGTGTTAAAAGCTATAGTGTGGCAATACCTCTCAAATATAAAAAAAACTGTATTTATTACAGAGTTTCTTTAAAAGAACTGTGGCATGATGGAGTAGTTATTTACTTGTCGAGAGATCTGACTTCTAGTCTATCTTCTGTTGGATTTATATTATAATTTAATTGAGAAAATTCCTGAAGATGAAATAATTTCTGGAATTCTTTTGGACTCTAAAATTCTGTGATTTTTATAATCTAGTCCCTGGTTTTGTTACTGTTCAGGTAGACATATACATCAACATATTTTTTTTATTTTTTAAATATAAAAAATATTTAAATTTTTAGTAAATTATTGCATTTAGGCTCTGTAACTTGGGTTGTAATAATCAACCTTTATAAAAATAAACCTGTTAAGATTTTTTGATGCTGAATATATTTCCTTATTTGATAAGTATTGACAGATATTCAAAGCTCTGACATTTTATTAATGTTGTACATAATTGTAGATAGCTTAAATCTATCTGCTACCTATATAATTACCTTAGATAGGAGAGAACAATACTTTATATGTAGTTATCATTAAAAAAAGTTTACGGTTGACCCAAACCAGTGTTTTATTAATGTTATTAAATGGCACTTATAAAAATTTTTGAAGTATGTATTATGAGAAACATTATGCATTTTTATAACCTACAAAAATGTGCTAAAGAACTAAAATTATATTTTTCATTAAATATAAATGTGTGCTTCAATTACCTATTTTAATGGCTCTATAAATTTTAAATAGTGAAAATTACACTGTTCATAGTATAGTGTGATAGAAATATAAAATGCATATAATGAAATAATGAAGTGCTTTATTTTGGCTTCAGTGGTTTTAATGGAGAACGGAGATGTCTATACATTTGGCTACGGGCAGCATGGGCAGCTAGGACATGGAGATGTCAATTCCAGGTACTCTGACTCACTGTTTGAAGACATTGAGTTTGTTTTTTTCTTTTTCTTTCTTTTTCCTTTTCTTCTTTTTTCCCTAAATATATATTTCTATACTAGAAATAGTATTTATACCACTATTTTACAGAGTGTGCCTGTAAATTATAGGTGGTTCTTGATTTTATGGTTGAGTGCCTTTGTGGGGATAGATTTGTAGTTTCAGTAGAAAAGCTTATTTACATTTTATGAATTTAAAATATGATTGTGATTATCATAAAAATCCTACTATATTCTTCTTTAAAATTTTGCTTTAAAGATTTTGTTTATTTTTAGAGAGATAGGGGAGGGAGGGAGAGAGAAACATCTGTGTCAGAAACATTGATGAGTTGCTTCTTGCACAGCCCCAATTGGGGACCTGGCCCGCAACCCAGGTGTGTGCTCTGACTGGGAATTGAACTGGTGGCCTTTTGGTTCATAGGCTACCACTCAGTCCACTGAGCCACACCTGTCAGAGCCCTACTATATTCTTAATAATAATTACCTTTTTAAAGGTTGCTCATAGCAATAGAAAAGACAATGAACATCCTCAAATTGCACTTTAAAAAATCAGTAGTGGATTCATTTATGTGACTTGATGTTGTGTGTTTGGAAGTTTTGGTCCAAAATTAAAAAGAAGTTATTGAAACTTTTGAATAATTTTTAAACAGAACATAATGGTCTCTCAGAGAAACTGTTTTGACTTATCCAGAACAGTGGAGAACTAATGGTGGTGGAGACTACTACACATGTCCTAATTTCCATCTGTCCTCCTCATTTGATTGTCAAGTTTTAGTTAGTGACCTGACCAGGCAGCTAGACTTGTTTTCCCACCTTCATTGCAGCAAGGTAAGGCCATGTAAACTAAACAGATTTAGTTTCCAATGTGAACTAAGCCACTTTGGAATCATGCTGTTGCAAGGGAGGGAATACCCTTTATTTCACCTTCTTCCTTCCCAGCTTGCTGCCTGGAACCCATGTGTGGTGGCGGGAACTGGAGAAGTGATCATAGTGATCATAAGTTGGGAACCACGTATTGAGAATGGCAGAACCACATCATAGAAATAGTCTGGGTCTCTGACACCATGGAACTGCCACATCAGCTTCTTGCAGTTGGATACTTACCTGAGAGAGAAATAAACTGTCTTATTTAAGTCCTTGGTACTTTGGCTTTCCTTATAGCAGTTGAATCCATGTCCTGCTTAATATAGTGAGAGCGTTCTTGGTAAAAAGTATAGAAAATTCTTCTTTATTAGTTCAGGTCTTCCAAGAAGAAGATGTTAAGACAGGGTTAGATGTACAAAGAATTTATTGGGAGAAAACGCATGAAAGATACTATATATTGCCATGTGTAATGTGCTTCCATGTATAATAATACACACCCATGTTTTTGGCCCAAACTTTGAGGGAAAAATCTTTTGTTTTGATTTTTTAATTCAGTTTTTATTTATTTTATTTAGATACTTGTTTTTTGTATTATAAAGGAATTTTATTGTTTATTTTTTAACATATTATGGTACAAGCAATTTTATGCACTAGTAACAAATTTACAATATTTAGGCATCATAGAAGGGCAAAAACTCTTCATCACTGTCAATAATATGAGTATTGTCTTCTTCAATTTCTACATTACCGGTATCTCTGAAAAGTCACTTTCCTCATCCTGGTAAACTTTATTTTCCTCAGTTCCATCCATAGCATTGCTGATGCTGCATTTTTAAAACAATTTCACAACCACTTTTTTGTTGAAACTGTTCCATGATCTTAGGATCCAATTACAAACCCGGACGATGGGCGTTTTCTTGATTCTGCTCGTAGGTGTTAAATCATTACCAGCTGACTGCAACGTCCACTCTTTCTTCATTAGGGCCTTAAAGGGCTTGATTACTGGCACATTGAGAGGTTGCAGGTGGCTGGTTAGCTCACCAGGTATCACACGGCAAGTTGGGTTTTCAAGTCTGCTGAGATTGCTTTTGTACTTTGTGTAACATGGGCTTTGAAGTGATCAGAAACTAGCAAAGCTGTTTTTTAAAGTAACCCTCCAGGCCTTCGTGACCAGACTTTGTTAAACCAGATTTCCATGCAGGCTTCATTCATCCATCCTTTTTTATGCACATTGACAATAACTCTACTTGGAATTCTTTCTTTAAGAAACGTTTTTTCCTTTAAAGAGGTTCATCGGTGGTAGCTGTGTCCTACTGTTTTTTAGTTACATTTTAACGCATAATTATAAATAAAAGAATTAAAAATATATAGATAATATGGCATTAGTGTTACCCATGTATAATGCACATCCTTATTTTTCTCTCAAAAATTTGGGCAAAAAATGTGCATGTTATACACAGCAAAATATGGTAAAAGGGAAGAGAGCAGGAATAAGCAAGGAAAAGGCAAGGGAAACCTCCAGATATGATGCAGGTCTGACCCCTATGAAAAGAAAGAAGGAAGAAGCATGGAGTACATAGAATCTAGATTACTATGCAGTTCTGAGAGAGTTTCAGCCAGGCAAGTAGGATGACCTCAGGCCCAGGATGCCCTTTGAAGAGCCCCAGACTAGGCGCATGGGCCAGTAGTAATACCTTCACGGCGCTCAGTCACAGCCTGTTGGCATCCCAGGGAAAGAGTGGCCTCATGGACCCAAAGAGGCTCAATCAGCTCTTCTCCCTGCAGCAGGTTGTCTTGAAGATACGAGTGATCCACTTTTAAACCAGGTTTATTTTATTAAGTCTGGAGATACATACATAGGGAAGCTTCAAGCCAGGTTTAACTCATCAGTTCGGTTTGCCACAAGAATTTCTTCCTTTTTGGTCTTTCCGCTATGTTTTATTGTTCCTTGTAGTCATAAGATACCTGCTGAGTCAACTGGACCTATATGATTTCTTATTCACATTAATTAAATAAAATCCAGTATGTTTAGTTTGTTCTTAAACCACTCCATTACTGTGGCAGGGATGGAATTATGCTACTTACATAGCAAAGATCAGTTATTCTTAATCCTGGCTGCACACTAGATTTACTTGGGGAACTTCAAAAATACCATGTGTGGATTCCACACCTAGAATTTCTAAGAGGTGTGTGTTGGGGGTGAGGGGTGGTATTAGAGGCAGCAGTGGCAGTCCTGGATAGGATTCTGCATCTGTATTTACAGAAACTGTCCAGATTCTACTGCTCATCCAGGATTGAGAACTACTGTGTATCCCTAGAGGGCAGGGTCAGATCCATTAGCAATGCACATGAAATTGGGATGAAAGGAATGTACTCAGTTACTTTGGATGTTGTTGCTAATGAGAAGAGATGATTGAGGTATAATTGAGCTGAGCTCACTAAAAAACAAGACAACATATATTCAACACTATTGTCAAAAGGTTTGAAATCTGTCACAATCTTATTGACAAATACTGTGCTTATAAAAAGCAAAAGGTCTTGACAACATTACTTTATCAAATGTCATTGGATATGATGTTTGGATATTGGACATTGGATATGATAGGATATGAATGGCTTATCAGGCTGAGCAATTACTATCACGGGTGCTAGAGGCAACAGATATTTTGTCTCCCAGTTGAATGGCCTCACTGGTAACTACAGACTGAGTCAGGGCTTGTAATTTGTGTGGATAATTTGGCAATTTATTCAGCTTCTCATTGGAGATTCATGGCATAGAAGAGGATTTATTCTCATGACCATCATCATCATTACTGTGTTGTTATTTAGCTGGTGAAGTTTTGTGAGTCATTATATAAACTGGAAAAGTAGTGCAGGTAGACATGGTGGTGCGTCAGTCATGGGCATCCAAGAGGTCACTTCACAGATCAGACTGTACTTGGATGTCATTCCACAGAAAATTGGCGAATAGTTATATTTTGTGGTCTTGACTGCAGGGAAGGGAAATTGTGAAAATCATGACTGTAATCAAATCACAGCCCTCAGGTAACTGAACTATGAAGAATGAACAGCATTAGCATAAGATCCTGCCATGCCACATTGAGGTGTAATGGCTGTTGAAAGGGAGGGTGCTCATGTCAGCTTGCAAAGTATAGCGGTTACCAAAAACTGTTGCCTTATGGTCCTGATTTATACCAGTGAACTCCATTCCTTGATTTACAGTGAATTGCTCAGGTGACAGTATCATAACAATCTTCTGACTATGTTCAATAGCTTGAATTGATCATTTTCATGAAAGATGATAGGTTTTAATGTTGAAAATAAAATACTAGGGTTTGTTAAAAAGAATAAGTACTGGTGGGATTTGCTTCAACTGTTCAAAGTTGTTCTTTTCCAGCACGTAAATTCCCACTCTTGGTTCCATCGATGGAGCTGTGACTGTAAGACTCAGTTCACGAGGTGTGGGGGAGCTAAACTGGATGGCCCGTGTGGTGTTAAGCAAGAATTAGTCAAAACTTCCTGCCGTAAGCATTCTGGTTACTCTATTTGTCTGGATCTGTCGGACTTGGAAGGCAGGAGGCAAGAGCTGTGTGATTAATTCAGGAAGGAATTCGCCACTTATACAGACGAGCAATCTTGGGAAAGAAAGTCCCCATAGCATAAATATTAGCTACCACAAAGCAGAACATTTACAGACAGTTTAAATAAGTATACAGTTGGCAGGTCTTTTTTTTTTTGTTTCTAGTAATCAAGTGCTTTTAAGTGGAATTTATTGTATAGCATGCACTGATAGTGTGTGATTAATGTAACGTAAGTGTTGTGGACGTGATGTAAAGATAATGAAAATGACTGAGTTCAGTTTCTAGTTTGGGTCCTGATTCTAATACTTGGTACCTGTATGATGTTGGCCAAGTTACTTAACTTTCCTGTGTCTTAGTTTCTTTCTCTCTTAAATGGGAGTAAGTATATTTCTCTCAGAAGGTTGTTGTGAAAATTCAGTGAGATGATGCGTATTATTTACTTAGCACGGGGCCTAGTCCATAGTAAGTGCTAAAGTGAATGCCAAAAGCGTATGAAGGCTTTTATGTATTCTCTCATGACATGAGTCTACTAGCCCTCTTTTTTTGCTTCTTTATTTTGTCTAGTATGCTCCTAAATTTCTAAATTCCAAATTCTTTTAACATTTTCAGTAAACTTAAACCTGGGTGTTGGCAAAAAGATTATATTGCTTTGGATGCTTTTACTCTACTTTTTCCAATAGAATCTTGATAGTTTTTATAATGTTTCTGAGTTTCATCTTTTTCTTGCTATACTGTCCTCCTTCTGCGTTAGTATTCTGTACCATCATAGTGTTTGGAACAGTTTGAACAAGGTTCAGATCTTTGCTTCATGTCCTACCGACTATATGAGTATGATTTAGTGAGCCTTAGTTTAAGTAAAGATTGCTGCAGAATCAACACGGTATATGTAAAGTGCCTGGCATGCACCCACACACACACTTAACACACATAATTTTCCTTTTCTATTCTTCCTGTGTTTTCCAAATAATGTCATGAATGTGCTCACTGATATTATGGAAAGAGTTCAAAGACTATGTATTAGAAGACCTGCCACCCAGTCTTGGGGACATCCTTTAAGCTCTTCAGATCTACCCATATAGAGTTAATTTAGCAATCAATGATGTATTTTGTATGGAAGCGCTTTGTAAACTTCAGGCAAGTAAACAGTTACAGGAACTTTTCTTTTAATTCTTTGTTTGAATTGAACTGCACATTTCTCTGAGGGTATTAGTGTACTATACAGACTTTTGAAGGGGTTATTGTTTATTTGCCAAAACTCCCCGTATCTCAGAGTTGAGAACCATTTTACTGTTCACTGCTGTCCTTAGCCATCCTAGAATGAAATGAAATATTTAAAATAAAATCCATTACTGCTTTTTTGAGGTAGGGCTAGTCTCCTCTATTTCCCTTTTATTACCTATCTTTGAGTCACTGCCTTTCATTCACTGAAAATTTATTATCTCCCCCTAGCTGGTGTGGCTCAGTGGATTGAACATGAGCCTGCAGACTGAAAGGTTGACAGTTCCATTCCCAGTCAGGCCACATGTCTCGGTTGTGAGCCAGGTCCTCAGTTGGGGGCATGCAAGAGGCAACTGATTGATGGTTCTCTTGCACATTGATGTTTCTCTCTCTTTTTCTCCTTCCTTTCCCCTCTCTCTATAAGTAAATAAATAAAATAGTTTTTTAAAAAAGAAAATTTATCTGCCTCATAGTGTTTTCTCAGTCTGAATCTTGTCTTACTCGTGAGTGACTTCAGTATCCATGTGAATGGCCCCATATACCCTTATATCTAGTAAACTTTATTTCCATATTCATGGTAGCTATTCCCAGAGTCCATCTTGGGTCTAGCACCCCTCTAACTTGAATTCTTAAGTATACACGACCCATAATCTGAGGCCAATTTCTTCTTCTGTTACTTAGCTTTAATTTACTTTATTTGGCTATCGACATTCTCAGGACTTAATTCCCCATAGCCCTCCACTTTTTTACTCTTTCACCCTTTTCATTTTATTTCCTACCCAAGTCAGAGATTGTTATTTATTCTCTTCACCTATACTCTTACCAGTATCCTCAATTTTCACACCCTCTTGGTTTTGATGCTCAGGCATGGTAAAACTTAAAGCATGAATCAGTCTGTCTATATTTCCAATGGCTAACTTAGGCTTATGGAAAAAATAAATCACCCCACACGTACAGATTGTTACAAGGTTTCCAGATTCAACCAATTCTCCTATAATAGGCAGTAATCGTCCTGTTTTGTAGTTTTAGACTATTTAGTTTAAGACCTTTCGCGAATGTTTTTAAAAGACTTTATTTATTTTAAGAGAAGGGGGAAGGGAGGATGAAAGAGAGGGAGAGAAACATCAATCAGTTACTTCTTGTATGCACCCTAACCGACTGGAGTCCAAACACTAAAGCCGGGCGTGTGCCCTGACTAGTATTTGAACTGGTGACCTTTTGCTTTGAGGGATGACATCTAGCCCACTGAGCCAAACCAGTTAGGGTGACCTTTTGAGAACTTGATGAAAAATAAAGATAAAAGAATATATATGTAAAAACTGACTTAGAAATTTAGGAGGTTCACAGATCTGAAACTCATTTAAAGACTTCATGGAAGCCCTTTGGATCAGGTTTAAAAACTTCTGATCTCAGTATTTGATTTATTCCATTCACTACCTTACCTTTTATGTAATTTTCAAATTCTTGCACATGATCTCTATCAGAACAAAAATAAAATCTATTAGATGGGAAGTTCTTCAGCCCGCCAACTCTGCAAACATACCCACAACCATACTACTACTTTGTTCCTTTTTAAGTAGCATTTAAAGAGAGACTTATTCTGGTCCATGTTATGAACCCTATCTACCTTTTCCTTAGAGATCAAGTTCTGTTTCTTGCTCCTCTCTGACCTATGTCTTTGGCCTCTTTATTTTTACTCACTCTTTTAAATGTCATCAAATCTCTATCATCTTAAAGGACCTTAAGCCTTTTTTTCAGCTTCATTTTCCCTTTAGCTGTTGGGTTTGTTTTGTTTTTTTTTCTCTCTTTCCTGCTGAGATACTTGAGATTTTGCACAGTCTTTGACCCCACCGTTAACTTCTCATCTGCTGCAGTGTTGTGCCTACTCCTACCAAAGAGACTTTCTTCTTCCTAAAATACTGAGTGATCACTTCTGTGTCTCGCCAGAGCACTTGGCATGTAGATTATTTTCCCCTTGTTGAAACCTTCTCTTCCAATGACTGTCTTCGTATCACATTTCCCAGAGTTTATTCTTCCTCTTTGGTATGTCCTCTATTTCTATGAGCTTTTCTCTCTTTCTCCATACCAAAAGTGTTAGAAGAGACTCAGAATGAAAACCAGGATCTCTACTTTTCTCTCTTTAATGAGCTTCATTGATTCTCATAGCTTAAGAATGTTACTACCATATACCTTGTTGCATAAGCAAAAAAAGTCTTCCTCACCCTGTATCAATCATTTGCCAAGTCTGGTTAGTTCTATTCTTTATGTAGCTCTCAAGTTCATTCATTCTTTTCAATCCACTGTTTCTAGTTTGTGCCTTCATCTTATTGTGAAATTATTTTAACTAGGTTTCCAGCTGCTAGTCTTGCCTCTTTCAATTCATTTTCATTGCAGCTGGAAAAATTATTTTAAAAAATTTATGTGATTTTTTAAAATTTAAGGTATCATAATAACATTGTCTCAAAATCAGAGCGCTTTTATTGTGTGTGGGCTATTTCTAGAGTGATAATTATTCTAATTAAAGATGATTACTAAAAAATTGTTAATAAATGTAAAAAAGTGATGCAAGCATGGATACAAGGATGTTATTTATCATAATCGTTACCATTTATTAAGTGGTAACAATTTAATGGTGTGCCAGACCTAATCAGAGCACTTAATCTTAATACATGTGAACTTCCTTATTGTTCATAAGAACCCTATGGGTTAGATAATGTTTATTATTATCTTCCCTATTATATTAGTGAAAAATGGAGTGTGAAAAGGATGAGTACCTTGTTCAGTCGTGGTCCTGTCGGCATTATTTGGTGGAGCCAGGATTCATACTCTGGCAGTCTAGCTCTAAGCGTAAGGTTTAGCTACTGCTAAATTGCCATGATACAGTATTCTGATTCAGTAACTACTATGTTAAAATCTTAAATTATTAGCCCTGTGAAAAAAAGTAGAAAAGAGGGCAAAAAATCACTTGTTTCTTATAGTTCCTGAATTGAAATTCTGTTAAATTATTGTATGATTATTTCATCCAACAAATATTTATAAATATCGCTAACATGCCATTCACTGTAAGAGAAAATTTTTTTTCGACAACAATGGTAGCACCAGTCTTTCAGAAAATTAAAAATTGTGCCTATAATTAGTTTAATGAATTTAGGGAATATTTTTAATAATCTCCTTAAAGTCAGTCATGTCTTTTTCATACTCAAATACTGAGCACCTATGGAGACAGGCATATAGCACTTAAATAAGTTTTTATTGAATATTCTTATTAGTGCCTTATTATTTCTTCTCCTTATTGCATTGTTTATTTTTTTATTTCAGTCGAGTCTTGTAAGATATTGACTTAATATATTTTTTTTTAACCTAGGGGATGTCCCACTCTTGTTCAAGCATTACCAGGCCCTAGCACACAAGTTACTGCAGGCAGCAACCATACGGCAGTACTTTTAATGGATGGACAGGTCTTCACATTTGGAAGTTTTTCTGTAAGGAATTTTTAAAGCATTAATAATATTGCATTGTACCATTGCCTTACAATTTGTCTACTTTAGCTATTTTTTACGGGTTTAGTGAAATTCTTGTACTGTAATCATTGCATATGCATATTTCTTGTCTCCACCCTCAATACACACAGAACTCGAATGACATTTCTTTGAAATAATTTGCTTCTCTAGTTTAGCATTATAATTTATTGAATTTGACAGCTGTGTTAGACTTGGACATGTTTATTCCAGGTCAGAGTCCTTAAGCATTCAGCAGAGCTAATTATATCATTTGAAAACTTATTTCTCATCTAATTTGTAAAGATTTATTTTTCTTAACAGAATTTTATTTTAGAACTTTTTAGAAACCTAGTTTTATTAGATTTGTTCAAAATTATAGTTTCCTTTTTCTTTTTTTTCCCTGTCTCTCCTCCTGTTTACCTCTCTGTTTCATTCTCTTTTTCTTATTACCAAAGCTTGAGAAGAGTGAAAATGCTCTGAGAGTATATTATAATGTGATTATAGTAGGGATCAAGGACAAGCTTCATAAGATTGCTAATAAACCTATATCATCTCTTAAATAGATAAATATTCAGAACTCTATAACCTAAGTCCTTGAAATGTAATTTGCAACTCTTGATCATTAAAAATTATGAATGTCAACTTTGAAAAAATCTTTTATTTGGCAATTATTTTAAGCTTATAGAAAGGTTATTTAGTTCCTCTAGGTGTATCCCTGGCAATTTTGAGCTGCTGCGTCTGTGCTGGTGCTTAGAGTGAGTGAGTTTATGAGTGATGATTTCATGGTCCAGCCCTTTAAGAGGGAGCATCTTGGTCTCCCATAGCCCTTTGTCTTTCTTGGACACAGTCCCCACTGGTTTGACAGGCAGATGTCATGGGGACTTCTCTTGCTAGCATTGGTTCCCTGGGCTGGGAAGTCCAGTGTGGGGCTGAGACCCCTCACTGCTCAGTGGGTACCTCCAAAGCTGAGATATTCCTCCCAGTTCTTAATCTCCACCCCTCCTACCAGTCTAGATATGGTTTCTTCTTTTCACTCTTAGTTATAGGAATTCTGTTCTGCTAATCTTTAGGTGGTTTTCAGTGATAGTTTTTCTATAATTTAGTTGTAATTTTGATGTGGTCATGGGGGAAGACTAGCTCAGAGTTTACCTACTCTGCCATCTCAACCAGAAGTCTCAAGATCTCTGACTGTACTCCACTGTCAATATATACTGTAGTTTATTCAGTTTTTTTTATGCTTAGGCTTTTAAGTACTTTCCAATATTTTGCAATGATAGCAGTGAATATTGTTAGAGTTTTATCTTTGAGGTAAATTTCTAGAAGTAAGATTGCTAGGTCCAAATTTAATACCTGTGTAGTTTTGTGAGATATTATCAGTTCCCCTGTATTTTGATTTCTCATCAGCAATCAGTCAGTGTATGAGCATGCCTGTTTCTTCACAGTCTTGTCAGCAAAATGTGTTGTCACACCTTTGAATTTCCATCACTCAGATGGGTGGAGAAATGGCCCTGCATACTCGGAAGCCTTTAATCACTACTTCTACTTTGTATTTTGACATTCAGGGTTGGATTTTCTCTTTGGGGGAATGCTTTTGCCAGTGCCTTTTCTAAGTCTTCCATGCTCCTCTGCTCATCTTCTTAAGCCCCCCCTTTTGTACTCTCCGCCCCCTCAGGCTTGCCGTGGCCAGTGGATAGGGGAAACTCTGTTGCAGTTTGTTTTTTCCCTCTGGTAAATTAAAAATGTGATTAATTTATTTTATCTTCAAAAGCATTTTATATACCTGAATATAATGTTCTTTGCTCACTATTTGTATTTTTATGTTCTTTTTTTTTGGGGGGGGGTGTAAAAATATGAGGATAGTCATCAAAAGAAGCTGAGAATGGACATTGAAATTTTTTAGTTTCTTCTTTAATCGGATGCTTGCCACCTTACCTTCCCCTGGTTCATTCAAGGGATTGAAGCTGAAATGCTTTTACAGTCAGATTATGGCTGGATTTTCTTGCTGTGATGTTGCAGGAGTAATAGAACTCACTAGAAACCTGGTAGTTGGGTGAGAACTTAACCAGGCTATTGGCAGTGCTCCAGGTGCACACATGTGCTCGCTCACTCTTTCTTTTACTTTTCTTTTCTTTTTTCTTTTCTTTTCTTTTCTTTTCTTTTCTTTTCTTTTCTTTTCTTTCTTTTTTCTCTTTTTTCTTTTCTCTTTTCATTCTTTTTCCTCCCTCCCTCCCTCCCTCCCTCCCTTCCTTCCTTCCTTCCTTCCTTCCTCCCCCCACTTTTCTTTTCCCTATAGTTTTTCATTGGCATTACTTACAGATAAACCTGGGTCCCATGATGCACCATTTTTTGACTTCCAGAAGATTTTTGGAAAAGGAATGCTGTGGGGGGAGAGAAAACTCTTGTGCCAGGGGTGGATAAATATTTATGAATCCATCTACATTCTTTTACAGCTAGCTACTAGCTTAGTTGTAAAAAGCTTCCTGCTACTTTCCAAATTAAGCTCTTATGTAACCAGGTACCTATAGACAGCCATAAGTGATTCTGCTATTTGTTTTGAAACGAATGAAATAATTTGATTATGTGGAAAAATGTACTTTTTACATTCATAGTTGCAGTGTTTACTTTTTTGGTCTTTTACCCAAATACTTTCAGATTGTCTGAATTCAATATACTGTTTATGATACTGTCAACTCAAAATGTCAAAGTAATTTTTTTCATTTTATTTACTTTATTTGAATTTATTGTAGCATTTCCCCCCTAAATTTGTCTGTTTACTTATTTATTTTTATTGCTTATTACATTGTAATACTAATTTTTAAACATTTATAATATTTAAATGTACATTTAGTGAAATGAAATTTGTATTTCATTTAAATTTAGATGAAGATAGTTCATAGTATTTCACAAAGATTTCTGACATGGAAAAATATTTTAACTTTGTTATTTTTTTTTAACAATGTACTTTGTCATTTATTATGAGGAGAATTTCTAGGAATAAAAAATTAATCCTTTAGAAATATTTGGTACATATTTCAAAAGTTTATTTTAAAAAACTAATAATTGATGAATAATGTCTCAGTTATTTTGTCTACTACCTTCTTTATAAAAAATTACAGATTCTTCTATCATATTGTTAATATGATTTATTTAATCTTTTAGAAAGGACAACTGGGCAGACCAATTCTGGATGTGCCATATTGGAATGCAAAACCAGCTCCCATGCCTAACATTGGATCAAAATATGGAAGAAAAGCTACCTGGATAGGTGCAAGTGGGGACCAGACTTTCTTGCGAATTGATGAAGCACTAATCAATTCACATGTGCTTGCTACATCAGAAATTTTTGCCAGTAGACACATAATAGGTAATACCCAAAACAAATGGATATCCCCACCAAAAATTCTTGTCCTGATTAATAGTAAATAGTTCATTTTTCCTTGTTATAAGATATAGTCTTGTAGCTTTTGTTTTCTTTCTGTCTGGAGAAATTTAACAGAAGCTTCTAAGTGTCTTTGACATTCATCTATATGCTGGAAGAATGGAATAATGGGGCAATCTAGAAACAAATTATAAGCTAGAGAGTGGTAGAAATATAAGTTGAATTGTAATAGGATAAAACCTAATTGAAAAGAGGAATTTTTCCGTATGGTTCTTGTTAATAAATTGTAGAAATTAATCGTTTGGAAGAGTATATAAATCAAACATATCACACACCGTGTCTTTGATATTGTTAATTATATGGTAGAATGGTATCATGTAGAAGTTAGTGACATGTGTTGTAGATTTAGGAAGTCTGAGGTTTTAGTCCTAGCTCTTCTATTTAAAGGTTTTTAGTTACTCAGCGTCATTAAGTTTCAGTCTCTTCATCTGTAAAATGGAGATAAAAATAATGCTTTGTAAGCTTGGGCAATATAAAGAGGTAATGCATCTTTAAAATGTGTGAATTTTTCTCAAGGCTTGATACCTGCTTCTATATCAGAACCTCCTCCGTTTAAGTGTCTTCTGATAAACAAAGTGGATGGGAGTTGTAAAACGTTTAATGACTCTGAGCAAGAAGATCTGCAAGGGTTTGGTGTGTGTCTTGATCCTGTGTATGATGTCATTTGGAGGTAAGCGTCTCTGTTTACAAAATAGAGTAGTAAATAAATTGTGATCAAATTATGTTCTGGTTGTACTATAATAAAATTTATGTACAGTCAGATTTTTCATGCATAAGACCTCTCCTGTTTAACTCTTTTTGTTGTTATTGTTATTCTATTACAGCTTTCCCAATTTTTCCCCCTTGCCCTCCTCCTCCCAGCCCACCCCCAACTCCCACAGTCCATCCCCACAGTGGTATCCAGGTCCATTGGTCATTCATACATGTTCTGTGACTAGTCCCTTACCCTTCTTTTCACCATTTTTCCCCTCGCCTCTCCCATCTGCCTGCTATAGATCTGTTCCATGTTTCCATGTCTCTGGTTCTATTTTGCTCATTAGTGTTTTTGTTTATTAGAGTCTTCTTAATGGTGCGATCATATGGAATTTGTCTTTACACTTCTATTACATTGATTCATAGGGACCCTTACAGTGTAGGGTAGTGATTAAGATGGGCCATATTGCCTAAGTTTATCCCAGTTCCACAGTTTGCTTTGTGTACCTTTGGAGAAGTTACTTTGACTCTGTGTTCCTCACTTTTCTCATTTATAAAATAATAATAGTACCTACTTCAAGCTTGTTAGAAGGACTAACAAACTAAGAGCAGAGGGACATGGTGTTATAGAAGTGTTTGCTGCTGTCGTCATAATTAGCAGTTTTACTTTCAAGAGTTCTATTGTTAATTATTTTCAGTCTGTCAGCAATCCTATCTAAATTGTAGAGAATTCATTCTATGTCTTCATGCCATAAATATCTAATTATGGAGAAAAAAATATGCCAAAGATAATAGAAAATAAGATATGAGCTTGCCCTTCAGGAATGCACATAACAAAATTCCCATATCGGTAGAGAAATATTCAGGGTTATTAAACTCCAGACATTATAAAAATGTAGAGGTGGATACAGGTACCCAAGACACTCAACAAGTTATATTGTATTTGTTTACAATTTATTATGGTGCTTTATAGACAAAATAAGTAAAGAGAAGAGTTATCCTCGCATTTCTAGCTTTGAATAATAATAGGAAGTGTATCCTGCCATTACCAGAGTGGCTAATCAAGCACTCAAAATGTTTTTCACCTCTTGCATTGTTTGTTTGGCCTGCCTTAGTAGGCAGGAGTTCAGATAAGTTGAGAGGTCGAAGTAGTATGAATGGAGCGAGGAGACTATTTTCTTGTCTTTCTTCTTCTGCCCATGCCTATTTTCATTTCCTTCAGCCTGTCAAGTCTTAAGAGTTTTCCATCGATGTTGAGGTCTGCATTCAGAGTGAAGGATCAGCTTACTGATCCTTTGTAATTTGGGCATTTTGTTAGAAGTCCTGGAAGCCAGAATTGAGTTGAGCAGTAGTGCTTTTAGATCTCCCTGGGAGCATTATTCAGTATAAATTAGATAATAAGAGAGTAGAGGTGAGTCATCTTGTAGTAATTCATACGAAGACTTGAGATACTAAGTACCAAAATTGGAGTGATCATAGGGAGATACAATGGAGGGGATAGAGAGCTGAATGGTGTAAAGATAGAATTATCCTTAATTATTTACTGATTAGAAGTCAATACATAAGAGATTTAGTTAACAAAAGAGTAAGCTCTGGTTTGGACCTATGTTTATTGATGTTTTGTTTTCTGTAGTCCTTATGTTTTATTTTTAAATGATGTAAATGTGCTTTAACAAAAAGTAAAAATTGGCAGTATGCAACTTGTTTCTGTATGCTTTCACTAAATTAGAAATGCATTCTCTAAGCTAGAGCTAACAGTAGAAATAAAATTCTAATAGTAAAGTTAGAGCCATTTCCCTGGGGTCTTAACAGAACTCAGAAGTGTGGTATACAGTTAGTTGAACCTTGCCCTTTTCACATATGGTGGCAGCAATGGGACAGATGATCTTAAATATCTTGCCAGGTCCTTGATCATTTACCCCCTTGTTCCAAAACAGAGATTGAAAGATGAAGGACAGTTTTCTCCTATGTTATAGTAAAATAGCTGGAAGGTATTTTTCTTTAATCAGGATTAGAGTTTCATTTCATTATCCTAACTTCTGGCTGCTTTGTATTTTTCAGTAGTGTACTTGCACTTTATAGGTATCATAGGGCATTTGGGGTTCCTTTTAGTTTTTATTGCTGCCTTAATGTTTATTAGTAAGGTTGAACATCTAAATAATTCTCTTTGTGCTTGCTTTCTGAGAACAAGATTCCGTGTCTTTTGCCCACTTACTATCGAATTGATTGTCTCTTAATGGCTTGCAGGAGCTCTTATATATTGTGCATATTTTTTTGCCTCATATGTATGTTTCACATATTTTCTCTTGACATGTCCTTTGTCTTGCAACTTTTAAAATGGAATTTTTATTGTATGCATGCTTCATACCTGTAAGTATGCATCAGATTGTTAAATACACTGTTGCTCTGTATTCATGAAGGATAGTGATCTATATTACTATTTTGTTTAAATTATTTTATTTATAAGTGACATAAGTTATTTATATGTTTACCTCAGATATGGAAAATAATGAGGTACATTTTATCCTGTTTAAGCTTCCTGTATTATTCTCTGTATCATCAATTATACTTTAGAAATTTTTTAAATGAAACTTTATGTTAAGGTGCTGTCATTATTCTCTCTTGAAAGGTTTCGACCAAATACTAGAGAACTGTGGTGTTACAATGCGGTGGTTGCTGATGCCAGACTTCCTTCTGCAACAGACATGCAGTCCCGATGCAGCATTCTAAGCCCTGAACTTGCATTACCAACAGGATCAAGGGCTCTCACCACCCGCTCTCATGCAGCTTTGCACATTCTAGGTGGAGTTGCTATTTGTTGATCAGATAATTGTAGCTAACTTTTATTAATGTGCACTGAGTATTTTTAAAGAGAATTTAAATTTATATATTATTTTTTCATGTTTGTTAAATGATATGCTAGGCACAAAATAGGTTAAATCTTATTAAGAGATTTATCCTACAGAAAATAATACATCAGACTTACACTAGCACCATGAAAGATTCATATATACCCAAATATATATAATTTTCCTATAGGTAAACTTTTAAAACTAATTTTTGCTTGACCTGAATAAATAAATGGACTATTCAAATGCATAATTATAATATTTAATTTATATACATTATTTTAAAATTCTATAAAATATTGTATGAATTTTACAGATACTGTTTCTCTTTATACAACACAATTTTGCACAGCACATCAACTTTCCTTCTTTCCTTCTATTTAATTAACTTGAAATATGATACTTCCTTTCTCTCTTTTTATGCACACATATACACATATATATATATTTTGTTGCTAGAAATCTTATACTATTACACATAATTACTTATTCTGTTGTTTTTAAAAATTGTGCTTAAAAGATTCAGTTATGTTTATATAGAATTTTCAATTGTGAAATTATATTCTTAAGCATAATTAATTACTTGGTTCTTTGTACACAAATTTTAACCAGTAACTATTGTGAACATCCAGAATTAGCATCAGTTAAGGTTATCTCAGGCTGTGTCTTCCTCAAATAGTACTTTAAGAATTAAACAAATAATTTGGAGCTTCATGAGAGGAAGAAGCTTATAAGGACTCAAGTATTAAGCAGTTTTATCTTTCAGAGATACAGTTTTGTGCAATACATTCTCATACAGTATATGTTTAAATATGATAACTATACAGACAGAGGGGAGTGTTTATTGGTTGTATTTGTCCATGGAACATTGTTTAAGGCTTAGAACACATTTGTTGAGCACACTTATAGTTTATTATTTTAATTTATCCCCTGTAGAATCCATCCCATCTCATCAATATTATGGGAAATGTAATTTCAAAGAACTGAATTCTTGCTTGTTTGTTTTTAGGTTGTCTTGATACCTTGGCAACTATGCAGGATTTAAAAATGGGTGTTGCAAGTACGGAGGAGGAGACTCAAGCAGTAATGAAGGTTTATTCCAAAGAAGATTATAGTGTAGTGAACAGGTTTGAAAGTATGTATATTTACATTCAGGAAATATTATCTTCTAATTGAATATGTATGACTATTTTAAAACATAAATGATCTTTTGTTTAGGTCATGGAGGAGGCTGGGGTTACTCTGCTCATTCAGTAGAAGCTATACGTTTCAGTGCTGACACTGATATTTTACTTGGTGGTCTTGGTCTGTTTGGTGGTAGAGGAGAATATACTGCCAAAATTAAGGTAAGCATTTCATTGAAAGTGTCACTGTTTTTGTTGAAGTTGTTAGTTTTGACTTAGTTTAATATTTTTTATATTACTTTCTTTTCAAAAGGACTTGCGGAAACTGCTAAAATCTAATACAGTAATACTAAGTCATTCATAAAAAATTTAAAAGTTAAGTAAGAAGGGAGCAAATGAATGGAAGAGGATTTTTCAATAATTTTAGACTGAGAAAGCCTTTAACAGTCCAGCTCAGACCTTTGTGTTGAACTAGTGATCTAGGAACAGTAATACCTTATGAGCTTACTTCCTTTAAAAATTTTTTAAAAAATTGATTTTAGTTATAAAGAGGAAGGGTGGGGGGAGAGAGAGAGAGAGACAAACAGACATCAATTTGTTGTTCTACTTATTTATGCATTCATTCATTGGTCGCTTCTTGCATGTGTTCTGACTGGAGATTGACCCCATAGACTTGAAGCACTGGGACAGAGCTCTCCAACCAACTGAGCTCCTGGCCAGGGCTGTGCTTACTTTCTTGTAGCTTAAAAATGATGGAAGGCATAACTGTTTTGATGCATAGACATTTTGATGTAGTTTTGAAAGATTTTAGAATTTTTAGTGCCAAATACTATGTAAACAGATAAAATCACTCCAGGAGTGGGGACCAGGGATGAAGTGAGAGATACAGAGATAAAGTGTGGGATATGGGTTCCCCCTGGTGGACAAACTAGAAATAATCCAGAGTCATAAGTTGACCATACTGATTCATCTCACAAAAGGGTAAAAGAGAAAACTATAGTTTGTGCTTTAATTTTAATAACAGTCTTCATAAAAAATTCTCAATTAAGTGCTGTTTACTTAGGAGGTATTGTCTTAGTTTTTTAAAATTAATTTTATTGAGATGACATTGGTTAATAAGATTATATAGGTTTCAAGTGTACAATTCTGTGACACATCATCTGTATGTTGAATTGTGTGCCAGCTCCCAGAGTCAGATTTTCTTCTGTTCTCATGTATTTGACCCCTTTATCCTCTACCGTCCTCCAATCCCCCTTCCCTTTGGTGACCACCATACTGCTGTCTGTGTGAGTTTTTGTTTTTCATGTTTATTTTTTCCTTTCAGTTTTATATCCCTCATATGAGTAAAAATCACATGGTTCTTAACTTTTTCTTTCTGACATTTTCCTTAGCATGGTGTTCTCAGGATCTATTCATGTTTTCACAAGTGGCCATATTTCATCTTTTCTTATGGCTGTGTAATATTCATTGTATGTATGTATCACATCTTTATCCAGTCCTCTATTGAAGGACAGTTTGGTTGTCCCCATGTCTTGGCCACCGTGAATGATGCTGCAGTGAACATAGGAGCACACATGACTTTATGAATACATGCTTTCATATTTTTCGAGTAGATGCCGAGAAGAAGGATTCCTGGGTCATATGGTAACTCTGTCCTTCGTTTCTTTGAGGAACTACCATACTGCTTTCCATAGTGTCTGCACCAGTTTACATTCCCACCAGCAGTGAATGAGCGTTCCCTTTTCTCCATAACTTCTACAACACTTACTACTTGTCTTGTTGATAATAGCCATTATAACAAGTGTGAGGTGGTATCTTAGTATCTACCTGTTCTCATTTGCATTTCCCTAATAGCTAGTGACGTTGAGCATCTTTTCATGTATCTGTTGGCCATTTGTATGTCTTCTTGGCAGAAGTGTATATAGAGGTCCTTTGCTCATTTTTTAATTGGGTTGTTTATTTGCATGGTGTTGAATTTTATGAGTTCTTTATATATTTTGGATAGTAACCCCTTGTTGGAGCTGTTATTTGCAAATATCATTTCCCATTTGGTTGCCTTTTTAGTTTTTTTTTTTGTTAATTTCTCAAGCTGTGCAGAAGCTTTATAGTTTGATATAGTTCCATTTATTTAATTTTGCCTTTACTTCCCTTGTCATTGGGGTCAAATTCATAAAATGGACCTTTCTAAGACCAAGGTCCATAAGTTCAGTACCTATGCTTTTTTCTATGTACTTGTTTAAAGTCTTATATTTATGTCATTGATCCATTTTGAGTTAATTTTTGCACATGGAGACAAGTGGTAGTCTAGTTTCATTCCTTTACATGTGGTTTTCAAATTTTTCAAGTATCAATTATTGAAGGGGCTTTCTTTTTATTGGTGTATGTTTTTAGCTCCTTTATTGAAAATTACTTGTTACATATACATGTGGTTTTATTTCTGGGTTCTCAATTCTGTTCCATTGGTCTGTGTGTCTGTTTTTCTGCCAGTACCATGCTGTTTTGAGCATTGTTGCTTTGTAGTACAATTTGAAGTTAGGGAGTGTGACACTTTTGGCTTTGTTCCTTTTTTTTTTTTCAGGGTTGCTTTAGCTATTAGGGGTCTTTTGTGGTCCATAAAAATCAGATAAATTTTTGTTTTATATCTTAAAAAAGACAACATTAGGATTTTGATGGGGATTTCATTAAATCTTTATATTTCTTTCGGTAATGTGGACATTTTAACTATGTTGACTCAATCCATGAACACGAGTATCTTTCAGTTTCATTATGTCTTTTTCAGTCTCTTTTAATAATGCTTTGTAGCTTTCACTGTATAGGTCCTTCACATCCTTCGCTGTTTATTTCTAGGTATTTTATTCTTTTGTTACAATTGCAAGAGGAATTGTTTTTCTCATTTCTTTTTCTGAAATTTTACTGTTAGTATATAGGGATGCAGTGGATTTTTGTACATTGGTTTGGTATCCTGCAACTTTACCATATTTGTATATTGTTTCGAATAGTTTTTTGGTGCAGTCTTTAGGGGTTTTTTTGTTTATGGTTTTTTATTGTTTATTTTTATATAAAGAACCATGTCATCTGCAAAAGGTTACAATTTTACTTCTTTACTCCTAATTTGGATGCCTTTTATTTTTTTTCTCTTACCTAAGTGCTCTGGCTAGGACTTCAGTATTATGTTGAATAAGAGAGGTGAGAGTGGACATCTTGTCTTGTTGCTGATCTTAGAGGAAAACTTTTAGATTTTCACCGTTGAGTATAATACTGTATACCTGAGGATTTGTCATATATGGTCTTTATTATATTGAGGTACTTTTCTTCTCTACCCATTTTAATTAATATGTTAAAACTCACTGTGTTTTTTGAGGACACTTCTTATAGAGGGTCGTGCAGAATGTACAAACTTCAAAAACTATTTGATTATTTCTGGTTATAATTGGAATGCATGCGCTAAAGAAATTCAGATAATATAGATATGAAGAAAGCACAAATTTAATTTCCCTGGAGTTACATGGAGTGTGGGGATGGAAGGGATAGAATAATGATTAAGAACATCTGTGGTGTATACGTTGATAAGAAAAACAGTAGTTTTCGTTTTGGTTCACTTCAGAGCACCTGCTGTGAAATGATTATTTTAGGATGTTTTGATATAAAGTCAAGATAAAGAAGCAAGTTCAGTGATTTATGCTGTTGTACTTGGCAATATCTAGTAAGCTCATCAGGAAGATACATTTTGTACCTAGTCCTGAGAGGCTATTTTTTGTGTACATATAATATTGAACACCATGGTGAACCTATCTCCAGTAGTTATATAGAATTATAGAGGCCTTCCATATATGTTTTTATTTTGGCTGTATTTTTTTTTTAAGTCTCAAATCCTGATTTACCCTTCTCATGACTTTGAAGTGATTTTACCCTTGTATTATTCAAAAAGTGTCTTCTTTAAAGTATAAAGTATATATTTTTCTTTCTAGTGGTTGGCCTGTATTTTTTTTATTGGTTTGTTTTCCTAGCTCTGGTTGTTTTCCTTCTTTCCTTGTAGGTCTGTCCTGTTCCACCTAGCCCCTCAGTGTTGGAGTTCTTTTAGGCCAAGCTGTAGGCCTCTTCCTTCGTTCTGTGTTTTCTCCTAGGCTTTCTCTTCTAAGCCCAAAGTTCCAGTAGCTATCAATGTACCATGATGCTCAGATTTATTATCTCTAGCTCTATCTTCTTCGACCCATTTCTGACTTCATTGACCCATTTCTGTGTACATGTTTTAAAGGCATGCCAATTGTCAGTCTTTATATCATAACTGAACACGTGTGCTTCCACTAGGACCTGGCTGTCTTCCAGTGATCCCTCCTTTGAATAGTACTATCCATCGTCTGCTTATTACATAAGGCAGAAACGTAGCCATCTTTCTTGATAGGTCCTCTTTCATTTCTTTTTCTTCCCCTAAAAGGACTCTTTCCTCACTACGCTAGGCAAAGTTAATTGTCTTCGACTAGCCACCTAGCTGGTCTCTGTGCATATTTTAAACTTTCTATATTTTCTCCCTCCATTCACTTTGTTCCTGTTGCTCCTTGAACCTTCTGTAATTAGGTTTTTGCCCCAACCATTCCACTGAAACTGCTCTTGTCAAGGACACCAGAGACACCTTCATTGCTAACACCAGTGGTCAAGTGTCAATCCTCATCTTCCTTAACCATTCAACAGAATTTAATCCAATCAGGTTCTTTCTTGAAATACTTTCTCCACTTGACTCCCAAGACACCACACTCCATTTTACCCCTTCTCTCAGACTCCTCTCTTTAGTCTCCTGCTGGCGGTTCCTCATCTTCGGACCTCTAGATGTTGGAGTTCCAGAACCCAGTCTTGGGTATTTTTTAAAGTATACTCATCCCCAGTGATCTAGCCTTAGGACTTTTAAGTATTTTTTTTCTCTGGTTATTCTCAAACCTGTAGACTTCCAATACTCTTACATAAACAACTGCCTGCTCTGCATCTCCACTTGAATAGCTAGTAGGCATTTCAGATATGACACATTCCAAACTAAGCTTCTGATGATCTCTCTAAACCTGCTGTACCGCTGGTCTTCCCCATCCAGGTTAACTGACTCAGAGTTCACTTCATTCTTCCAGTTTCTGAGGTCAAAAATCTTGGTGTAATTCTCGACTTCTCTCATTCTTTTATAACCTACATCCACTGTAGCAGCAAATATTGTCGCCTGCACTTTGGAAACAAATCCAGGATCCAACCACTTCTCTAAACTGCACCTCATACCATGTTGGTCCAAGCCAAAGCCATTTTTACCTTGATTGTTTCAGTAACATTTCGGTTTATATCCTGCTTCTATCCTTAATCCCATCAATATATTCTTAATACTGCAGTGATTTTTTCTTAAAATTACATGAGAGTATGCCACTTCTCTGTTCAGATCCCTGCAGGATCTTCCTATATTAGAATTCAAACCAAAGGCCTCGCAAGAGCTTACAAAACACCATCAGAACTGATTGCCATCTCCTGTCTGATCTTATGTTGCACAAGTTTCTTCACTCTAATCCCGTCATGTTTGCCCATTCCTGTTCCTCAAACATGCCAGCCATAGCCAAACCTCAGGACCTTTGCACTTGCTACTCCCTCTGACCACAACCCTTCACTTTAATGCTTGCATATTTCACTTCCTCATCGCCTTCAGGTCTTGACTCTCTGGTGAGCCTATTTAAAACTGTAAATCCCTTACCACAAATTTAGTCGCAATAAGCCCATTTTTTGTTTGCATCATGCACCCCTGTGTGCCCAGTACCTAGAACTGTACATGTTCAAAAATATTTGTTGAAAATATGCAGGGGAGCCAGGTTAAGTGTGAATCATTGAGGAGTTTTATGTCATTCATCAAGGAGGGAAATGAGTAACCACTCAATAACTTTAAGGAAGTATTCTGATCAGAATTTATTTTAAAATATTAAAAGCAGAACCCTCAACTTTGTGGAGTATGGGCTAAAGCAAGGAAAGTATGGAGATAAGAAGACTAATTACTTGTTATTGAACTATTCTAACTGGTAACAGTGGATTCGGGTGAACTGACAGGCTTTGGTACCAGCAATAGAATACATGCAGTGAGGGTAGAGACATATGGAAAAGAGAAGCATTCCAGGTCTTTTCTCTGAGCAACTAGGTGAATGATATTGACTTTAATTAGAACAGAGAAGGCAAGAGGAGGAACAGGTGAGTCACTCTTTAGATTTAGTGAGACAGAGCTGCTGGGGGAAGCCAGTGACCATAGAGAGTAAGATCCGAACTGGAGGTTGATTTCAGATTATTAGAATACAATTGAGAGATCAAGACATGTAGCAAAATAATTGTCCAGTAAATTTTAATGCCCCCTTCTCTTCCTTCTGAGTGTCTATCCACCTTTCTTACAGTTTGTCTACTGTAATTCTCCAGAGAAATAGGGGATATTTTAATGTGTAATTGTCCAGTTAAAAAAAAAAAAAACTCTTCCTTATAATTCTCTTTTATTTTCACTTAATTTTGTAACCTTTCCCTTTTGCTATTTTCCCTTTTTTTCTTTTACTCAGACTTTGTGGTCCTTTCTTTTTTGTATAACCATTTTTTTTCTCACACTTTTCATCTCTCCTTTGACCTGTTTTTTTTTTTTAAGGATCCTTATCTTGAGAGTTATTCCTCTCTCTTTCCATTGCTAACATTTGCTAGCCTTTTCTGCTGGGTATTTTTTAAGTGTCCCACAACGATTATTTTATTTAATTCTTAAAATTCTTACTGAAGTAGACAATGTTACTATCCATCTCTATTTTATGGATGAGGAAACTGGGTCCTAGGATCTCACAGCTAGTAAATGTTGAAGCAAGATTCAGCCTCACTTAGATAAATACTTTGGTTGAGTTCTCTCCTTCAGATCTATAAATGTCTCTCCTTCAGATGTTTATATTTGGTACAGAACTGTTTGGGTCACTTAATAGAAATAGATGAATAGAAATAAATAAAGCTTTATATGAATATAAAACTGAGATTAATATAGACCGTAAGACATTGCATGTGTTTCTTGATTTAAATGTATGTTTGTGTATTTTATTTAATAACATTCCAAAAGCACATTTAATAGTGTCCAGCATATATTGGACACATGCACAATTATAAACATATTATTCAGCATATTTACGTGACTGAGAGATGGGGCATCATCTGTTTTTTTCCTTTCCCCAGCTATTTGAGTTGGGACCTGATGGAGGAGACCATGAAACTGATGGAGACCTTCTTGCAGAGACTGATGTGTTGGCTTATGACTGTGCTGCCAGGTAATGGCATTAAATAATTAATGTGAAAAATTAATTATAAATGAATAAACAATTTAAAAAGGAGGTTTTAAAAATCTGCTGTGATCAGACTCTTGAAATTAAATTATATATTAGTAGGTAATGGGTTGTTTTTAGCAATGCTTCATTAAAACTAATAGAATCTTTTATATTTGTATTTCACAAGATAAATTGACTATCTCTATGTTGAAGATGAGATGGAAATACTGTATTCATGTATTTTGCACAATTTTATTTTTATGTGTCACTTAGAAAACACCTAGTATGCTAGTGCCCTGTTGATGTGGTATAATTATTTACTACCTAACTTTATGTATGCAGTGTCAAGTAGTCCTAGTGGGACATAATTCAGATCCACTGTGTGCTCTAACATCATGCAGACAGTATCTGCTGGATTATAACACACTTTGAAAAGACACCCAGCTGTAGTGAAACCTCTTAGGGAATTACCAGAATCAGGGTGTTTGTTCATAAAGACTTAGGAGGTAAGAAACTAGATTTTATCAGTCCTCCCAGTAACCCTAAGAATTACTTCAACACTGTGTTAAATAATATCACACTGTACTTCCCCATGAGAACTATGTTAAGAAAACCTTGTGTGGTGTGCATACGCTTTTTGTTAGTGAAAATCTGTATTTTCTGAAAATGGTAGTCAATGAATTTGCTTTTAACAGATGAATACTTTTGAAAACAAAATAGTAAATCTAAAGAAAATTTTGGCTATTTCTTCATTTGCATTAACCAATAGTAGGAGATATATTTTGAGTAATTCTTAATGTTATATAAAAACAAAGATTAGAGAAATTTCAGGAAAGTTAATTGATTAATTTTAAAAATATATATTTTATTGATTGTGCTATTAATTGATTAATTTTTAACAAAGCCTTAGGATGCCTTTGTCATTTAGCATTTATTTTTGTGCATATGATTATGAGTCAACAAATATGTATAATTTTGTATAGACAATCGTCTAGATTTTCTTTATTTTTTAATTATTAAAAATTTCTTCATTTTTGTATTAGGATACAAATCCCAGAATCCTAAGGCTAGAGTTAAAGGACTTCCATTATTTTTCACAGCATGTTTTATAACTTTCTATCCACTACTATTATGTGTTTATCTCAATGCTATAATCTGTCTGGACACCTCGCGCTTTTTGGACCCTGTGCTGTACCTCTGCAGAGCTGTCCACAACCTTCTCCCCATGCACGACCTTCTCCCCGCCCACTCCCACTACAGGACACACATGCTCACATTGCTACTTTCCTTCTGTCAGCTTCAGCTTTAGAGCACACACGTCTCGATCAGATGCCTTATTACTTAGCCTGTTTGTTCTTCCTAACTCAGTAAACATTTTTTGTGTAGCTACTGTGTGACAGACACAGTTTCAAACACTTGACCTAAATTATCAACCTTCAGAAGAAGCTTAGGAGCTAGATACTATTTTCATCCCTACTGTCAGATGAAGGAACTGAGTTAAGAGAAGATAGAGTAATTGCCCACGGTAACATAGCCAGCAAGGCACGAAGTTGGGCTTTGAATCTGGCAGTCTCATTCCAGAGGCGGTTTCTTAACATGCTTCCTCTCGAACACTTCAGTTGAATAAATTAACTTCAAAACTAAAATTTAAAATTTCATTTTCCAACAAGCTGGCATATATTTTAACAACAACTTTTAAAATTTTGGTTTTATTTTAATATGAAAGTATTATAACGTTTAAACAAGTTTTAAAATTCAAGGTGGAGGGGGAAGAAGTGTAATGCCATCCCCATGACACAAGTAAATATTATTTCTGTTCTTGCCTGGACGTTTTTGAATAAAAGTGTGTTAGTATTGTTTGAAAAGAATCTTATAATACAATGGCTTTCATGTTTTTTTAATAAAGGACTTAAAAAATAAATGTATGTAGTGGAAATGCAGATGCATTGTCTTTTACTCACTGATGTTTCTCTCAGAGAAAAGTACGCAATGATGTTTGATGAGCCAGTTCTCCTGCAAGCTGGGTGGTGGTACGTGGCCTGGGCTCGAGTGTCAGGGCCCAGCAGTGACTGTGGGTCCCATGGGCAAGCGTCCATCACTACAGATGATGGGTAAGCAAGATGTTTGTGCTAATCAACCCTCATTTTTGGTAGTGGAATGCTGCTTAGAAATCTCAAGAGGTTTTTTTTTTAGCAGTGTAAAAGTCTTAGTAAGGCTACAGCATAATATGACTGCTAAAATTAAATTCACATTACCTCATGCCAAATTAAAGTCTAGACAGAAAAGAGAGATAATGGGACTGTACTTCTTTGCCCTCAGGTGGCATTTCTGTGTATTTCAGGTGGCATTTCTGTGTTACATTGTTTAAAAGCTCATTACTAAGTTAGAAGTTACATAGAGGACAGTGGCAATGATAGGAGTTTGGAAACCATACAATAAGAAATATATACTTGCTATAAAATTTGACAGTGCTTGTGAGAACAGTCTATGCATTGCAAAGCTTCAGCAATACTGGGCTGGTAAATGTCGAGCCAGAAGGACTAAGGAAGGGGACAGGACAGCTTTTCACCTAGTAGTTCCTGATCAAGTTCAGTTCCTTCCTTTTATTGATTAAGCCAGTGATTTTCAACTAGTGTGTCACAAGAATTTTTAAAACATGCAATATCTGAATATTTAGTCAGGGGCACTGACCACTTTTCCCTTAGATTGTCAAATTAAAAAATGACAATGGCCAAGACAACAATAAGTGTATGCTGGGAATGAATCAAAATTCTACCTACATTTTTGTCAGATCAACAAAAAATAGAATGTGTTTTTTGGTGTGCCACAGAATTTTAGTAATTAGTTTGTGTGCCATGAGAATCTGAAAAAGGTTGAAAATTGCTGGATTAAGCCATTCAGGTCTAGAATTAAAATCAGAACCATACCTTTTTTACTTCTTTTTCCTTAAAGAATACATCTCAGTCCATTAATACAAGATTTGAAAACATGACTGTTAAATTACTTATTTACTTCAATGAATCTTGAACAGTGTTGGTTTTGGTATCATTGTTATTTTGTTTTTTTCTTAGGGTTGTTTTCCAGTTTAAAAGTTCAAAGAAATCAAATAATGGTACAGATGTTAATGCTGGTCAGATACCTCAATTATTATACAGGTATTTAGCATATTTGTAGTTATTTAAAGGTTTATTATTTTGCTATAATGAACAAAGATCGCTATAAAAAGGGAGAAATTATTTGAAGCATTCAGCAAACTATAATAAATTTAACAAAAATTTTAATATTTTGTATGTTTTAACACTTTTTCTACATCATGCTTTTTAAACTTTACAGCTGACTCAGGTTATCTGTGTTATGCCAATAACAATATTTTAATGACTTATACAGGGTGGGGCAAAGTAGGTTTACAAGTGTGAGTATGTGAAAGTTTATTCTTGTATTATTATTTATTAATTACTGTGTTATTTTCCATATGAACAACTGTAATCCTACTTTTGCCCCACCCTGCATTTATAATTTGTCATGTCTTACCAGTATCTAAGTGTTATAAACTAATAAAAGTCGTCTTGGCAAAACGAAACCAAGGCGTTAGAGAAGTGAGATCCGAGTGGGAGACGGAACTTCGGCGCAGGCCCGACTGGTTTGCTGCCATCATACGTGTTCTTGCTGATCGTCTTGTGAGAGATGAATTGAGAAATCCCTTACTGCTGAAAATTTTCACCCTTACCTCAGTTATCAAATAGAAACTTGCTTGTGTATAATGTTTATTATATTTTCCTGTTATTTAGAATTTTAATTTTTGGTAATGGGGACATAGGAAAGCACATGCATATATCTGTCTACTTCTAGATTACTGCAATAATTTTTAGAATAAAGTATGCAAATAGAAAAATGTCACTAAAAATGTCATTCTTTAAGTAGTAAAAATTAAAAGAAATTACTTCTAAAACAGTAATTCTCTGTCTCCTATATCTTCCTTTCTGGTAATCACTTTGATGATATGAATAAACCTCACTTTTCCCAAGAAGGGAGTTTTGTTTGTGTTCATGCTCTTTATTATAGTTAATATTTCTAATATGTAGCATTATGAACATAACAAGCTGTTTGGACTACTGTTGGTTGAACTGATTGAATAACTTTTAAGTAATGGAATTTAATGGAGGCATTAGTATAGAACATAAAGTTAAATGTGTTGTCTGGTAAGAGATTCTCTATTGTCCAGCCTTACAAAGGTGGCATTTAAATGATGAAATGCTCACATGCTAAAAGTTTTGCTTAGCATTGGGAAATATTTCTGAAAAGCCCTATATTGGCATTTTACCTAACAAAAATATTTAAATGTATAGTTTAATTATTTCACTATTGCAAAAATAGATATTTTGAGAGGAAAAATGTCGCTGGCCTTTCTAGCATAAATTTATGTGTGTCTGCTACCTTCAGACTTCCAACCAGTGATGGCAGTGCTTCAAAAGGCAAACAGCAAACTAGTGAACCTGTACACATTTTAAAGAGATCTTTTGCAAGAACCGTTTCAGTGGTAAGCCATTTTTTAAAATTTCAGTATTTTTATCCAGTGCTCAGTTTCCTTTTGACGTTTAGCATTTAGCTACTCTTCTAACACTCTATTTCAGCATAGCTTTATGAACTCAGATTTGTTTTTGTATTAGCATTGACACTCCATGCCAAAGAATATGAACTTTAAGTAATGGGAAAATAGAAGTGATTTTCTGACTGATTTTAACATGCCTTGCTATTTCTGAAATAACTGGTGAATTTTCTGGTAAGTCATGTATGGGCATGTATGATGAAGCAGTTAGAAACTGAAGGAAAACTTAAGGGGTGGTATTGCTCCCACAATGTTATTTTAATACTTTAGGAACTAAACAGAAGTGTCTCATGTCTAACTAGGGATTTTATTGAACTACTTGACATCATTGTTCTATATTTGAAGGTGCAAGATGCTCTGTTGAGGCTTCCTCTGTAGAATGAAAAGTCAACACGATGTAATTGAAATATAGCATGTTGCTTAGGAAGTCTTGCTTTTTCATTTATTAGTTGGGGATGCTTATGCAACTTATCTACATACACTATGTCATAGTGTCATTATGAGTTTTTAATGACATAAGGGATACAGAAATTATTTTTAAATTGTAAGGTACTATATGAATGTGATTTATTAATGTAGCTGATAGTCTGTCCTATTAGTAAAAGGCAAAGGGAAATGTGTTTTTTAATTAGTTTTTTAAAACACAAAATTGATATATATCCCACGGTGGGAGTAAGGTAAAGATAAAACAAAAACTAAAGATATATTAAAGTTTTTTCCCCCCATCACACTGTTATTACTATATGTAACTACTGTTTACATTTTGATATATGTCCTTCCAGCTATTTTTTTATATATACACATATCTATCAGTCTGCATATGCAGTGTGCTTTCTTATTTGTGTTTGATCATGCTTCAAGTTTTGTATCGTCAAAAATTTTATAGTATGCACTGTGGACATATTCCATATTAGTACATTTGGTTCTATTTCAGTCTTTTCTACTGTTTGCAGCGTATTCCTTAGAATGGTAGGACAGTAAGTCCTCACTTAATGTTGCTGATAGGTTCTGTGCCTTAAGCTAAGTGATGTATAATGAAACCAATTTTACCATAGGATAATTGATATAAACAAAAGTTAAGCTCCTACACATCTTACCATGTTAAAACAAAATGATGTTTGAATGAAATGACATTATTTGAGGACCCACTTTATTTTACCTTATTCAACTCTATTCCTATCAAAAGTCTGTTTCTCATTTTTATTGTTATATTCATATATATGTGTCTTTGATTATTTATATACTTATGTCAATATTTCTACTGGAAGTGTGCTCACTTCAATTTTGACATAATTTGCCAAGTTGGCCTTCTAAAAGAACTATGGCAGTTTATAGAAAATGTGCTTTGGATAAGAGACTACAAGGCTTTTGGCTCCTTGGTAACTTGGATCTTTTTATTATCAAGATCAGGTTTGTGCCCTGGCTGGTGCGGCTCAGTGGATTGAATGCCAGTCTGTGAACCAAAGGGTCGCTGGTTCAATTCAGTCAGGGCACATGCCTAGGTTGGGGACCAGGTCCCCAGTAGGGAGTGCACAAGAGGCAAGCACACATGGATGTTTCTCCCCATCTCTTTCACCCTCTCTAAAAATAAATAGGTAAAATCTTTAAAAAAATCAGATTTTCTATCTTTTGATCCAAATAAGTATATATGATTATATTGGGGTTTCTTTTTAGTGATCTCTTTTCTGTACCTAGTAATTCTTTTTATGTTTTTGTCTATCTTAGTGGTTTTGTGGTCATTAGGTAATTATAATCTTTATATAGAAAACTTATTCAATCATTTATTTAAAAAGTTAAGCTATAAACTCTTTATTTTTGGTATTAGTAAACCAGAGGACTAGAATTTGTCAGGGATAAGGGAGTAAGTTCCTTGCTTTAAGAGTCATCTGTGGTAGTATCCATCATCATGCAAACATGATAAAACCTGCAGACCAGTAGAACTACAGTGATGTTAAACATGGGTTTATTATACCATAAACTCATATTTTAGAATTTTTAAAAATCCACATAAGAATTTTTTAGTATTTTAGTGGTCAGTTTTTATATTCCATTAACTTACCAATATTTGGCTTAGTTTGTATTGTTTGTATTTAATATGTAGATATAGAATAAATTTTTTGATATCACTGATGTCTTATACTAGATGCTTTACATTCAAAAATTACTCAAGTGGTTAAAGTACTTGTGGTTTATTTTCACATTACTACCTTGAAAATGTAGAGTTTGATTTTCCTTTCAAGTAAACATGTATTTATAAGTGATTTTCTTATTTTTTCATAATTATATGATAAACTAGATAGATTGGTAGCAGGGAAACTTAAAAATGTGTTTGTAAATAGGTAAATATTGAAGAATGTTGTTTTTATAGATGCCTAACTATCATTTTTGTCAAGCTTCAAAGATGTTCCTAGTGGTAATTTAATGTATAAACTAATAAAATGTCTGTTATTTGGGCTACCAAAACTTTTCAACACAAAGTTTTGAAGTTGATTGTCATCTTTCCATTTGATTCAACAGATAGTATCATTTGAACTAATTGTTTTTCTATTTCTTCATATTCTGGATTAGGAATGTTTTGAGTCACTGTTGAGTATTCTTCACTGGAGCTGGACCACCCTAGTCCTAGGAGTTGAAGAACTTAGAGGATTAAAAGGATTCCAGTTTACAGCTACACTTCTAGATTTGGAGAGGCTGCGCTTTGTGGGTACCTGTTGTCTGAGGTTATTGCGTGTCTATACCTGTGAAATTTACCCAGTGTCAGGTATGGTGCATTTTTTGAATGATTTGGAAAGAAAATATTTGAGGCTTGAGAAGGCATGTGTAGGAATAGTCAAGAGTTTTAAGATCCCTTGGTGAACACACAGCACGTTAAGCAGATGATGTATTACAGAGTTGTAGGCCTGAAACCTATATAAATTTTATTAACCAATGCCACTCCAGTAAATTCAGTTCAAGTTTTTAAAATAGATCTCTAGCTGCCTTTATGCTTATGTATTGATTATAAAGAGTAAAATACCTTACATGTCATTCTGTAAACAAAAAAGTCATGTTAGGCTAAAATTCAATAATGAACTGCTATTTTAGATTCTGTCAAATAGAAATATTTTAGCCAACTGATTTGGACTTATATGCTGAAACCAGTATTGTGTTTTGTTTTTCTATTTAGATTTTTAAAAGAAGTAATCTTAGACCACAGTCTCTAAATTGTTTCCTGTCTAGGTTATGAGTACTTTTGATTTTTAGTTGTATAAGAAATTACTAGAATTATATTGAATGTTTTCATGCATATTTATTATTCTATTTAATTACCAATCTACTTTGTTTCCTTAAAGCTACAGGTAAAGCAGTTGTGGAAGAAACTAGCAAATTAGCAGAATGTATTGGAAAAACCAGAACTTTGTTAAGGAAAATTCTATCAGAAGGAGTGGATCACTGTATGGTGAAGCTGGATAACGATCCTCAGGGATATCTCAGTCAACCCTTGAGCCTCCTAGAGGCCGTGCTGCAGGAGTGCCATAACACCTTCACCGCCTGCTTCCACTCCTTCTACCCGACGCCGGCCTTGCAGTGGGCCTGCCTGTGCGATCTGCTGAACTGTTTGGATCAGGTAGTTCAGGTTTTTAAAATGTTCTTTGAAAATATGATCTATTAGTTAATTCTCTTCAAGGAAATCAATAACAATTGCCTCAGTCTTTCTAACTTTTATAGAAGGTAAGTCAGGAAATCAGTTTGGAGTATGTATTTTCATAATCAAAGTTCAAAAAATTTTTTGTTTGCTTTATCATTTTTTAGTTGTAAAATTGGCAAGCACAATGTGCAGCTGCCAGTTTGTTCTTTGAACCTACGAGTGAGTGAGTGAGTGTGTGTGTGTGTGTGTGTGTGTGAAGGAGAAAAAGATCAATAGCAAGGGAGCATGTGAGAGGCAGGAGAGCACTAGAAGCGCAGCTCCCACCACCCCGTATCTGCAGAACAGTCAGGAGAGGGCTATGAGCTATGAGTGAACTGGCATGCTGACATCCTTTATTTCTTCGTTCCTTCATGAGGAAACCACAGCCCTCATAAATGTGTATGCCCCACAACACAGTTTCAAAACACCTGAGGCAAATGAAGAGAGAAAGAGACAAATTTATGTTGATAGTTGGAGACCTCAATACTTCTTTTTCAGTAATTAATAGAACAACTAGACAAAAAATCAGTAGGGATACAAGAGATTTGAACAACACTATCTACCCCCTTGGTCTAATTAACATTTAAAAAACAGAACGTGCAGCCCTGGCCAGTGTAGCTCAGTTGGTTGGAGCATCCTCTCAGGACCAGGTTGCAGGTTCGATTCCTGGTCTGAGTGGGATGGAAGACAACCAATCAATGTTTCTCTCTTACATCAATGTTTCTTTCTCTCTCTTCCTTTCTCTAAAAAAAGCAATGAAAAAATGTTCTCAGGTGAGGTTAAAATAAATAAATAAATAAACAAACAAACAGAATGGGTAAACACAGTATATACATTCTTTCCAAGTATACATATAATATTCATGAAGATAGATCATAGATCATATGGTAGACCATCAAGTGTCTTAGTCTATTTCACAAGACTAAGATCTTAAAGTGTTTTCAGAGCACAATAGAATTAAATTAGAAATAAATAACAATATATATCAAGAAAAGTACCAAATATTTGGAAAATAGACACTTCTGAGTAACTGGTGAATCTAAGAAGAAATCCAAAGGAAATTAGAAAATATTTCACACTGAAAGATAAATATATAACACATAAAAAATTTTAAGAAGTAGGTAAAAACATTGCTTAAGAGAGGAAATGTGTACTTTTAAATGCTACTGCTAGCAAAGAACAGTTTAAAACCAATGGTCTAAGTTAGTACCTTAACACATTGCATACTGTTCACGAGTTTCCTCTTGTTTTGCGTGCCTCAACCCACAAGCAAAAATGAAGTATAAACAGTTTCTGCTATCAGAAGAGTCTTACAAACAATGGGAAGACAAAGAAACAATTCCCAAATAAAAGGAAAGGAGGAAGCCTCAGAAAGAATGCTAAATGAAATAGAGGCAACTCAACTATCAGATACTGAGTTCAAAGCAGTGATTGTCAGGAAGCTCAATGAGCTCACAATGAGCTACCAGAAACTACAGGGAAGCTACAATGAGCTCACTGCAAACGATATTAACATGAAAAAGGAAATAGAAACTATCAACAAGGGCCAAGAAGAAATGAAGAACAGTTTCTGCTATCAGTGGGGAGAGACTGGATAACAGATGACAATAACGAAGGCTCTCCGGAATCAGAGACAAATCTGTCCAGCCCTTCCCCTGGGGGTGCAAGGAGAGCACCTTGTGAAGATCCACCCAAAAGGTTGTCAGGTGATATGAAACAGCCTGAACCTACGTGTATTCCAGCGAGTGGAAAGAAAAAATTTCCTATAAGAGCCTGCAGAGTTTGTGCCGCCCATGGAAAAAGGAGCAAATCTAGATACTTATGTAAATTTTGTTTGGTCCCTCTTCATAGAGGAAAATGTTTCACGCAGTACCATACATTAAAAAAGTACTAGGAACTTTAATTGTTTAATTAGTTGTTTAATTGTTTTTGTAAATAATGTTATAATTATTGAAAAACAGCACCTAAAGTGCATTACGATCTGTAGTTATGATGATTTAAATAACGTGCAGATTGCCCAGAAACATGCGGTCCCTGGCATATGTCTTAGAGATTTCTATGTGGTACTCAATATGTTGATTAAGGAGCCAGGAAAAAAGAGCAAATCAAATCTGAAGAAAGTAACAGAGGATGGAAATAATAAAGATAAGAACAGAAATTAGTGAAATAGTAAATACAGAGAATTAAAGTAAAAAGTTGGTTCTTTGAAAATTAGACAAAATTTTAAAATGCCTAGAAAGTCTGATTGAGAGACTAGTGAGAAAGAAAAAACAAATAAAATAGGGAATATCACTGGTAGACCTATCAGACATCAAAGTGATACTAAGGGAATATTATGAACAAGTTTATACTAATAAATTATAACAGGATAAAATAAAAAAATTTCTTGAAAACTATCACTGAAGCAAAACTGGCACAAGAAGAAGTAAACCTGAATTGCCTTATATCCATTAAAAATTGATTTCATTATCAAAGACTACCACAAAGAAAACTCTAGTCCCAGATATTGTCATTGGAAAATTCTTTTAAACATGTCAGAGAGAAATACTATCAACTTTTTACAAACCCTTTAAAAAATATAGGAGGCAGCACTTCCCAACTAATTCATCGAGTTAGCTTTATCCTGATAACAAAACTTGACAGAGCTATTAAAGGATAAGATTAGTATAGACAAATACAACTCAGAAACATAGATGGGGAAGTTATTGACAATATTGTCAAGTCAAATCTAACTGTATAAAAAATATATCGTAGCAGGTGGGGCTTATCTTAGAATGCAAGGGTAGTTTAACATTCAAAATTCAATGTAAATCACCATATTACCTGAATAAAGAGGGAAAATTATATGATCTCCATCATATAATGGAAATACAGAGAAACTGTAGTTGACCCTTGAACAATGAGAGGGTTAGGTGCACCAACCACCCACACAATCAAAAATCCATATATAACTTAGGTCAGCACTTCACATACACAGGTTCCCAGCCACAGTTCAAAAACAGTCATTGACAAAGTTAGCATTTATTCAGTGATGAAATTCAGCAATTTAGGATTTAAGGAAACTTCCTAAATCTGAGGAAGGATATCTACAAAAAGACCTATAGGTAACATCAAAATTAATGGTGAAATATTGATTGCTCCTCCAAAGTTTGGGAAGAATACACAAGGTGTCTTGTTCTCTCCACCTCTACTCAACACTGGACCGGAATTTGTAGAGCCCCATCCCACCCTCAGACAAAAGATTCACTGACATTAGTCACCAGGGTATCCTAGCCCAGTGGAAGGGTGTTCCAGTAATAACGTCTGGGTAGGCAGCTTTGTTTTCATTTTACTTTATTTTTTTTAGCTGTGTACATACTGACTATTTTTCTTGTCATTCAAAAGAAAAGTTATTGTGTTAAGAATGTTTACTGAGTCCACATTATAATATTCATTAGCGATAGGTACAATGTTACATAGCAGATCTCTAGCACTTATCTTTTACAGATAAATGCTACTGACTAGGTTAACTTTAACAAACATTGAGTTAACTTTTAGAAAGTTGTTTTACTTTTAGCCTGTCTTTGTGACACATGTTTGATGAACAAAGTAAGGTGTACACGGAATGTACGAATTCCTTTATCAGTTAGGATATCCTGTATCCTTAAAGTTTTTCAAGATTTTTTTATTTTTATTTATTTATTTTTTTTTAGAGAGGGAGGTTTCTCTCTTTTTTTTAAAGAGAGAGAGAGAAACATCAATGTGCAGTTGCTGGGGGCCATGACCTGCAACCCAGGCATGTGCCCTGACTGGGAATCGAACCTGCGACACTTTGGTTCGCAGCCCGCGCTCAATCCACTGAGCTACACCAGCCAGGGCTGTTGATAAGTTTTTAATTCTCCTATTTGCTACTGATTTTTCCTGAATAAACTGTGCAGTGTGATGACATGATTTTGTGACCTTAGTGAGATGTTATTAACATCAGTGAAATGTTATAGTAGGATAGAATTATAATTTAAATTGTTATCTGAGAAAAATAGTTTCAGTGCTTGTTACTGGAAATGCCTTTGATATATGCTAACAGTGCTAGAAAGGACTGATCCTGAAGATATGTAAATATATATAAACTCATTTATTGGAGAACACAAGGCTGATTTTTCTTGATCATGTTTAATAAGTTTTCACCTTCATTGGGTGGTAACTTAAATGTGTTCAAAAGTATTGATGTAACATTATCCTTTAACAAGATAATTATAGTGATTGAGCTCTAGGGAATTTGGTATGACTTAAAATGGTGTTTTCCTTTTATATATCCAGAAACTTGCATTATACTGATGCAGTATTTCTTAGGTGGGGTACATTTTTTTGTTTTCAAAAGGATATCCAAGAAGCAAACTTCAAGACATCAAGTAGTCGACTTCTAGCAGCTGTTATGTCCGCTCTGTGTCACACTTCTGTTAAGCTGACTTCCATCTTCCCTATTGCCTATGATGGAGAAGTACTGCTGCGGTCAATCGTTAAACAAGTTAGCACAGAGAACGACTCAACACTGGTTCACCGGTTTCCCCTTTTGGTAGCGCATATGGAAAAACTCAGCCAGGTAGGTCTTCTGAAATATCCTTTATAGTGAAACAATAGAATATAAATGGAAGCATATTTAGCCTGGTGTTTATTCTTTTATATCAGTAAATATCTTTACAAGATAATTATGTGTTTCACAAGAAGAACTAAAATTAAGAAAAAAATTCTCATGTTTACCTATAAGTGAGTAGTCTTTTTTCTCTATTTATTTTTAATGATTCCTAACCTATAAGAAATTTGAGAGTCATAGTGGATTTCTGTGTATTTGTTTTTGGCTGAATATTTTAAAGTTGCAGCTACTATAAGAATGTTTTATATTCTAATATAATATTTTATATTACCAAGATAGAATTCTAAGGAAATAAATAACTTTTAAAACATTTTTATAAGATTTTATTACATTAAAATAAGCATTATAAAACAGTAGTCATAGAAACATTCTCTAATAATTGCATCTGGTTTATTAAAAAACACTATGGAGAAAAATTAACAAATACACATGAAAACTGTATATAATTGCTCACAAGTTAATGAGAACTAATCTTTAAAATAAAGGTAAACAAGGAGTAGAACATAGAAAAATTAATTATTGTACGATAGCAGTTTTCTGTTGACTGAAGCAACTGAAAAATTAAGAGAAAAAATTTAATGACATTTAGAAACAAAAAGGATAATAGCAGAATTGGAAGGAAATTTCCAGAGTCAATATAATATGTTTGTAAGATCTCAGTAAAAATAATGAATGTAGCTATAACAGGACTTTAGCATAGGCCAGCATGGGAAAAATTTCAGTCTTATAATTAAAAGTGAATGAAAGTTCTTTTGAGGTTATCAACTTATTTGTAAAAAATTTGGAAAAATAAATTTCCCATAAAGTGCTCTGCTGGTGAGATCTGCTAAACTTACAGAGGGTTTATGGTATTATGTAATTAATGTAAGTAATCTTTTTTGCCACATGATTCACAACTATTTATTGTACATCTACTATTTACTGGAATTTTAATTACCTGATAGTTAACACAAGGGTGAAAAAATACACATAGCTTTGAAATTTGGGCAGATAGAAAGTATTTTTACAAAATAAATTGTTAGTTCAGTGCAATGAGTATTTGCAGAAAAAATTACCTGAGGAAATAACTTGAAGAATAAAGCTATATGTATATTTTATTTTAAAATATTTAAAACCTTAATTAGAGACTTAACTGTACATTATTAAGTGAAATAGTTGAATTTATGATACATTGATTTGACAGATTATGGTTTAGTCTTTAAAAATAACTATATATACATTCAGTATCAAGGCAGATGTTTTTAAATTTAAAAAATCAGCCAAAAGTATATATACTTTATGATGACTGACTGTAAAATATGAATACAAAAGGCACACATTTTGTAGTATTTAGGCAGGGCATATTCTGGAAGAGAATACTGAGAAATGAAAATAATGCTTTGGTGATAAAGTTTTGGGTATTGTATGGTTTTCTTTTGGACTTCCTGTAGTATTGCAGTATTTTCTTGAAAAATACAGTAAAATTTACTTTATTTGTTTTTTTTAATTATTACTTTTAATAACATTTGTATTTACTAATTTGAGAGAGAAGGAAAAAATGTTGATTTCTTGTTTTACTTACTTATGCATTCACTGGTTGATTCTTGTGTGTGCCCTGACTCCCGGGGACGAAGCCTGCAGCCTGGGTGTATTGGGACGACTCGAACCAACTGAGCCACCCAGCCAGGGCCCAACAATATTTTAAAAACATTTTTAGAGAACTACGCACATTTGATGGTTGTTAAGAATTAGTAAATGTATTTTTGTATGTCCCTCTATATCCCGGTTAGTATTCTACCCTCTTTTTAATGGATATTATAAAGTTCTACCATTTAAGTGTAGCATAATAATTGTAACCAAGTTTTTATATATATACTTATATTTCCCATATTTCAGTCTTTTAAACAATGCTGTTGAAAATATCATTGACTAAAATTTTATGTATATTCATGTTGATTTTTTCCAGGATAAATCTTTAGGGGTGGAAATTCATAAGTCAAAGGAAAGAATGTTAAGACTTTGTTACAAATCACAAAATATCTTCCAGAAAGCTAGTGTCAGCTTGTATTTCCCACCACTAGTGAATAAGATGACCTTTTCCTAAAACTACTGTGCCTGATGATGTGCTAAATTTTCTTTTTTCTTTTGGGCCTTCTAACAAAAGCATATTGACACAGTGAACTCCATGTTAAGATTATATGGGAAGCTTCTTGTATTAATCTCGTCAATCACTAATTAGAAAATTAGTGGTCATAACTAAGTAAACACAGTCCACTTATCCCTCACCCCCTTCACCCCAAGTATAGTCCTTCATGTAGGATTATCTATAATCTTGTAGGATTATAGATAATGAAGGACAATTGGGGATTGAGTTTTATCAAAAGCTGTCTTTCTGAGATGTTGCAGAAAGTAAAGTTTCTGGGGAATGAAAGTGATATAGGGATGAAGAATTCTCATTTTAACAGAATTAATAATTGATTATTTTAAAGACAGGAGAACCAATTACATGAGAAATTGACCAAAATGTTACAGTGATCTTGTTCAAATGGATAATACAAATAACTTAAAGATGGAAGATGATCTCTAAGTGACTTACTGTTTTCAGCCTAAGATTAAGGAAGACACTGAAAATGATTTTTAAGAATGCTCTTGATGACTTTAACTAAAAATTTACTTAATTTTCCTTAATGTACTGAAAGTATATTCATTTACGTGTTTGATTTGTCTTTGAAAGAGTGCTAATAACTTTGTGATCCTTTTCCACCCTGAAATTTTATGAATTTATGAAATCTGTGGAATCTGTATATATAGTATAGCTTATAAAGTGGTGTGGAATATAATAAGTATTGTGGAAGAATTTGTTTGCTCGGGTGCCCACACAGTAATTTCGATCTCTGAATCATAGCAAAGAGTTCCCTGATTTTACAGATGTAGTTGAGTCACTGTGAAGAAACTGAAGCTAGATCCAAATTGCTTGATTCCCTAGTCCACAGTAAAACTGAAAGGGTTGTTGGTCACTATTGGCCCTTGATGAAATTAAATGCATTTTGCTCTCTGTCCACAGTGGGCTAAGAGATACTGAGAATGGTAAAGGAGATAAATAATGTTTGTGCTGGGTATCAATTAAAATCCATTAATCATCTTTCTCCTTTTTTTCTGGAAAAAAAGTATTTTCCCATTGGTCTTTAATGGCATTCTTTAATTTCTTGAACTTTTTTCAGTGGTAGGGGTTGGAATTTTTCTCTCTTCACTTATAAAGTCAAATACATAGAAGTTATAAAATTGTATTGGAGTAGTTGTAGTAGAATTTCATACTTTTTATGACATACATGTACAGAAAGATTTTTGTTAGAAAATGGATTTGTGCAAACTACAACATTTCTTAGTTTTTTTACCTCCAGATATACCAGAAATAATTATCTAAAATTGGAATCTTGACCATAGAGAAAGCTTTTTAAATGGCAAGAGTTTTATTCTGTTTTCATGAAGAATTATTATTGAAAAGTTAAAAGAATAAGTGAAAATACCAAAACGCTAATAAAACATACCTTATAAATGGTATGTTTTAAATGTATGGTCCTTATGTACACAGAGCCTAATAATTCAAAAAGAACTTTTGAATGAAAAGTAGGTATAATGATTCCACATACAGCTGGACAGATTTATAGATATAGACTCTGGTCTGAATTTAAAGATTTCATCTGGAAAGAGATTTTGAAATCAAGTGCTCATATGAAGGAAATAAAGCAGTAGCTTTGAACTTCTTTTCCCCATGAACCATAGAGTGAAGAGAATATCTCAGGGATGACAAGCTTCCGTGAAGTTCTGGAGAAGATGCTGGTTATTGTCGTGCTCCCCGTCAGGAACAGCCTGAGGCGGGAAAATGAGCTGTTCTCCTCCCACTTGGTCTCCAACACCTGCGGGTTACTGGCCAGCATTGTCAGCGAGCTGACGGCGTCAGCCCTGGGATCGGAGGTGAGGGTTTATTTTGAGATTGGATAATAAGCACATGATCAAACTTCCCACATAGTTTCTTTTTTCATATATTTTGGCTTCATGGAAACTGATTTCAAACCCACTGTGGTGTTTTGTTTTGTTTTTGTTACTGAATTTTTTTCATTACCATTTAGTCCCCTTATATCCTCTTCCCCCTCTTTTTTTTCCTAAAAAAAAAACCTTTAAGCTAGCTAGACTGTTTTTCCCTTCTTTATATCTCTTCTCCACTTTTATTTGCTTCCTTTCACCAGTTTACCGAGGATGTTATAGTAATACAAAATACCAGTATATACACTTTTCTCTTAGCTGCTGCATTGCACAGCCCCACTGCCATGTCCCATAAAAGCAAAAATAGTTTGCGTTGCTGCATAAAGAATAATGAAAGTACGACTACTACTAAACATAATGTGGAAAAGTAGAGTGGTTCAGACCTTAGCTCTGTCCACTTGATTGACCCTAGACAACTATGTAAGTCACAAAGGTTTTTTAATATGGTAAAATGCAAATAACAACATTTATTATTCTGTTTTTTTTGTGTACAGTTCAGTTACATTAAGTACATTCACATGGTTGTGTAGCCATCATCAAAAAATTTTAAAAGGCCCTGGCTGGTGTAGCTCAGTTGGATTGAGCACGGGCTGTGAACCAAAGTATCGCAGGTTCTATTCCCAGCCAGGGCACATGCCAGGGTTGCAGGCCATGGCCCCTAGCAACCGCACATTCATGTTTCTCTTTCTCTTTCTCCCTCCCTTCCCTCTCTAAAAATAAATAAATAAATCTTAAAAAAGGTTTTAAAAGGATCAAATACTATGTTTAAGAAGACCATTTTGAAACATTTTAAAGTACCTTTACATTTTGTAAAGTAACATATTTTGCTATTTCACTGCCCTACAATATCTGTTTTATAAGTTATCTAAACATTTTGGCTGAATTTAATAAATGGTGCTGTTTTTCTCCAAAAAGCAAACAGTACATTGGTTTTGAAAAATGTATATACTTGGTATATGTCAGTGGTTCCAGGTCTCAAGGTTCTTACAGAGGAACTTTTTTCTCTATTTTACTTTTATAATTCCTGGTCTTTGCTTTTTCTTATTTATAGATTTACTGTAGAATCTATTCTGAGTTAACCCATCCAGTCTACACTCATTACTGATTCATCGTGACAATTTAGCCTTTAGAGTTTCTGAGTGAGTACATGCACCTGAGGAGATACTAGTTTCTCACCCTGGGACGCAGTTCCTCCATTTCTTAGTGAGCTTAGGCTCTGGCCTTGGATGCCATTGAAGCCCTGTCAGGAAATTTAAAAAATATTTTTTTTTACTTATTCATTTAGCCTATAATATCCTTCCCTTCTGTAACAGATCCCAGAAGAAAAAGTCTGTAGTGCATGGGTATCCCTCAGAATGTCACTATCTCGGTATTACCTGTGAACTAACCTTTCTAATGAAAAGGAATGCCCAGAATTTCAGGTTCCTCATATACATCCTTGGAAGTTTCTAAAGGTCCTGTCTTAGACATCCATGTTTATTTCTTTCCCAGAGTAGTTTGTAATGCTGTAATTGTAAACTTCACTTTTCTTCCTCTTGTGGGTCTTCCAAATTTTTGCAGCCAACTTAGGATAGCAGCAGGATCTATAATTAAAAAGGCTGTTTTTAAACCAAAATAAGTTCTCTGATCTTCTCTGATGAAAGCCTGTAATTAGTGAGGTTGTATTTGTATACATATTCAAAAATATTGAATGCCAAGTTATAATATCACTGTATACATTAGTGTTATTCAGACCTAAGACAGAACATTTTCTACAAATGAAGTCTTACTTGAAAACTCACAGATAAGTGTAGGGATGGTCTGACTAAAGAGGGACCTCAGTTCACCTCTCTCTTGAATACCTGTCTCTGCAGAACTCCTGAAGCTTTCTGTGGCATTGATTGAAATCTGTTGGTCTATAGAGTATTGATTAATTTTTTTTTTAGTATTTCCTTTTGAAGTGAGTAACGCTTCATACGGTATGACTGTGACAACATTAGTTTATAGTTCTGACATTATAAATTATGTGAAATGTATAGTTTATATGACTAAAAGAAGAAAATACTCTCAAGTGATACTGATTTGTGAATATAGAATGATAAAATCTGATTTTATTGCTGGTTAGTCTCTTAACGGAATGTACCTTTATGTAAGGTTTCAACCCATCTGTTAAATGTATGTTACTATGTTGACCTTCTTAGAAACCTTTGAATAGTATTGTTAAAGGTATGTTGTTAACACTCAGCTAGACTACTGATGTAATCGCTTTTGTCATTCACAGATTGATGGACTTAATTCTCTTCACTCTGTTAAAGCCAGTGCTAACCGATTCACAAAAACAAGTCAGGGAAGAAGTTGGAACACTGGGAATGGGTCCCCTGATGCAATCTGTTTTTCAGTCGACAAGCCTGGCATAGTTGTGGTTGGTTTTTCTGTCTATGGAGGAGGTGGAATTCATGAATATGAATTAGAGGTGCTGGTTGACGATGTAAGTAGCACTCTTACGGAGTTCATGTTGCTATGCGAGTCATGTGTTAGGACTTCCTACCATAGTATGATAGTTCAGATCTTTGAGGGTTTTGCAGATCAGTCATAGATGGATGACAATAAAGAAATTGAAAGAGAACAGTTCTACCTGGTTGCTTCTGTGCCATCTTGGGTCAGTCTTCCTCATATTTTTTATACTTCCAATGAAGATTTTAAATGATAAGACTAGAAATTATATAGCTAAGCCTATGATTATAATCTTGAGTGAATTTTTTTTGCTATTGTAAGTTATCAAGAAACAAGAGCAATATTCAGACTGGTTTTATTACTTGTATCCATGGTTAAGCAACTTTGTCATAGAGTGCTAATAGATGACTTTTAGTAAAGATATTTATTGAGGGGACTTTTGGTCAAGATGGAGGCTTAGGAAGAGATGCTTCGCCTCCCTGAGGAACGGCAAGAACAATCACAGCTACTCTCAAAACAAAAAATACCCAGAACTGCCAGAAAATCAAACTGTATGGAAGTCCAACAAGCAAGGATTTAAAGAAGCCATATTTGTTCAGATGAGTAGGGAGGGGTGGAGATGGGGAGTCAGAGCAGAGAGGATGCAGTTTGTGTCATGGGGAAGCTGTGGCAGAATGGGGGGGTCCCACACTCATGTGTGGTGGATAAAAATTGGAAGGGATACCTTAGGAGCAAACGATCCCAGCCCCAGGCCAGACCACACAGCCCAGGGTTCCAGCACTGGGAAATAAACCCTCATAATTTATGGCTATAAAAACCAGTGGGATTTAGGGCAGTGGAAGAAACTGCCAGTCACTTGGGGAGTCTGTTTAAAGGTCCTGCACAGTCCTAGAATGCACGCAAACCTATCCACTTGGGAATCACCACCAGGGCAACAACTAGAAAGGCGCCAGTTGCAAATGGGCAGTGGGTGAAGTGACTGGAAATGGGGTGAGTGCCACATAAATGTCCAGAAGCCAGGCTGTGGCATTGTCCCCTCTCCAACCCCTTCCCACACACAGAGCCACAAAATGGTGATGTGTGTTGCCTCACAGTGGTAAATACCCAAGGCTTTGCCCTGTACAACTCAACAGGTGTGCTAAGGGAGTCAAAGCAGCTCTACCTAATACACAGAAACAAACACAGGGAGGCTGCCAAATTGAGGAGACAGAGAGGTATGGCACAAATGAAAGAACAGAAAACAAAACTCCAGAAAAAGAACTAAACGAAATGGAGATAGCCAACTTAGCAGATGCAGAGTTCAAAATGCCTGGTAATAAGGATGTTCAGAGAAATCACTGAGTATGGCAAAAACATAAGGGAAGAAATAAAGGCTACAGTAAGTGAAATAAAGAAAAATCCACAGGGAATCAGAAATGAAGGGAAGGAAGCCGGGATTCAAATAAATGATTTGGAACGTAAGGAAGAAATAATCAGAACAGAAGGAAGAAATAAGAATTCAAAAGAAAAAGAGAGTATAAGACTCTGGGACATCTCTAAAGGTGCCGGCATCCAAATTAGGGATGCCAGAAGGAGAAGAGGAAGAGCAAGAAATTGAAAACTTATTTGAAAAAATAATGAAAGAAAACTTAGACATACAAATCCAGGAAGCACAGAGAGTCCCAAACAGATTGGACCCAAAGAGGTCAACACCAAGACACATCATAATTAAAATGCCAAAGGTTAAAGAGAGAATCTTAAAAGTAGCAAGAGAAAGAGCTACCTACAAAGAAGTTCCCATAAGGCTATCAGCTGATTTCTCAAACGAAACTTCGTAGACAAGAAGGGCCTGGCAAAAAGTATTCAAAGTGATGAATAGCAAGGACTACAACCTGGATTACTCTGTCCAGCAAAGCTATCATTTAGAATGGAAGGGCAGATAAAGTGTTTCTCAGACAAGGTAAAGCTAAAGGAGTTCACCATCATCAACCTGTTATTACATGAAAAATTAAAGGGACTTATTTAAGAAAAAGAAGATAAAAACCATGAACATTAAAATGACAACAAACTCACAACTGTCAACAACTGAACCTAAAAAAACAAAAACAACTAAGCAAACAACTAGAACAGGAATAGGATCATAGATATGGAGACCATTTGGAGGGTTATCAGCTGGGAGGGGAAGGGGTGAGAATGGAGGAAAAGGTACAGGGAATAAGAAGCATAATTGGTAGGTACAAAATAGACAGGGGAACATTAAGAACAGTATAGGAAATGGAGAAGCCAAAGAACTTTTATATGCACAGCCCATGGACATGAACTAAGGGGGGAAGGATTACTGAAGGGAAGAGAGGTACTGCGCAGAGGAGGGTAAAGGGGGGAAATTGGGACAACTGTAATAGCATAATTAATAAAATATTCTTTAAGAAAAGGTATTTATTGATTTAGCTATATTTTGCTATATTCTGTGAAGTACCTGAGTTTTCACAAAGTTTTATTGAGGGGACAGAAGATAGTTTTTCCTAATAAGTAACAATCTGAGTTTGGTTTTTTGAGCAATTAAAGTAATTATTTCTCACCTTCATTAAACTCTATAATTAGATACAGGATTATTCTCATGAAGAGGTGGGAATCCTTTTAGGATATCAGGTGAGAGAAGTCCATTTATTTGATTTAGGTTGTAGACTCACCAGGAAATCAGAAAAATGCAGTTTATTGAGTACTCAAAATTTTTTTTTGTATGTAGGTGAAATGCTAATAGTTAATTTTATGTGTAGGTGACTGAAGTGCTTTAAAACAATTTTTGATTATAAGTCAAAATTACTCATATGGTAAAGAGTATAGTAGATTTTGTTTTGGTTTGTTTTAATAGAGTGAACATGCAGGAGATTCAACTCATTCTCACAGATGGACATCTCTAGAATTAGTCAAAGGAACCTATACAACAGATGATTCGCCCAGTGATATCGCTGAAATCAGACTTGACAAAGCTGTTCCTTTAAAGGTAATTTTACCAATATGTTTCTTTTGTAAGTAAGCGGTATTACTCTGCAGCGTACTTTTTTTTTTTATAAATTTAAATGTTTTTTCTTATTTTTTTAAAGATTTTATTTTTATTTTTATTTATTTTTAGGGAGGGAAGGGAGGGAGGGAGGGAGAAAGAGAGAGAGAGAGAGGGAGAAAGAGAGGGAGAGAGGGAGAGAGAAACATCAATGTGCGGTTGCTGGGGGTTATGGCCTGCCACCCAGGAATGTACCCTGGCTGGGAATCGAACCTGGGACACTTTGGTTCCCAGCTCGCACTCAATCCACTGAGCTACGCCAGCCAGGGCTTCTGCAGCTTACTTTAAAAATAGCAAAAAGTATTCCTTTATGTGGTGTTTTAAATGTCTTAGAGTACCTACTATATTCATGTTATTGTACTGTATAATATTCTATTGTTACAAAAGATCTCATAAAATCTGGTATAGTAAAAAGTATTATATAATGAAAGGCATTGTTAGATTTTGGAGTCAAATAGACCTAGCTTCAGATACCTGCTCTTTCATGTATTAGCTCTAAGACATGGGGCATGTCATCATTTAACCAATCTCAGACATACCTGTATATTGGGAAGGATATCATACCCACATTGTAGCGCTGTTCTGATTAAATTAAATAATGGATACTTGCCTTAGTGTCTAACACAGTTTAGAAACTCAATAAATATTACTTCCTGTCTTTCCTTCTCTTACTGTGCCAACACTCATTTAAAAAATAAGTGGTTTTAATAAATAGTATTATTAAAGGTCATTATTACTTTACATAACTTAATTGCCTAGCACTAAATCACTTTATCAAAACAGAAATTTTACTTAACATCAAAATAATTACTAATAAGTAATTCTGAATGCAACTGTAATAATTCTCATTATAAGGCAGAATTTTACCTGAGTTCACCAAAAACTTCATCAAAAAGAGTTCAGATACCAGAAAACAAAAACCCTTTAGTGTGAAGTTCATATCATGAATCGTAAGGAACCATAAGACACCAGTACCTGTATCTCACATTTTCTGTGTGCAGTGTGTTGTGTTTTAGACAACTGTTTCTTATGGATGGTTTCTCCCATGTCTACCTATCTGTTCCGTTTCAATATAAACATCTCTTAATGTAAACATACATTGGACTCACCGTTACTTTTTCTTTCATTTAAAATTATTTCAAAAGTTAAATTTATCAAAGCAAAGTATTGTCTTATGTATTTATAATCTTTTGCTAAGGCGGGTACTCTTTACAGTGTTATTCGGAGCAGGAACTAGAGTCACACTGCCTGTATTCAAATCCCAGCTTTGTGACTTTGGGCAGGTTACTGAACTTCTCTGTACCTCAGATTCCTTATCTGTAAAACAGGGATAATAATGGTACCTTATGAGGTCGTTTTAAGGATTGATAGAATTAAGTCAGAAAAAGTACTTTAGGACAGTGTCTGTTAAAAAAATAAGTATCAATGTATTAGTTATCACATCCTGTTTGATTCACTAAAGACTCATTTAACTGAGTCATCACTGTATATAAGAAATTCAATATATTTTCCCAGTTTACTGCAGAGTTCTTTTTGTTTATCTTCTGTATATTATGAATACATACAAATATGTTTTACATTTTATTGTGAAGGAAAACGTTAAATACGCCGTGCGCTTGAGGAACTATGGGAGCCGAACAGCCAATGGAGATGGGGGAATGACCACCGTTCAGTGCCCTGATGGTGTGACGTTCACATTCAGCACATGCAGCTTGAGTAGTAATGGCACAAACCAGACCAGAGGGCAGATTCCACAGATACTTTACTATAGGTGGGTGTGTGTATACAGATAAAGTGACTATTTTAAAGTGGTAGGACATACACAACTTACTACCGAGGTAAGTAGTAGTTGTGTATTATAGTGTGTCTTTCTTGCACATAGTACTTGTGCTTATTCATATTAAAAGTTCTCATTTCTTAATGTGTAGTAGTTTTACTATAATAGTGAATGCTTTGAAATGTTTTTCTGCCATTATTTCTATAATACCTTTGAAACTTAGGTACTGGGCATGTGTGCTGTTGTCACTTTTACAGTTTGTGGTTTGCAGTTTCAAATTTAAATGAAATGTACTTATTTGTTTTTTTAAAATACCTAAACTGATAATCAGCTTACCCAAGTATTAGTATTGCCTTGATTTTTTTTTGTACAGTCTGCAGAATATTTTGATGTCTGTGAATCTAGTCCTTAGGGCCCTAGAATATGTAAAGATATATATTCCTTGTAATATGTTTAACAAAACCATTCCTTATGTAAACAGTGGGAAATTTTAAAATGATAATTTGGGGTTAAAAAAACTTTTAAGTATGTATTTCTCACTGACTAAATTTTCCTGTAGCAACTTAGCTGGAATCCTAGGGAGTAGTGCCTGCCCATCACCACATTTATTTTCAACCTGACTTAGCATCAAATCACTGAAGTTGCACATCACCTGCAGAGGCTCGCTGCTTCCTGTTTCCTTCATAAACAATATGGAGACATTGCCTAGGCAGTTAGCACAAAACAGTTTCTCTGGGTGTAGCTTTTCTCCCTCCTTTCTGCTTGTGAAATAGAGTACAAATACTAGGTGTTAAGTAGCTACATATTGGAATGTTGCTGCTGAGATACAAAAGCTTTCTAGTCCTTTCTCCTCAATCATAAAAACTTTCTGTTGCATATTACTAAAATAAACACTACATTTATCTCTTTCTCAAGCTATAGATTAAAAACTATATCATACACAAGAGAAGAGTTATGTATTTCAGACGCTGGAGAGCCCCTTAAAAGCATCTGCTATCCACCTTGGCCAGGTGGCTCAGTTGGTTGGAGCATTGCCCTGCACCAGGGGTGGTGTTCAGCCTTTTGGCATGTCAGTGCCACAGTGGAAGAAGAGTTGTTTTGGGCTACATATTAAATACATAGTTACACGTAATCACCAAAAAATCTCATACTGTTTTAAGTAAATTTATGATTTTGTGTTAGGCCTCATTCACAGCCATCCTGGGCTGCATTTGGCCTCCTGACCACAGGTTGGACATCCCTGCATGTAGACCACAAGGTTGCGGGTTCAGTTCCCAGTCAGGACACATATCTCTAGGTGGTGGGTTTGGTCCCTGGTCAGGGCACATAAGAGGCAGCTAGCTGATCAATGTTTCTTTCTCTTATACATGTTACTCTCCCTAACTTTTGCACTCCTTCCCCCTCTCTCTAAAACAATAGGCACTTCCTCAGGCGAGGATTTAAAAAAAAAAAACATCATCTGCTATCCAAGCTTTATATTTTCTGCAAAATACAGTGTTTCAGATCCCTTGATTTTATTTATAAAGCTTCAATATAAATACCTTAAACTTCAATTTAAAAATTGTTTTAAAAGATTAAAGTCTCTTAACTTTAATACCATTTTATTCCAATGGCTTCCAAGTATGTATCTCTAGCTCTCATGTCCTCTGAGCCCTAGAGTAAATATTCTGGTCCCTCTTTGATATTTTTATTTGAGTGACAGTAATAGAAATGATGATGATAGTTAATGTGGGCTGAGCACTTACTGTGTGCCATGCACTGCTCTGTTTTACCTGTGCTGTCTCAGCTCTTCCTCACAGTACCCTAGCCTATTCTAATGCTCTTCTCCTGTCCCTTCTGTACATGTGAGGGAATTGAGACACACAGGTTAAACTCCTTGCCTAAAGGCATGCTTAAAACTGTGGTCCTGGGGTTTGTAAGCAGGAAATTAAACAGTTCACTCATACCACTATGTCACACTTTCTTGTTAAGCCTGCTCTAGATAGTTGGCTAATACACATCTTAGTTCAGTGTGTCCAAATTAGTCCTCCTTATCCACAATTTGAGCCAAACTGCTTAGAGTCATTCTTGACTCCTCCTTTCCCTCATGCTTTACATCTAGTTTATCTAAAGTCCTGGAAGCTGTGCTTTTAAAATGTCATATTACCCCCAAAATTAACAGTCTCGTTCGAAACATCACTTCTATCTAGGTAACTTAAGAGCCTCTAAACCATTCTCCCTCCTTTCACGTTGCCTCCTACAGTCAGTTCTCCACAGCATAGCCAGAGCCAAGTCTTATTATTGTAAATCATATCAAGTTGCCCTTGCTTAAAATCCTCTCATAAATTTTCATTTGCATTCCAGTATAAAAGGTAGTTGTTACTGTGGCGTACACACCTCGCATGATCTGACTTCTCTTTACCTTTCCCACCTTGTCATTCTTCACTCTTTCTCCTTTCATTCCAGATACAGCTGTCTTCGTCCTGTTGTTTGATCTTACCAATCTTGTCCCTGTCAGAAATTGTCTTACTGTTCCTTTTGCATAAATACTTTTCCCTCAGATTTTTTTTAAAACATAAATGAATCCTTTGTTTATTATCAGTTTTAAGATAGACTCTCCTTCATCTTATTTAAAATAACTTTATGCTCTTATCCTGCTTTCTTCTTCTTTGAAGCCCTGTCAGTCCTGGAAGTTATTAGATATATGATTACATATTTACTTTTTTCACTTTCACTTTTTTAAGAAGATTTTATTTATTTATTTTAGAGAGGGGGAAAGGAAAGGAGAAAAAAAAGGGGAAGAAACATCAATGTGTGGTTGCCTCTCATGCACCTCCTACTGGGGACCTGACCTGCAACCCAGGCCTGTGCCCTAACTGGGAATTGAACCAGTGACCCTTAACTTTTTTAACTTTAAATGATGAGCTCAGATTTAGATACAATTCCTGGAGTTGGATCATGTTTTACTTACCATGTAAAATTATCTCATGTATTACTCATGTTATAGGAGTGAATTTGATGGAGATTTACAGTCCCAGCTTCTGAGTAAAGCCAATGAAGAAGATAAAAACTGTAGCAGAGCTCTCTCTGTGGTAAGCACCGTTGTTCGAGCTGCAAAAGACCTTTTGCACAGAGCTCTTGCTGTGGATGGTAAGATTTTTTTTACTTTCTTAATAATCATATTAGATTAATTATGCACAGAGTGGCTGAATAGGAACCATCTTGTAGAATCCCAGAGTGTTTTATTCATTATCAATTTGGATATACACATGCATTCATTTTGTATCAGTTACACATTTCATACAATAATGCAGAATTTTTTTAGAAAGTTCAAAAGCAGTTATCTGGTACTTATTATTTGCTTAGTTAACCTAGCAAGAGAAGAACTCTTGATTAGGACTGAGTCTACTTTATCCTTCTTTCTGTAGACAAAAAGCATTTTGTTTTCTCCTTTAGACCTGTTTTTCTTCCTCTATGTCCTATTTCTAGTAATGGCATCACCTTTACCCAAAGTCTGGGTAACTCTAAACATTTCCCCTAATTCCCTTGTCCAAGCTGAGCTCTGCCATTGGAAAATCCCCAAATCCCCAGTTTGTCCTCTCCTCTCTGTCTGTTCTCTCCTAGTTCAGGCCTCCATGGTTCAAGCATGTGTCCTCTTTCTCATGTATGGGTAACATCCTAATAATCTCTCTGCCATCTTTCCCTTACCCCTGTCTGCTTACCTAGTCATCCTCCACACTGGCAGTAGAGTTGTATTTACAAAAACATTCACTGTTACCCACCCCACATTACTGTTATTTATAACATTTGTTCCTGAGCTTCGTTGCACATCAGAATCATCTGGGAAATTTGCTAAAAATGAATATTCGGCCTATCCAAATTAGGGTTTTGGGCTGGGCTAGAAAACTCGGGGGTATATTTTTATTTGTTTTTGTTGTTGTTTTTGTAGAGCCTAGCCTATTCTGATGGAACAGCTGACCTAGAAACAAGTAATTTGGAAATAATTGATTGGTTTTTAACACAAAGGTCTTTACAATTTGGCGTCAACTTTTCTTCCCAGTGCCATGTTTATGGATAAAAATGAGTAAAATGTCCATCAGCAAAATGCTTTCCTTGGAAAAAGAGAAGGCATTATAGTTTAATAGCAAACATTTTATGTTCAGACATTGTTCTGTGCATTCTATGTGTATTAACTCAATCTTCACAACACCCATTGAGGGAGGTACTGTTGTCCTCTTTCGGAGATGATTACTGAGGCATGCACAGAGTAAGTAATTTGCCTAATGTCACACATACAGCTGTGTGTGGCACCAGGGGTAGTGTTTTAAAATCATGATTGTTACTAGGTTCTAATCCTGGCTCTATCATTTCAGAGATGTCTGGCCTGGGGCAAGATACTTAAACACCACGTGACTTGGTTTCCCCTTCTCAAAAGTGGAGATAATAAAAGTTTCTTATTGATTGAGATAGCACATGTAAATAAGCCCTTACAGTAGCGCCAGGTCCTTTATAAACACTCACTCAGTTGACATCAACTATAATTTTGCTCAAGATAACAGAATATAAATTTAGTATGGCATATATATTCATTTAAAGTGAAATTACCTTCTAACTACAGTTTTAATGTCTTTTTTAGCTGATGACATTCCAGAACTGCTTAGCTCTTCCAGTCTGTTTTCCATGCTGCTTCCCCTTATTATAGCCTACATTGGACCAGTAGCTGCTGCTATTCCCAAGGTGTGTAATTTAATTCTGTGTCTTTGAATCTTTTTTTTAATATTTTATTTATTTATTTTTAGAGAGGGAAGGGAGGGAGAAAGAGAGAGAGAGAGAGAGAGAGAGAAACATCAGTGTGCGGTTGCTGGGGGTTATAGCCTGCAACCCAGGCATGTACCCTGGCTGGGAATTGAACCTGTGACACTTTGGTTCGCAGCCCGAGCTCAATCCACTGAGTTACACCAGCCAGGGCTTTCGAATCTTTTTTTAAGAAGTAAAATCATTTTTTAGAATCTATATCCTTCTTATAAGATACTTTAATTTTCAAAGCAACTGGAGTACAGGTTACAAGTAGAGGTAGACACATGTTAAATGGTAGAAGTTATTAAACCTCTCTGTGTTACTAGTATTATTCACTGGATTACTATGCTTACGTATTGGCCTTCCTTTTAAGAATTTGGGAATGGGGTATGTATTTCAGAAATATGTAAGGAAGCCTAAGTTAGCTGAGATTTTAAATTTATGAATTGGATACCAAATCTCCATTTTGAATAAAAATAGCAATGTAGAAGGATAGGAGTATTTTTAAATTGTGAAATATTCAAGACAAAGAAGAAATTATAAAATGTTGATTTTTTCACATAATTATTGAGTAAAAGTTTACTGCAAGTCACAAAAAGCCAAAAGTATTTAAAAATACGGATTAGGTTATTTTCATGTAACATCTAAGACATCTGTGATAAATCTTTTTTTCCCATAGAAAAAAATTCTTGTCAAACAAACACTTAGAAGAAACTCTACATGGAAAGTCTTAGTAATAAGGATAACCAACAATTAAAGCAACTTTCACATTTATCATCTCATTTAATCATTTTTTTATACTAGGTGGCTGTAGAAGTCTTTGGCCTTGTCCAACAGTTGCTTCCCTCAGTTGCCATTTTGAATCAGAAGTATGCGCCCCCTGCGTTCAATCCTAACCAGTCAACAGACAGCACCACAGGAAACCAGCCCGAACAAGGCCTCTCTGCATGTACCACCTCTAATCACTATGCCGTCATAGAGAGTGAACACCCCTATAAACCTGCATGTGTGATGCACTACAAGGTAGGCACCGATTCTTAGGGAGAATTTAAATTTAAAACTTGGTTTGATGTTCTATAATGATATCTTAAAGGATGCTTAGCCTCTCTCTGCTCAGAAGAATAACTTCTTTTATAGTATTTATAGAGAATCAGAAGGTAATTAGATATAGTCAGATACACAGAATTGTCATCATTAAAGAGTATAGTTATAGGGTTGATATGAGTTGTTCCCATTTTTTTTATTGTTGTTCAAGTACAGTTGTTTCCATTTTCACCCCACCCTGCACCCCACCCCCGTCCCCCTGCTCTACCATCCCTGCCTCCCACCTTTGAACCTACTCGCTTTGGCTTTGTCCGTGTGTCCTTTATACGTGTTCCTTGGTGGCCTTTCCATTACTATCCCTCTCCTCCCCCCTTCCTGGTAACTGTCAGTTTGTTCTTTATTTCAGTGTCTCTAGTTGTATTTTGCTTGCTTGTTTGTTTTGTTGATGAGGTTCCATTTATAGGTGAGACAAGGGTGAATGCATATGTAGTTTTGCTAGATATTGACAAATTCCTTTCCACAGAAGTTACATACTGTTTTGCGTCCCTCCAACAATGAATGAGAGTGCTTGTTTTCTCACAGCCTCCCTCACAGTATGTGTTTGAATTTTGGGCCATTTGCCAACATAATGGGAGACATGGTTTCTCAGTTGAGTTTTAATTTATATTTATGTTATTATATCGAAGGTTGAACTTTTCATTTAAATGGAGAATTATAAAAATCCTTTACTAAAATATTTGACTTAGTTCTAGGTAATTTTTTAGAGTAATATTATACTTAAGAAATTGTTAAGGCTCATATTATACTCTACAGCTAATTCATAGACAGAATTTTCTCTGTGGTGCTGGTGACAGAAGCTTAAAATAGCCTTAATGATAGCCTTAAAAATGCATATCATTATATGTTACCATAAATTCATGTGTACAGTAAAACTACAGGTTAGGAAAATAGAAAAATTTAGTTTTTATCATAAGTGTGTGTGTTTATATTCTCACAATATATGAAGGTTTTGGCTAATGAAAAGCATTTATAATAGATTTATGAATGGTAGATAACCTTAAAGTGACTAAAACCTTAGGTTTTAGTAATTTATCTACTTATATTCTTTAAATATGTACTTACTGAAATGGGAAATTTACTATATAAGTAAATTATTCCACAAGAAAAATCAGATACCTGAATGTTTATGGATACTAAGTAGTTTTGTAATATATTTATAATGATATCAACATGTGTTTATAAATACTATAATGTAACATCAACCAAATATTAGGTAGAAAACAGTAGATATTGCAATCAGAGAGTAAAAATAGTTGATACTGAATGTTAATACCTTGATTTCTGATCATATTAAACTATTCTGTTAGTTCCTTACTTAAAAAGTATTTTACAAATATGCTGAAAGCATCATCTTTGCAGTATGATATCCTGTTTTTAAGTAGGAAGCAAAAATCTTATTCTCCTTAACAGACACAAGTGTCCTTTTGCCTACTGACCACAGGTGACCTTCCCAGAATGTGTACGGTGGATGACAATTGAGTTTGACCCTCAGTGTGGTACTGCACAATCAGAAGATGTCCTCCGTTTGTTGATTCCCATCAGGACTATTCAGAATTCAGGATACGGACCAAAATTGACATCTGTCCATGAAAATCTTAATTCCTGGATAGAGTTGAAGAAATTTTCAGGATCTTCTGGGTGGCCTACTATGGTTTTAGTGTTGCCAGGCAAGTTATTTTTTCTACTCTCTTTTCTGGTAAAATGCATACATTTATGATAATTGTGTTTAGTAAGAATAAATCATTGAAAATGTTTATTTGAGATTTAGAATTTCTTCAAGACATGCTATGTTTCCACCCTGGCTGGTGTGTCTCAGTGGATTGAGTGCTGGCCTAGGAACCAAAGGGTCACCGGTTTGATTCCCAGTCAAGGCACATGCTTGGGTTGTAAGCCAGGTCAGGTCCCCAGTAGTGGGTGTGCAAGAGGCAACCACACATTGATGTTTCTCTCCCTCTCTCTCTCCCTCCCTTCCTCTCTGTCTAAAATAAATAAATGAAATCTTTTTTTAAAAAAAGGCATAATATGTATCTGGATGGCAATTGAGAGGTAAGGAAGACTCTGGGCACGGAGTGGCATATCGTGACCAAGTTTCAGAAGAGAATGTTAGTTTGACTGAAGCAGAGAGTGAATATTGAGAAGTGGCTGTCTAAAGTTTGTACCAAACCACAGGAAAAGTGGATTAGACCTTTCTCCCCAATAACGAGAACTTGACTAAGGATTCCTTGCTTTCAAGAGAATTGGTGAACTGTGTGACCTGCTGAGTTATGTTAAAGCCATAGTTTTTAGTCTTTTTAGTCTTTTAGTTGTGTGTGTAAGTGAGAGAGGGGGGAGTGTGCACTAGAGCACTTTTGTTATTGCTGTTGCTGGTGCTTTTCTTTTAAAAAAAGTATGCAAGTTTTAAAACTATATGTTGTCTCTTAGTTTTGAACCAATTAATTATAATTATTCTTATAATCTCTCACACTAATAGCCTATTTGAATTCGGAAGCTTTTCTTCTAGTCAGACCTGCCTTGTGAAGACACCAGACGAGGCCAAATAAATGCCAGGGTAGGGAACTGCTCACTGTAGTAACTGACAGATAATTAATCGCCCATGTAACTTAAAGGTAGGATGTTTGATTAAGGAGAATTTGATCGTAAAGAAAAATAATAACAGTTCACTTGGTATTGTTCCATTATTTCTACTGTTTTTAGCACAGGTTTGTTCAGGTAGCTATAGGAAGCCTTCTAAAATGACTATATTTTTGGAATCTGATTGGTTTTGCTACCTCTCTTGAGATGAATAAAAGATAAAGTTGTTTCAGATTTTGAATTCAGTGTTAGTTTTTTCTTTTTGTAGGAAATGAGGCCCTGTTTTCATTGGAGACTGCATCAGATTATGTGAAAGATGACAAGGCTTCCTTCTATGGTTTCAAATGTTATGCAATTGGATATGAGTTTAGCCCTGGACCTGATGAGGTAAGAATGAACTATCATCTCATTCTCTTAAGGACGATTATGTTTCTAAGGGCTGCTATTGCCTTAAATTTGTTTGCTGCCTATAAATAAGAAGCCTGGAATGTATTTTGAGCTAGGGCATATAATTCAAAGTATTTTGTAATTTAATGGTGTTCAGTGGACTGTTTTGCTACTTTAAATACATAAAGAGAACAGAACCTTTGAACACGTAGTATAGTTGTACTTGTTCCAAACCAGCTCAACTGGATATGCCTTTCTGAGTAATAATTGAACCTGACTTCACAATGGGACTAACTTAATAACTCTTATCAATGTTTTAAATCATACAATATGACTTCCAGCCAAGATGGAGGTGTAGGTAGACACACTGTGCCTCCTCATACAACCAAAAGAAGAACAACAAATTTAAAAACAAAAAGTAACCAGAACTGCCAGAAAATCAAACTGTATGGAAGTCCAACAACCAAGGCATTAAAGAAGAAACACTCAGCCAGACCAGTAGGAAGTGCGGAGACAGGCAGCTGGATGGAGAGGACTTGCAGCAAGGTGGTGGCTGGCAGATCAGTCCCACATTCCCATGCAGACCAGGAGGAACAACTGGGGAGCAAGACAGATGCCACAACCCAGGGTCCCAGTGCGGCGAAAATAAAGCCTCAAAACCTCTGTCTGAAAAAAACCTGTGGGGGTGTGGCAGTGGGAGGAACTCCCAGCCTCATAGGAAAGTTCATCAGAGAGACCCACAGGGTCCTTGAACATACACAAACCCACCCACCGGGGAATCAGCAGCAGAAGGGCCCAATTTCCTTGTGGGTAGTGGAGGAAGTGACTGAAAGCCGACCAAGACCCCAGCAGGTGACACTGTTCCCTCTCAGACCCCTGCCCCATGCACAGCATCACAACGCAGCGAGTGGGTTGCCCTGCCCTGGTGAACACCTAAGGCTCCACCCCCTTACTATGTAACAGGTGTGCCGAGACAAAAAACTATGGCCCAAATGAAAGAATAGATCAAAGCTGCAGAAAAAATACAACTAAGCAGTGAAGAGATGCACAGTTCAAAACACTAGTAATCCGGACGCTCACAAAATTGGTTGAGTATGGTCACAAAATGGAGGAAAAAGTGAAGGCTATGCGAGATAAAAGAAATAAAAATGTACAGGGAACAGACAGTGATGGGAAGGAAACCAGTACTCAAATCAATGATTTGGAGGAGAAGGAAGAAATACACATTCAACCAGAACAGAATGAAGAAACAAGAATTCAAAAGAATGAGGAGAGGCTTAGGAGTCTCTGGGACAACTTCAAACCACCCAACATTTAAATCATACTGGGTGCTAGAAAGAGAAGAGGAAGAACAAGAAATGGAAAACTTATTTGAAAAAATAATGAAGGAGAACTTCCCCAATCTGGCAAAGGGAATAGACTTCCAGTAAGCTCAGAGAGTCCCAAAGGAATTGGATGCAAGGAGGAATACACCAAGGCACATTATAATTAAGTTACCCAAGATGAAAGATAAGGAGAGAATCTTAAAAGTAGCAAGAGAAAAGGAGAGAGTTACATACAAAGGGGTTCCCATAAGACTATCAGCTCATTTCTCAAAAGAAACGTTGTAGGCAAGAAGGGGCTGGAAAGAAACATTCCAAGTCATGAAAGGCAAGGACCTACATCCAAGACTGCTCTATCCAGCAAAGCTTTCATTTAGAATGGAAGGACAGATAAAGTGCTTCCTAGGCAAGGTAAAGTTAAAGGAGTTCATCATCACCAACCGTTTGTAATATAAAATGTTAACAGGACTTACCTAAGAAATAGAAATCAAAAATATGAACAGTATGACAACCAACTCACAACTATTGACATCTGAACCAACAAAAACAAACGAAGCAAACAACTAGAACAGGAAAAGAGTCACAGAAATGGAGATCACATGGAGGATTATCAGTGGGTAGGGGGTGGGGAGAATGGGGGAAAAGGTACAGAGAATAAGAAGCATAAACAGTATACAAAATAGACTGGGGAGGTTAAGAATAGTATGGGAAATGGAGAAGCCAAGGAACTTATATGTATGACCCATGGACATGAACTAAGATGGGGGAATGCTGGTGGGAGTGGAGTATAAGGTGGAAGGGAATGAGGGGAGAACAAAAATGGCACAACCGTAATAGCATAATTAATGAAATACATTTAAAAATCATATAATAATGCAAGGTGAAAAAATGATTATATTCCCTAAAAATGAATGAAAAATTTTTTGAATGATGAAACTTTGGGCCCAAACCTAATAACCAGAATAAGTCTTAATGTTGAATCTCTTCCATTGTTAATTTAACCATTAGCTAACCCATTTCTTTCCAGCTTCAAAAGTTATGCTTGAATGCAAGTTGCATTTGTTAATTATCCAGAGTATGTTCCAAACATGTGTTTAAAGCAGCTGATAGGTTTTTGTAATTCTACAGGGAGTCATTCAGTTGGAAAAAGAGTTAGCCAATCTAGGTGGGATTTGTGCAGCGGCTTTGATGAAAAAGGACCTGGCACTTCCTATTGGTAAGTTTGGTCACGTACTAGGTGTTCGTTTATGATTTTTTTTGAATTTTAAGAATAGAATATGCTTATTATAGAACATTCTGAAAATACATTAACAAAATGAATTTCTTTTTTAAATTTATTGGGGTGATGTTGGTTAATATTGAATATATATGTTTCAAGTGTACATTTCTCTGATAACATGATCTGTAAATTGCACCGTGTCCCTGCCACCCAAAGTGAAAAGATCTTCCATCACCATATATTTGCCTCCCCCTTTACCTACCTCCCCCATGACTTTCCCTCTGGTATTGCCATACTGTTGTCTGTTTATGAGTTTTAGTTTTATATCCCACATATGGGTGAAATCATATGGTTCTTAGGTTTGTCTAACTAACTTATTTAGCTTAGCATAATATTCTCAAGGTTCATCCATATTGTTGCAAATGGCAGTATTTCATCTTTTCTTATGGCTGAGTAGTATTCCATAGTGTACTGTATAGGTATTGTATCTACTTTACCCAATCCTCTATCAAAGGACACTTTGGTTGTCTCTATCTCTTGGCCACTGTGAATGATGCTGCTGTGAACTTAGGGTGTATATATCTTCACAACGAAATGCTTTAGAGTTTTTCAGATAGGGACCCAGAAAAGGGGTTGCTAGGTCATGTGGTAGTTATTTTCTTAATTTTTTGAGGAACTGCCAAACTGCTTTCCATAGTGGCTGTACTAGTTTACATTCCCACTCAGTGAATGAGGGTTTCTTTTTCTCCACAACCTCTTGAACACTTGTGACAGGTAGTCACCTGTCTTGTTGATGATTACCATTCTAACAGGTATGAGGTGGTATTTCATTGTAGTTTTGACTTACATTTCCCTATAGCTAGTGAGGTTGAACATCTTTTCGTGTATCTGTTGGCTGTTTGTATGTCTTCTTGGGAGAGGTGTCTGTTCAGGTCTTGTGCCCATGTTTTAATTGGATTGTTTGTTTGGTGTTGAGTTGTATGAATTCTATGTGTATTTTGAATATTAACTGCTTGCTGGAGCTCTTGTTTGCAAATACAATCTCACATTCAATTGGTTGCCTTTTTGTTTTGTTGTTGGTTTCTTTTGCTTTGCACATTTTTAGTTTGATATAGTTACATTCATTTATTTTTACCTTTACTACCCTTGCCTTTGGGGGTCAAATTTATATAAAATGCCAAGGTTCATAAATTCAGCACCTATGTTTTTTTCTGTGTAATTTATTGTTTTGAATCTTAGATTTAGGACTTTGATCCATCTTGAGTTGATTTGTGTAAATGGGAACAAAACTGTAATCTGGTTTAATTCTTTTTCATGTGGCCTTTCAATTTTCCCAGCACCATTTCTTGGGGAGGCTTTCTTTTCTCCATTGTGTGTTTTTGGCTCCTTTGTGAAAAATTATGTGCCCATATACATGTGGTTTTATTTCTGGGCTCTCAATTCTGTTTCATTGGTCTGTATGTCTGTTTTTTTCTGACAGTATCATGCTATTTTGCTAATTGTTGCTTTGTAGTATAGTTTGAAGTCTGATACCTCTGGCTTCATTCCTTTTTTTTTTAATCTTTATTGTATACTTTTTCCATTACTGTTTAGTCTCTTTATACTTCCTTCCCTCTGCAGTCACCACAATATTGTTCATTCTTTTATCTCAGGATTGCTTTGGCTATTCAGGCCTTTTTGTGGTTCCATATGAATCTGATGATTTTTGTTCTATTTCTTTAAAAAATGACACTGGGATTTTAATGGGAATTGCATTTTTCAATCTCTTTTAATAATGCTTTGTTGCTTTCAATATAGGTCCTTCACATCCTTTGTTAAGTTTATTTCTTAGTTGCTGTAGCAAAAGGAATTTTTTTCTTTTTCTAAATTTTCATTGTTAGTATATAGGAAAGCAGTTGATTTTTATACATTGATTTTGTATCTTGCCACTTTACTCTATTGTTTAAATAGTTTTTGATGAAGCCTTCAGGGTTCCCTGTACACAGAATCATGTCATCTGCAAAAAGTGACACTTTTATTTCTTCCTTTCCAATATGGATGCTTTTATTTTTTGTTCTTGCCTGATTGCTCTGGCCAGGCTTCCAGAGCTTTGTTGAGTGAGAGTGGTGAGAGTGGGCCTCCTTGTCTTGTGTCTGATTTTAGAAGAAAAGCTTTCAGTTTTTCACCTTTGAGTATGACTTTGGCTGAGAGTTTGTCATATATGGTCTGTATTGTGTTGAGATACTTTCTTCTATACCCATTTTATTGAGTGTTTTCATCGTAAATGCATGTTGTTGTTGTTTTTTAAAATGTTTTTTCTGCTCTGTTGATAAGGTCATATTATTTCTATCCATTGTTTTGTTAACCTGGTGTATTACATTGATCAGTTTGCATATGATGGGCTATCCTTGTGCCGTTGGACTGAACCCCACTTGATTGCGATATATTACTTTTTTAATGTATTGTTGTACTCAGTTTGCTAGTAATTTTTTTTAATTTTTGCTTCTGTATTCATCAAAGGTATTGGTCTTTAGTTTTTTGTGTGTGCATTATCATTGCCAGGTTTAGGTATCAGGGTTATGTTGGTCTCATAAAATGTGTTAGGAAGTATTGCCTCTTCAGTTTTGGTGAAGAGTTTGGGAAGGGTAGGTTTGGTAGAACTCACTAGTAAAGCCATCTGGTCCTGGAGTTTTATTTTTGGGAGGTTTTTGATGGTTGTCAATTTCTTCACTGTTTATCAGTCTATTTAGATTTTCCAAATCTTCATGATTTGGTTAGGAAGGATATATAATTCTATGAAGGTATCCATTTCTTCTAGGTTATTGATTTTGGTGGCATATAGTCTTTCATAGTATTCTAGTATGGTGCAGCCACTATGGAAAACCATATGGAGGTGCCTTAAAAAATGAAGTGTAGATTTCCTGTATGATCTAGCAATGCCTCTTCTGGGTATCTACCTGAAAAATTTGAACATTTGTTTGCAAAGATATATGCACTCCTATGTTCATTGCAGCATTATTCATGGTGGCCAGGGCATGGAATTTCATAGTCACATATACCCATGAGCAATAACTACTTAATGTATTGGTAGTTTGGGATTATTAAAATGGAGGCTGAGAGTACCCACGAGTCTTTTTAATTCACACACACATGCTCACTTCCTCCTTGTCCATGTTACACGCTACGAGCCAGGCACTGGCTTTGGCACTGGATATATAATACAAAACCAGAAGTTCAAGATACTTCTTAAATATCCCAGTGGACATACCAAGTAGACAATTAGAACTCATTGCTTGGAGTTCAGGGAACAAGTCAATGCAGTTGTCTCTTGAACATAGTTGATACTTAATACATGAGACCATATGAAAGATGAGCTGGGAGGAGAATGCAAATGAGGACAAGAGCCCGGGATCAAAGCTGGGACTTGCCAAACTGTCAAAGATGGACAGAGTATGAAGAAAAAACTACAAAAAAGATTGTGAAGGAACAGCAGCCAACGAAGTAGGAGTAAAATGAGGATGGTGGCTATGCATGGGATTTTTGAATGATGCTGAGAAGTCAGTTAAACTATACCCTTGGATTGAAAACATGCTGATTATACACTCAGTAAGAAGTCAAACAGTAAAATGAGAGAATGGAGAGTCAGGAACTGGAGTCAGGCTGACTATAAATGGCTCTCTGGAAGAGTTTTTGTTGGAGGCAGAACAGAAATGAGGCAGTGGCAGAAATGGTACCTTTTTATATGACACACATTTGCATGAGGTATAAGTTGATTTATAATCAAGACAGTAAAGGCAAAAACGAAGTTTAAAATATTTGTTAATTCTATCATGTTTATATGGTTTAACATTTTATTTTCACAGTATTTGGGGAATAGGAGGTATTATTATTTTCCCACAGCTCACCTCCAAAAGTTCATCTCTATCTCTTCCCTCAGAGACTATCCTTCCCACTTGATCCTTTCTTTCTTCCCTTCTCTTTCTCTACTCTTTTCTTTTTCTATTTCTTTTCCCCTTATATTCCCTTTTATCCTTCTCTATTCCTTTGCTCCTACTTAATACTGTTATATATATGAGGAAGTGAGATATTTTGTATTCTGTTCATCTGAGGAAAATTAGTATGTCTTTGGAGGAAATTTGTCAGTAACCATTAAAATTTTTCATGCTTATACTTTTTGATGTAGCAATTATATACATATCTGCATAGATATCAAAAATATATGTTGTAAGATAGATTAATGTAACAAACAGTGCTTGTGATTGTAATACCTAGAGTAGTCAAATTGGTTAAATAAGTCATATTAACATCCATACATTGGGAATGAATACAGCTGTTAAAGACAACAAAAAAGTATGTCCTGATGAAAAAGATGTTTGAATTATATTAACCAAGTAAAGCAAGTTGTACAAGGTCCCATTTTTGCGAACATTTTCGTAATATATGCATAAATGTGTGTATATGTGGGTGCCTGTGCATATGTTGACACATACATATGTAAAATTTATTATTTGCAACAATGTTTCCAGAAGAACACATAGGAAACTGTTGACACTTTATGTTTGGGAGCCGGTTGAGCAGAATTATTCATTCTATACTTTAGTATAACTTGAATATTTCTCTTTGAACATGTATTACTTCATTAGTAATATTTTATAAATTATACTATCAAAGAAAAATCAATAAATAAAATGTACATTCAGCAATAAAGGAGAACATAGCTAGAGGACATAGTCACTACCTTCTGTTTTCCTGCAAGTTACTATTGTTTACTGAAGGTATAAATCTTCTATAAGATAACCAAAATAAAAAGGCTCAGATACTGAGTAATCAGTTTCCTCGTTTTTTGGTACAAAAGTAAATACTCAAGATTACATATTTATATACATAAGTATAATGTAAATCTTTTGTAAATCACTCAAGGGAAGCATTTTGAGTATTGTTTTGAGAATTATATCTTATATTTACACTGAAAATCATATTTTAAAATATAACCACTGAGATTTATCCAGGATGATAATAGTTCTTTTCCATCTAGAATATCAGAATTGTGAAAAATGCAAAAGACTAGAAAGTTAAACCAAGTATTGATACATTTTATTAAAACTTTCCATTTATGCAGCAGGTAACGAATTAGAAGAAGATCTTGAAATTCTTGAAGAGGCCGCATTACAGGTATGGTCCCAAACATCATATGGATAAACTTTGTACATTAGTTTAAAAGCAGACATTCACTTAGATAAACCTTATTGTTCTTGAAAATCGGACTCATTCCTTAAATATTTCAGTCTATTCATTGGCAATCATAAATAACTTAAAATTTTTCTCCTTGGTGGTGGAGGTGACTCCTGTGGGCCCCCACCCTTGCTTTACTGTGTGGTGGGTGTTCGTGCTGGAGTGAGACCTAAGTCCTTCGGGAGGAAGAGCATCTGCCAGGTGCCGAGGGGGTTGGGGAAGGCAGCGCAGAGCTGTGAGCCTGTACGTTTTATTGACTGGTTAGAAAAAACAGGAGAAATAAGGTGTTAGTCATTTAAATAATATCTGCAGAGCACTCTGTAGTTTACAGTGTCTTTATTGTCTATTTTTGCAGTTACACTTTGAGGTCAGTATTGTCTCTTGCATCTTAAAATGACAATAACTGAAATTTAGAAAAGTTCTTCATCTTGTCTAAAAATTCAGCTAATTGGGAGATGGAAGCTAGTGTTTAGGTTTTCTAACACCTATGACTAGTTGATTTACATTGTTTTTTCTGAGATCAATTGATCACAGCAGTAGTAATAAAAACAAGCGTTTATTTGATCTTAATTTTTTCATGTGCTATTTCAAACACTTGGCATATTTTTAACTCATTTAGTCCTCACTGCAACCCTATGAATTTATTTCCATTTACAGGTAAGGGAACCAAGGCAAGCAGAACTCAACTAACTTGCCCAGAATTACACAGCTGTCAAGCAACTATAGCTAGAATTTGACCTCTGGCCATTTGGTGACCAAGTCCAAAATTTACTATATTTGGTGACAGAGTCCATGATGCTGATCATTATGCTCTAATCACAGAGAGTCATGGTGTCTTAACACTCACAGTGTTAAGACACCAGCCTTTGTTTTTGTTTTTAAAAAAGTTAAAACTTTATACCTTAAGATTCAAAAATGAAAGTGAATTCAACAAATATTTAAAAAATGTAGCAGTATCACCCAATATTCTAGTTAAGGACAACCATTAAAGAGTTCTTTGTATTATTCATCATCACAGGGATTATTATGGTTTATATATTGTCATTTAGCTAAGTATAAAGAGATCTTTATTGTGCTGCTGTTCAACAACAGCCAAAAATGATGTCCCACATTGCCCACCTTTTTGGCTGTAAGGTAGTTGTGGTGGTAGTCTAACCTGTATTAAACACCTCCTCCTTCTTAGGCAATGTAGCATGCATTTTATATGTGTTATTTAATTTAAATTTTATAATAGCCACAGAAAGGAGATTTATTTGAACAACATTTTATACATTTTACAGATTCAGAAAGTTCTGTAACTTGCTAGCTCACTAGAATACAGCTATAACTTGTCCAGAGCCAGCATTCACACTCAAGTCTCTTTGATTCGAAAGACTATGATTTTTGCAATTTCACAGCTTGTAGAATGTAAAAGTTACCATTATATACATTTGATAGTATTAGAAATACAATCCTTTTCTATGAAAAATATTTTGTTTTGAAATTTATTATGTAGTCATTAAAATGTTTCTAGAGTTCCACCATTTAAAGCAGGTCTTTCCAAAATATAGGCTTGCTTGTCAGATAGGTGAGAACTAAAATTTCAGTTTTATCTGCCTCTTTTTCTTCACTTCAGTGAGGCTTGGACAGATTAATGCAGTTTTGTGTGCAGCCACAGTCAAGCTTTCGTCCACTTTTTGTGCATGTCTAGACTGTGGTACCCACAACACCAAAGACAACAGACACAGCCTGTGCATGAGAACTGCCAATAATGGGGACACAAAAAGAGGGGGGCTCCACAGCTGCCTATACAGGGGAGTCCAGGCCCTGACAGATGGGGCTGTACCAAGTAGATGGCTAGAATGAGAGGATATGCACCATTCAGTGGACATGCAGATGTCATAAACCACTTTTTCTGTGGAAGGAAAGGACTGGGAGTATTTTTCCATATTTTCCTTCCTGGACGTTTTCTGCTTTGTAGGCTAAAGGAACACTGGAGCATGGGAAGAAAATGATTTCACCAAAAAGGCCTATCAAAAATTGTTTGCAAGTTCAAAAATTCACATATTTAAAGTTTTATATTTTAAAATATATAAATGTTCTCTTTTACCCAACAGGTGTGCAAAACCCATTCTGGTATTCTTGGAAAGGGTTTAGCTCTTTCTCATTCACCAACTATATTAGAGGCACTTGAAGGAAACTTACCACTGCAAATCCAAAGCAATGAACAGTCCTTCCTGGATGACTTTATTGCTTGTGTTCCCGGATCAAGCGGTGGGAGGCTTGCAAGGTAATGCGCTCTAAGTACTGCAGTTACTTTCTTTCAGGGCTTGCCTCCTTTTTGTTTCTGAAGAGAGATGAAAGGGGAGTCATTAGGATGTCATAGTGCTGCCTAAAATAATCTGATTTTTGTGTTTTGAACTAGCTGATGCATAATATGGTAGTTAATATTTCAAAATATTTTTAAAATATGATAGTTGTTAGTTGGTTATTTTAAAGTTGCCCAGATGAACTTTTGTTTTAAAAATATGTGGAATATGAGGGAGGGCTCCAAAAAACCTGGAATTTATTTATTAAAAATTGTGTATTTATTTTTACATGTTTAAACTTCAGTCACCTTCAAAGTACTCTCCATTTGACACAAAACACCTACCAGAACATTTTTTTTCCACTGCTCAAAAGCTTTTGAACTTGTTGATTTTAATGCCTTTTGTGTGCTTCTGCTGTTTTTTGTTTCACCTCTTCCACATTGGCAAAACATTTACCTTTGAGGATTTTTTTCATCTGGGGAAACAAAAAACAGTGGTTTGGGGCAAGTTCAGATGAATAGGGAGGGCGAGGCTCGGAAGTCATGCCATTTTTGGGCAAAAACTGCTGAACCCTCAGTGCACGTGTGCTCGTAAATCGCCCATCGTGACATGGGCAAATACATTGAAAGACTCTTCAAAAAAAAGTTCACTGAAGCTGAATGCAGCCTCTCACAACAATGCCAGCTAGTACACTGATACAGTGGGCTCCTAGAACACTCCTCTAGCAGTGGAAGCCTGTACTTCAAGGGGCTTGCCAGAAGATAATTCCATTTTGGGGGGTTGCCCTTCTTTGTACATGGTATAATTGAAAGCCTGTGTATTCAATGGTAATATTTAGTATCTAACTAAACTCCTAAATTTATTACTATATTTTATTTTAGTAAAATCAATAATACAGTAATGTGAGTTTTTTTCAAACCCATTATGAATAGAAATATAAATTTAGAATTTAAATCAAATCATTTGAGGTTGTAGAGTTCTCATTTATTTTGTTGCTGTTTACTTTTTTAAGCTAAAGAAAAATTTGCTGGCTTGTATGATTTCACAGTATAGAAATCTGATCCCTTTCCTGGTTTAATTTTAAAAATACAGAGATTACTGTTCAGTTTTTATAAACCAAAATTGGTCATTAGAGAAGAACAGAAAATCTTTTGTCAGTCTCACTGCTGTCTTTGTGGACATTTTTACACATAACAGAACTACTTATTACTCATCTCACAGGACAGCTTGAATGTTGATCATGAAATGAATTCAGGAATGGCTTTCACAAAATATAGAAAATTGGCAAAATTTATGTGGAAAGGAAAGTAATGAGGGAAGATAGCTGAGGAATTGCGTGAAGAGAAGGTGGACTGACTGGTCTCAAGCAAGCAGAATGCCATGTTTGCCCCTGCTTTTGCGGAGAAGCTGCTCTTTCCTAGGGTATTAGGCTGGCAAGTTAAGGCAGCTCTTCCTCCGTAAAAATGAGTGTACTTGAGACTTCAAGTTATACTCTACCTAAATTCATTTCCTTGATTATTTTAAATCAACCATAGTTAAAATTCACCCAAGTTTTCTGATTTTTAAAATTTAATCTTCATTGTATTTTTTTCCAGTACCATTTATCTCCCTTGTACCCACTTCCACCTCCACCCACCCTGTTCCTCCCACAGTCACCACATTGTTGTCCATGACCATGAGTCCTTTTTCCTTTTCCTCAGGCCCTCTACCCCCTAGATTGCCCCACCCCATCAGCCCCACCGCCTTAGGTGTCATCTGCTCTCCATCTATCAGACTCCCCATTTTCCTTGTTAGTTCAGTGTGTTCACTAGATTGCACATATGAGCTAGCTTGTATGGTATTTGTCTTTCTCTGACTGGCTTATTTCACTTAGCATAATGTTCTCTAGGTTCATCCATACTGTCGCAAAGGGTAAAATTTAAAATTTTCTTCTGTTTTATGGCCAAGTAGTATTCCATTGTATAAATGTCCCATAGTTGTTGTATCCACTTATCTACTGATGGACAGTTGGACTGCTTCCAAGTTTTCTGATTTTAAAATTTCTTTTTGTAATCCTTAGAAATCTTGCCTGATTTGGCATATTTCTTGATGAATTCATCATTAACAATTTCCAAGGAAGAGACTTACTCTGATTATATGTGAATCAGAAATGAAGATGATGTTCGGCATTTTGATACATGCTTTATTCATTTAGTGTAATTTCATGTTAATCATTGAAGATATTGATGACTGTCTTTTTTTATTGTTGTTTGTTTGCTTATTTTTTCATTTCTGCTAGGTGGCTTCAGCCAGATTCCTATGCTGATCCTCAGAAAACTTCTTTGATTCTGAATAAGGATGATATTCGTTGTGGTTGGCCTACCACCATAACTGTTCAAACAAAAGACCAGTATGGGGATGTGGTACATGTTCCCAATATGAAGGTAATTATATAAAAATTAAAGTAGTAGACATCTGTGCACTGACTATTGTAACTAATAAAACTTTAGAAATGACAAGTGTCTAAAGTACGTTTGTAGGACTCTCTTTACATGTATGTAATGGAGGAAGCCAAAAAATTGTTTCAATGACTCGTTTATATTATTAGCACATATCCAATTTTCCAAGTTATATACTTTTATTTATTTTTTACATTTTGCTAGGTGTTATCCTGGTGCAAAAGAAGGATAAAAAAAAAACTGTCTATATAAAGGGTGCCAGGTGCAGAGAGGGAAGGCCCTCAGTACACAGTGATTGAATAAATCAGTAAAAGAATACATTTAAGAAATTGTATATATTTTTTAAAAACTCAAATATATTTCTGCATTCTGTACGGTTGAAACGACATTGAAAATCTAATAATGATGCTTATTAAATAAATTAGAGATAAATTTGGATTATAAAAGAATGAAGAGTGGAAATAGTCATGTGGTGTGTTGATGAATATAGTTCTTTGGACACCTCTTCCATAAGACATTAATTAATAAACACATTTAGAACATATGTGTAAAGGTAAGTCCTTTATGATACAACCTATTAGTGTAAATATCTTATTTAAAACTTTTATTATATTTCTTAAGCCAGGCAGTGAGGCACAAATACCATATGATCTCACCTTTAACTGGAACATAATCAACAAAAGAAAGAAGCAAACAAAATATAACCAGAGACATTGAAATTAAGAGCAATCTAACAATATCTGGAGGGGAGGAGGGAGGAGACAGTAGGGAGAAGGGTTTTCAGGAACCACTATGAAGGACACAAAGATAAAACCAAGGGGGAGGGTGGAAGCAAGGGAGTGAGGTGGGTTTGTCCAGGATAGGGGCGGGAGGTGGGGTGGGGAGAAAAAGCAGACAACTGTAATTAAACAACAATAAAGTAATTTAAAAAAGATTACAATGATGCAATTATAAAAAAATATTATTTTTGAAAAAAGTCAGTACTGAATGAAAATTTCTATAGTCAATCCTCAGCTGCCCCTGCACCTCAAAGTGATTTGCTTATTTGGAGCTTAGAGTTGATTAAGTCACAAAAGCCCTTTGAATAAGAGCACATAATTTTACCTCCATTGTTTCTTTTATTAGAAGTACTTGGTCCATTTTTTTAAAGGTTTTATTTATTTTAGAGAGGAGAAGAGAGGGAGAAAAAGAGGGAGAGAAACATTGATGTGAGAGAGAAACATCGATCAGTTGCCTCTTGCATGCCCCCAAACAGGGACCTGGCCTGCAACCCAGTCATGTGCCCTAACTGGGAATTAAACCAGCAGCCTTTTAGTTTTCAGGATGATGCCCAATCCACTGAGCCACACCAGTCAGGGCTACTTGATACATTTTTTATGTATTTTTTTTAATGTATTTATTTTCTTTTAAAGAGAGGGGAAAGGAGGGAGAAAGAGAAGGAGAGAAACATCAATGTGTGGTTGCCTTTCACACGCCCTCCACCGGGGACCTGGCCCTCAACCCAGGCATGTGTCCTGACTAGGAATTGAACTGGTGACCTTTTGGTTCGCAGGCCAGCACTCAGTCCACTGAGCCACACCAGCCAGAGCCATTTTTTAATTTATCCCATGAAGAAGCACAGTGCCAGTGGAATGTTCACCTGACTCATAGTACCAAAAAAAAAAAAAAAGACAAGAGCCATATAGTTCACATATCTTAAGACCATTCATAAAATTGTATGGAAAAGTATTTGAACCCCGATACTAGACAAAAATCAGGCTTTAAAGTTTTGACAATGATCCACACCGTAAAGATTTGCATCATGACCCAAACATACATAAGATGAAATAGTATATATACTCTTTATTACATACAATGTGTATCATACATATTTACACCCAGAGCTGCACTGTGGTATTTTCTATTTTACTTTTCTATGGAAGATTATGCCCCATTGAAGTGATTTCAAGCCCACTATGAATTACTCTATCAAATGCTAAAAGCAAGTTATAAAGAGAAAAACTGAATAGAGAATAATCTTAATAGTGACACCAAAAAAATGACTCTGAAGAATTTTATCACAATACAAAACACATTAATGTGAACCTCAAAATGATGATACCTGATAAAGAACTAAAGTGGTATTTAAATTGTAACTTTGTGACTGCCTAGGAATCAAGTAGTCTGTGCTAATGCATAAATAAGCATACAACAATAAAATGTTTTGTTATAATTTTTAGAATAATATTTCTGAGTATTGTTTTTAAGCTAATTTGTACTTTCAGTGTTTCAACATGCCTTAGCAAATCTGTTCTTTTTAAAAACTTTTTTTTTTGTTTTTCAATCACAATTGACACAAAATATTATATATTAGTTTCAGGTGTGCAACCCAGTGATTGTACATTTATATAACTCCTGAAGTGATCATCCCAATAAATTACTGCCCATCTGACACCATACATAGTCATGATAAGTTACTAACTATACTTCCTATGCTGCACTTTACATCCCCGTGACTGTTCTGAACTACCAGTTTGTACTTCGTAATCCCTTAATCTTTTCACTCATCTCCCACCTTCCCCCATCTGGCAACCATCAAAATGTTGTCTATGTCTATGAGTCACTTTCTGTTCTGCTAGTTGCTTTATTTTCCTTTTGTTTTTGCTTTTAGATACCACATATATATGAAATCGTCTGGTGTTTGTCTTTCTCTGTCTGACTTATTTCACTCAGTACAATACCCTCTAGGTCCATCCATGTTGTTGCAGGTGGCAAGATTTCATTCTCTTCTATGGATGAATCTTATTCATCTCTCTCTCTCTCTCTCTTTCTCTCTCTCTCTCTCTCACACACATATATATATCACTTTTTCTTTAGCCACTCCTCTTTTTATGGACACTGAGGTTCCTTTCATATCTTGGCTATTGTAAATAATGCTGCAATGAACATATGGATATGTATGTCTTCTCAATTTAGTGTTTTTGGTTTTTCAGACAAATACCTAGAAGTAAAATTGCTGGATCCTTCTTTGTCTCATGTTAATAGCCTTAATTTTAAAGTCAGTTTCTTCCAATATAGGTATTTGTTGCTATCCCGGCTTTTTTGGATTTTTGTTTCTAGTTTCATGAAATACCTTTTTCCGCCCCTTTACATTCAGTCTGTGTGTGTCTTTGATTTGAAGTGAGTCTCTTGCAGACAGCATATGCAAGGGTCTTGGTTTCTTACACACTCCGCCACCTTATGTCTTTTGATTGGAACGTTTAACCTGTTTGTTCTTAAAGCAATTCTTGATTGATTATGTATTTATTGCCATTTTATCATTCATATTTTTTATCATCTTAAATCAGATCCCTTAATGTTTCTTATAATACTGGTTTGGTGGTAATAAACTCCTTTATCTCTTTCTTATCTGGGAGCCTCTTTATCTGTCCTTTGATTCTACCTGTGATAGTTTTGCTGGATTGAATCATCTCAGTTGTAGGTCCTTGCTTTTCATCACTTTGAATATTTCATGCCAGTCCCTTTAGGCCTGCAAAGTTTTTATTGAGAGATCAGCTGACAGTCTGATGAGATCTCCCTTGTAGGGAACTAACTGCTTTTCTCTTGCAGCTTTTAAGATTCTTTGTTTGTCTTTAACCTTTGCCATTTTAATTATGATGTGTCTTGGTGTGGACCTCTTTGAGTTCATTTTGTTTGGGACTCTCTGCTTCCAGAGCTTATATGCCTATTTCGCTCACCAGGTTTTGGAAGTTTTCTGTTATTATTTTCTCAAACAGGTTTTCAGTTTCTTGCTCTCTCTTGCTCCTTCTGCCATTCCCATAATATGAATGTTAATGTACTTAAAATTGTCCCTTATACTTTCCTCATTTTTTAAAATTCTTTTTTCTTTTTACTGTTTTGAGTGTGTGTTGCCTGCTACCTTATCTTCCAAATGGCTGATTCAGTCCTCTGCTTTATTTGCTCTACTACTGATTCTCTATAATGTATTCTTCATTTCAGATGTTGCATTCTTAATTTCTGAGTGGCTCTTTTTTATGGTTTTTATCTTCATTCGTGTTTCCTCTTTTTAAGAAATATTGATTGATTGATTTTATAGAGCAAGAGAGAGAAAGAGAAATATCGATTTCTGTCATTCCACTTACTTAATGCATTCATTGGTTGATTCTTATATGTGCCCTGACCGGGAATTGAACCTGCAACCTTGGTGTATTGGGATGACACTCTGATCAACTGAGCTACTCAGCTAGGCTGTTTCCTCTCTCTTTGTTGAAGTTCTTATTGAGTTCATGTACTCTTCCCCTAAGTTCATTGAGCATCGTTATAGCCAGTGTTTTGAGCTTTGCATCTGGTAGATTGCTTATATCCATTTTTGTTTAGTTCATTTATGCAGTTTTGTTTTGGTTTTTCATTTGGGACATGTTTCTTTGTCTCCTCATCTTGACTGCATCCCTGTGTTTGTTTCTGTGCATTAGGTAAAGTTGCTGCATCCCCCAGTTTTGTTAGAGGGGCCTTATGTAGTAGGCGTCCTCTAGGGCCCAGTGGTGCATTCTCCCCTCATCACCCAAGCCAAGTGCTCCAGATGTGCCCCCATGTGGGATGTGTGCACCCTCCTGTTGCAGTTGAGTCTTGATTGCTGTTGGCCTGTTAATGGGAGGGATTTGTTTCCGGATCCATCTGCTATGAGTGCTAGCCTTGGCTAAACCAAGGAGCTGCTGTGCAAGGTCTCACCCCACAGAGCAGGACTTGCTTCAGTGGGGCTCTGGTGCCTGATGAGACTGCCCCTTGAGTGTGTCACTTGTAGAGATGGTTGGGTAGTTCTCTGGCATGGTCCACCAAGTGCACTGGTGCGGGGTTCTCCTAAGAGATACAGGCCAAAGTCAGCCACCATGAGCTACCAAGCAATCTACAAATGGCTGCTACTTCTGGTGGTCTTGGAGGGGCCCAGGAAAGGCAGAGTTGGGAACAGAGGCTGGATGCCACCAGTTCCAGACCTGGGACCACTTAGCAAGAGGTTCAGGACATGTGGGTCAGATGCTGCTTGTTTAGGGTTTGTGAACCTTTGAGAGATTTTTAGGAAAGGCTACAGAATGAACCAAGATAGGCCCTTTGTATGGAAAAGTCACTGGAAGTGGCTTGGGTGGACCTACAAATTGGGTGGGTTAGGGTGACAGGGAATCACCAGGACGGGGCAAACAAGCATTAGCCATGTTAATGGAGACTCTGATATGGGGTTACCCTGCTGGCTCTGTGGGGAGAGGATTCAGTACAAGAACAGTGGTTTCTGCCAGCATTGTTGTCTCGATGAAAGCTGTCCCTCTAGCCCTTGCCTCAAAACTAGACAGTTCAGTTCCTCCTTGTATGTGTCTGGTGCTTTTCAAGTTGCCACCTCAGCGGTGGAGCTCAAAGCCAGTGAGACTGAGTAAGTCCATGTGCGGGCTCTTTAGGAGAAACACCTGGGACTCCAGGAGCCCTTCATTTCTCATCCATAATTCCCACTGGCTTTCACAGTCAGAAGTTACGGAACCCTGGGCTTGGGGGCCTGATGTGGGTGAGTCTGAGACTTCTTGCTCAGGGGGAACCTCCTGAGTTTTTGACTGCTACACATGGGTGTGGGACCAGCCCATGCTGTGTTTCTGCCCTCCTCCCAGCCTTAATGTGCCTTCTGCATATCCTTAATTATAGGCCTTCTTTTCAGCTAGATTTCAGGCCATTTTGAGTGATGGTGGTTCTGTAGTTTAGTTGTAATTTTTATGTGGCGGTGGGAGGATGAGAGTACTGCATTTATCTACTTCATCATCTTGACAGAAAGCCACAATTCTGTTCATTCTATCTACAGTAAAGTAGATGAAAGATACTCACATTTTATTCTTGAAGAGATTTAGTTTGAAAGTTAATTAGATTGCTTAGATCAAATAGCTTATGTTGGTGACAGAGTTATCTGAAAGTACTCTTTCTGCACTAGAGAAAACATCTTTAGAGTTTAGGTATAAGATTTTTTTTATGTGTTAATTTCTAAGATTTATCAGTGGAGTGCATTTTCTTTCACAGAAAAATACAGCTAAAATTGAGGTTAGCATTTAAAAATATATGGAGGTCGTGAGAAAGTATTTATATTTGAGTTACCCTGTAAAATAATTTAATGTTAGCCTCTTCAAGAAATTAATGTAGACTCATTCTTTTATCCTTTTCTGTACTTTACTAATGGTAACATTTATTTTATGTTTTGATGTGTGTGATTATTTATTCCAAAAAAATATGTCTCTCTTTTATACTGTGTTCAGGATCCATATTGTGAAACCATCTTAAGGGCATTCTGGCGCTATTAAATAAGCGCTGAGGGGAATGCCTAAGATGGACCAATTATAACATAATATGTATAGAATTATGAGTCCACAATTATAAATTGCTCTTTTTCACATGTCACAGACAATTATATAACAATAATATTTGGTTTTTATAATATCATGGTTAGGTGGAAGTGAAAGCTGTTCCCGTTTCTCAGAAAAAAACATCTTTACAACAAGAGCAAGTGAAGAAGCCTCAAAGGATCCCTGGCAGTCCTGCCATCACAGCTGGGCCCTCTAACACCGACAAGACTTTCGGTGGGCTGGCATCGCCGAAGCTGGATGTTTCGTATGAACCGATGATAGTGAAGGAAGCTCGCTATATTGCCATAACAATGATGAAGGTGATTTATTTTACTTACCAGAAAAATTTTATTTTTCACTATTTAACCAACATTTGAGCCATTCAAATTCAGACACAAAATTATAGGTCTAGAGAATTGTTGATAGATGATAAAATTGTGACAGTTTTTAGGATGATGTTATTTTCCTTCAAAGAGGGTTTTCATTTGCTTTTGGAAGACATCTAGAGGGGATTGCCAGTAATAGAGCAAGTTAATCCAATCAGAGATTGAAATGGTTGAAAGTTGGATTTTAGTTCCTAAAAAAATACTTGTCTGTTTCCAATTTACCATTCATTTAAGGACATACCCTTTCAGGAATTCAGCATGTACCTAACCAGCCCCCTTCACTTTTGGGGTTCTCCCAAATGCCAGGCTCATCTCTTGGTCTCTTCATGCTTTTTAGCTTCCTTATGTCTTCGTACAGATTTTTAAAAAATATTTCATCCAATTTTTTATCTTCAGAGGCAGCATTAGCCTAAATTACCAAGATGGTGTTAATTTAAGCAGAAGTTAAAAATTTTGCCATTATTGGAATGAAGTTGTGAGCCATTCAAGGTTTTCAAAGAATGACACAATTAAATTTGTGTTTTATAAGGATCATGGTGGATTGTGGAGAAAGTGATTGGGTAGAAGGTCAAGAGCCATGGTTTAGTTTAAGTATCTAGGGTACTGTTGATTTAGTCTGGTGAGATATGCTGATCCCTTGCACTATAGAGTTTTCAAAATAGATTCATGAGACATTTAGGCTCAAAAGGACTTGGTGGCAAATGGGGTTGGAGTAAGAGAAGGTTCACATTTTGAGCTTCAGTAGTGAGGTTGGTAAGTTGGAGGAGGGGGAGTTTTGGTTGAGGAGGATAATAGTTGGGGATGTGATGCATTTTAGATGTCTCTGAAATAGCCATATGAAGATATTTACAAAAGGAAGTTGGATTACAAACCTGAAATTATCACAGTCTGACCTCAAGAAAAGATTTGAGAATAATCACTTGGGTTAATAAGCACTTGGATTACTCATAAAGTTAGATGTCTACTTTCACGAATGAAGAGAGAAGTTCCAGGATGAGATCCTGAGAAACACCAATATCAGTGATCCTCAAATTTGTGTCTATGATAGATAGATATAGATAGATAGATAGATAGATAGATAGATAGATAGATAGATAGAAAGAACGAATTTGCGTCTATCAGAATCATCTGGAGCATTTGTTTAAAAGGAAAATCTTTCAGTCATTCAAAGATTTTGATCCATAGATCCAATAGATCTAGAGAAAATTTCAGCAATTTGCATATAAAACAAATATGCAGAGTGGTTCAAGTTCAAAAACTAAACTTTGAGAAACATTGGTTTACAAGATAGATAAGAAAAAGAAAGAAGAAAAGGTAAAGAAAAAAACACACACATCAACATTAATAAGAATACCAGCCAAAGAGATGAGCTGAGACATAAACTAGCACTGCATGTATTGTTGCCACTTCTACCACCAGTTTACATATAGCATCTTAATCCTCACAGCAACCCTCTATAGCCTGTTTTTATTCCCATTTTACATAGGTGGAAACTGAAGCATGGAGAGGTTAAGTAACTTATCTAAGGCTCGCAGTCTGACTCCAGATTTTATTTTCCTAACTACCCTCAACTACCTTATTGCACATCTTGAAAATCAAGGAAAGAGCAGTTTAAGAAGGGTTAACAATGTCATCCTGCACAAGTGAAGTTTTGAAAAGGATCTAGCAACAGTGAATTCACCAGTGATCTTGGCAGTAGCGGTTTTAGAGGCATAGTAGATTGATGAAGAGGAAGTGGAAATAGCTAAAGGCAAAATGAATATAGTTTTTTAAGATGTTTGAGTATAAAAAGAAACAGAGGAGATGGAACTGAGTGAAAACTTTTCAGTTTGGGATTGAATATAGACAAATTTATGTGTTTTAATACTGATAAGGAGACAATTGAAAGGAAGGAAACCCCGAAGACAATCTGAGAGAGATAAAAATATCTAGAGTTCAAGTGGAGAGATTAGCCTGAAATAGTAGTATTACCTCTTCCTCTTTTGTATTGATTTTTTAAATATATATATTAATGATACATATCCCATTTTGGTTATGTGAATTACAAATCACATCCTCCCTGGTGGAAGCTTCTATTTGCTCTTTCTTTATAGTGTCTTTGTTCTGGAGAAATTTAAATTTATAATATACTCACATTTCTTCTAAATTTGTATATGGTATTATTATTTATATTTGCATATTTAACACACCCAGAATTTAGTTCTATAAGTTGTGTGATGTAGCTAATTGAGTGTTTTCTTTTTCTCCTATATGGATAACCATTTCTCTCAGCACCATTTATTTATTTAAAGATTTTATTTATTTACTTTTAGAGAGAAGGGAAGAGAGAGAAAGAGAGGGACTAAAACATAGATATGCAAGAGAAACATTAATCAGTTACCTCTCACATGCCCCCAGCTGGGGACCTGGCCCTGCAACCCAGGCATGTGCCCTGACCAGGAATTGAACCAGTGACCTTCCACTTTGTGGGATGATACCCAACACACTGAGCTGTACCAGTTAGGGTATCTCGGCACCATTTATTGCATGTTCTATTACTGCATTAATAAAGAATGTTTCTAGTGATTTTGTAATTCTTACTGGCCTCTTTCTTAAAGGTTTATGAAAATTACTCATTTGAAGAACTACGTTTTGCATCACCAACTCCCAAGAGGTAAGGATCCTTTCCTCAATGCATATCCAAAACATGTCAGCTGCTTGAAACTAAAATCATCCTGCATTTCAACTTTATTTTCCATAAATAAATATTTTATAGCATTTTAAAATTTTGGGTAGAAATATACTACAAATTTTATAGTGAGTAGGTTTGCAGATACAATGTTCAGCTGTAGTACTACCAAAATGTTACATAATATTAAGCTGATGGAAAAAGAATAATATCTAAAACATATAATTGGCTTGTTTAGGGCTAGTTTGTTTTCTCTTTTTGAATCCTTCTCTCCTTCATTTATTGAGTTGCAGAGTGATTTCAATGTACTTTTGATTATGAGGTCTTAATTTTTCAGCCCCTGAGTAATTCTGTTAACTCCAGATTTAAGCAGATTTTTTTTCACTTAGTATTTCATTTGTTGACTAAGAGAAGTACTTTTAAAAATAGATGCTTGGAAAAATATTTTTGATGGATTGTACTTTAGAGAGCTCACCTCCTTAGAATGCAGAAAAAGCTCCAAAGTGAATCAGAAAAAGCATAAGTACTTACACATATTATTTTGTGTCACATGACTTATGAGAAACTAACAGGTTACTATGGCTTTATTCTGGTCTGTATACAAAATAGAATCTTTTTTTTATAACTCTTTTTTTTAAATATCTTATTTATTTTTAGAGAGGGAAGGGAGGGAGAAAGAGAGAGCAAGAGAAACATCAATGTGCGGTTGCTGGGGGCCGTGGCCTGCAACCCAGGCATGTGCCCTGACTGGGAATCAAACCTGCGATGCTTTGGTTCGCAGCCTGACCTCAATCCACTGAGCTACACCAGCCAGGACATGAAATAGAATCTTAATGCAGAGTCTAGAGAGGTTTTGAAATAAAGAAGTAGTATTTTGTCTCTGGCTTAATTTTAGTCACAAAATGTCTATACAGTGGAAGCATATAATTTTTATAAAATAAATGTGAGTCCTGGCCAGTATGGCTCAGTTGTTTGGACCATCATCCTGTAGACAAAAAGGTCACAGGTTCACTTCCCAGTCAGAGCACATACCCAGGTTGCAGGTTCAATCCCCCTTTGGGGCACATATCATTAGGCAAGCGATTGATGTTTCTTTCTCACGTCAATTTTTCTTTCTTTCTCCTTATCTCCCCCTCCCCTTCCTCTTTCTCTAAAAGCAATGAAAAATGTCCTCAGGTGAGGATAATATAATAAGTGAATAAAAAATGTGGACTATATGGATGTATCGCATATTAAATAAGAACTAATTGGCCATTTGCCAGTAAGTAGGTTTTTATATGCATTGGGCATTTTAAACCTAATTATAATAGACTTAGCTAAGGAAACATGCTTATTCTTCAAATACTGTTAAGCATCCACTCTGTGGAACGCACTGGTAGAGGCTCTGGCATACTTAAAAATAAGATAGACAAGGTGCTGATGCTCATAGCATTTATATTACTGTGGAGAAACAAATAAGTAAACAAAATAGTAATAATAAATGAAGTTACTGATAGTGATGGGGTTGGGGGAAGTTCATTCTAGGCAGAGAAAATCTGGGATGGATGGAGTTTTTGATGTGTTTGAGGAACAGAAAGATAGTTAGTCTGTAGAATAATGAACAAAAAAGAAAATAATCAAAGACAACATGAGAGAATTATATAATGACCATATTTTATAGGGACTGGTAGGCCATTTTAAGGAGTTTCTTAAAACTCCTTAAAATTTTCTCCTAAGTAAATTTGTTTGGAGGGTTTTCCAAAAGAATCTGGGGACAGATGTAACCTGATTAATAGTTTTAAAAGATCAATCTGGCTTCTCTCTGGAGAATTAATTATAGGGGAGCAAGAGTGGGAACAGAGAGATGAATTTGACTATTAAGTTGCTTGAGTGGTAGTGAAACAGAGTTAGCAGTGGAAATGATGAAGTGGATGGATTTGGGATATAAGAATTATTCTAAGTAGAAGATACAACCAACAGCCTTGCTGCTGGAATAGAAGTAGAAGGTGAACAAAAGAGAAAAATCGGGAATGATTGCAGATTTCATCAGCTTCAGATATAGCAATATAGGGCTTGGCCAACTTTGGCCTGTAGACCAATTCAAGCCTGTTTTTGTAAATCAAGTTGTATTAGAGAATAGCTTTACTCATTAGCTTATGTATTGTTTGTGGCTTCTTTCCCACTATAATGTAGTAATTGTGAAAGACTGGCACAATAGACTAAGTATCATTACAGAAAATGCTATTGACCTCTGGTATAGATTATCATGATTTTTACAAGGATCAAAAAGCCTGAAAAATTAACAGGTGTTTTTATTGGTGTTGTTGGTCTATTTTGTTTTGGTGGGTGGAGGAGTGAGTGGGAAATAAGAGTTCTTCTTTGGATATATCGTAATTGAGAGGCCAAGGTGCCTCGTAGTTCTCTAAGTACAGTTATTTCCAGAGCCACTGGAAATACCAGTTTGAAGTTTAGGAGACAAATAAATGTCCCCTAGTGTGGGAGTCATCTATATAGCCATGGCATTTAAAACTGAGGAATAGATGAATGATCAACTAGAGAGATGCTATTCAAAGTAAAAAGAAGACCTAGACTCAAATCCTGGGACATTCCATAGTTCAAGAGTAGTCAAAAGAGAGAGAGCCAACAAAACACAGAGAAAGAATGGCCAGTGAGATTAGAGGAAAACCAGGAGACTGTTGCAGAAGCAAAAGGAAAGCATTTCACGAAGTTAGGAGTTGTCAGCTATCAAGTGTTACTGAAAGATGCTAAGGACAAAGAAACGGCCATTGATGACATTGACGTAAGCCATAGCAATGAAGCATTTGGAACAAAGGCCTAGTTAGGATAAGTTGTGGAAGAAAATTAGAAATAAGGAAAGGGAGATGGTGATTATAGACAATTCTTTAGGTAAGTTTTGATATAAGTGGGTAAAGAGATATGAGACCTTATTTGAAAGGGCTGTAATATCAAGAGGAGGTGGTTAAGATGAGACATTTTGAGGATTGTTTGTACAGAGATGAAACACAAATAGAAATGATCCAATAAAGTAAGAGAACTTGATGATGAATGAGAAGTAATTGTAGCAAGAAAGTGCTAAGGGAATGAGATTGGCAGCACAGAGGGGCTGACTTTGAATAAGACCCAGGGTACTTCTTCCATTGTAACAGGAGAAAAGGCAGGGGAAAGTAGGTTTATTAATCTGAGTAATAACTGAGGAATAGATTGTACTTCTTGCTTCTGTTTTCTCACTGAAGAAAGTGATGCCATGATCATCAGAGTGAGGAATGGGTGATAGAGGATTGAAGTTGGGAAGAAAAAATGAAATTCAGTCATTTTGGAGAATAGGAAAACTTACTATGGTAGGGCAATAGGATTGTCACTTACTGTAATAATACAATCAGAAAATAAAATAATGAGAAAAACAGAACCAGAGACAAGGAAACATGGAACACACTGATAGCCATAAGAGGGGAGGAGGGGGCTGGGGAATGGCAGAAGGAAGGGGAAGGGACTAGTCAAAGAACGTGTGTGAATGACGCGTGGACACGGACGAAAGAGAGGGGACTGACTGTGGGCGAGGGGTGGGCTGGGTGGAGGGGGACGAAAGGGAGAAAACTGGGACCACTGCAATAGAATAAACAATGAAAAAAGGAAAAAATTAAATATTGGCTGATACATTTTAATGATGATGTTAGCTATTTAACCAAAAGTAACTTTTCCAATATTCGTCTTATTTCTTTTTAGACCCAGTGAGAATATGCTGATCCGTGTCAATAATGATGGCACTTACTGTGCAAATTGGACTCCAGGAGCCATTGGACTTTACACTATTCATGTTACCATCGATGGCATTGAAATAGGTATTTTTTTAAAGTTATGAGTTACTTAGTGCAGAGAACTAGAATCAAAGTCATCTTCTGTTCTAGTCTGTGCTTTAACTTGTATCGTAGACTTGGACAGATTTTATAACTTATTTGGAACTTTGTTTCCCCCTTTATAATGAGTACTGAATTAGTATATTCATTCTTAAGGTTTTAAAATTTTGTAATAGTTTAATGGTGTTGTTATAGCCCTCATGGCTCCTTCCCCCATTCCCTAATGCGACTGGTTAGGTGTGATCGCCTCCATGCTGCTGTGTAACTGTGCATGCCTCACCTCCTCCTCCTCATGGGACGTCTGTCCTCCTTCCCTGGCTGTGGGTGGAGACCACCTCATTCGTCTTTGGTCTTCTGATCTAGCGCGGTGCCTGGCATGTAATGGCTGCCTGTAAATACTTGTTCAGTGAGCGAATAATTTCTTTGTCTACCACTAACTTGGGAAAGTATATTGCTTTTGTTTGGGACATTAATCTTTTTCTTTTCTTTAGTTTTAAACTATCCATGTAATAGGACAATAGAATAAGAAACCTCTAATAAGTGTCTATCAGTATGAATTCCTTGTGGCATTATCTTTACTGATGCTCCTTGAGAAACAGGGTTCCTGTGACTGAGTAGATTTAGAAAACCTAATATATTGTAGTCTCATCTTCGACATTCATACAGTTCACGTTAACATATTAGGGATTCCAAGAAGTTCTGAATTTAATCTTGTCTCAGATGGAAAAAATCAAGAAATGTGATTTCACTCATATGTGGCTTGTAAAACTGAAAGCAACAAGCAAACCAACAAGACAGACAAACAAAAACTTAGTAGACACAGACAACAGTATGGTGGTTGCCAGAGGAAGAGTTGGGGCAGGGGAGGCAGAAGAAGGTATAGGAGTAATAAATGGTGATGAAAGGAGACTTGACTTTGGGTGGTGAGCACACAAATACACTGTACAGATGATGTATTATATAATTATATACTTGAAACCTATATAATTTTATTAACCAATGTCAGCCCAATAACTTTAATGAAATTTTAAAAATTTTTTTAAAAGATTTTATTTATTCATTTTTAGAGAGGGAAGGGAGGGAGAAAGAGGGAGAGAGAGAAACACCAATGTGCGGTTGCTGGGGTCCGTGGCCTGCAACCCAGGCACGTACCCTGACTGGGAATTGAACCTGCAATGCTTTGGTTCACAGCCTGAGCTCAATCCACTGAGCTATGCCAGCCAGGGCTTAATGAAATTTTTAAAAAAGAATCTTGTCTAACTGTTAAATCCTTACATAGAACCCTAGCATGTGGGGAAGAGGGAGACAGGGTAGAAGTAAAAGTAATCCTAATTAGCATTCCATCAGAATATTCTTTGGGAAACTCTGATGTAAGTAGTTTGTTTTTACAGTGAAAGTAAAGAGGTACTTTACTGATGTAACTGTATAGAACATACATTAATGTAACTGTGTGGAATTAGGTGTCTCAAATTCATCTGTATCATTCCAGCAACCTTTATCCTCAGCCTTTGCTACACTCTCCCTTATTTCAACGTACCCATAAAGCCTTAAGTTCAGCAAACTTGTGTTGGTTCTGAGGCAAAGCATTGTTCTAGGTAAGACAATTACTATCAAATATTAAGTTTATTGATGATTGCAAAATAAAACAGACAAAACTATGTGAAGTAGAATATAAGTAGCAACACGAAAAAGGTATAAACAATAGGAATTCAAAAGTGGGGTAAGTCAAGAATAGCTTCATCTTTGCTAATAGTGGGGTGAAGGAAACTGCTACAAAGTAGGTGAGAAAAATATTCTTATATTTGTTTTTGCAAATGAAGAAAAAGTTTCATATTTACTTGGAATCCATTTTCTTCCCTACCTTTCTAACTCAGCTTTTTCCCAAGGTGACCAAACTGTCAGTAGGCTGAGGCCTGCTTGAGCACAGGCCAAGACAGATGATAACTCATTAGAACAATGATGGTAATAATAGCCAACACTTACTGAGCACTTAATACACATGCAACATTGTTTTATTCAGACCTTATATATTTTAAATCATTTAGTTCTCATAACAGCCCAGTGAGGCCGGTGCTATTCTCGTTTGCATTTGATAGATGAAAAAGTTGAGGCACCGAGAATCAAATAGATGTGGGAGCAAACAAGACAGCCTGATGTGAGAACCCCAGCTTTTAAGCACTGCACCGAGTTGCGTGCTAGTGATGGAGATGGCTGGTAGAGGCGATGAGTGGTGCTCTGATCTGATGATGTGAGAGAATGTTCAATCGTATGAGGATTTCTTTTTTCTTTTTAATTTTTTTAGTATAATTTCAGATGTTTGGACAAAGAATGTGAGCCCTTCCTTTTCTCCTTGAACCCTAAGACACCCGTTTGGAATCTCAATGCCATTTTCAAACACTTTTCTTGTTTAAGACAAACATCAGTCATCCTAAAATGACAGAATTCAGATACTTGTTTAACTGTTTAAAGTAGCCTGTGAATGTGTATAAGGCTAGGTTTCAGATCCTCCCTTCTTGTATTCTCAAATGTTACAGTTTTCTTCCTTTTCTTACAGATGCTGGACTGGAAGTAAAAGTAAAAGACCCACCAAAAGGGATGATACCACCAGGAACTCAGCTGGTCAAACCAAGGACTGAACCTCAACCAAATAAGGTTAGGGTAGGATGAAATTGGAACCTGAATCGGTCAGAGACTTAATTAATTTCCTTCATTGATGCTTCAGGGTGGCCATCAAACACCTAATATTTTACTTGATTTTAGTATTTGAATTCTAAATATTCCTAAATAATTTTGAGGAGTACCTCATAGTAATTCTAATCATTTCTAAATTGTATAACCTATACTTTTTGGCTTCTTTGTATAACACTTTGTATAGGCCTTGTATACTTTCTGTTAATTGAAAATTTACAACTAACAGAAAGTCTTCTGTTCCTAAGTGTTTAAAGTTTGCAAGGTCAGAGTACCCTGTGCTACTAAGAAAAATTAATTTCCTAACATTGAAAATAAATAGAGGAATTTTTGTAAACTGTTTATTAAAAGGGAAACATTTGTAAAGAATTTATGTTCTACCTTTCTTTAAAAAAAAACTCTTTTCTCCTTTTTATCATGTCCTCAAAATTTAGAAAGGAAATTATAAATATATTAATTTTAAAATATCTTCAGTAATATACATTTCAGTACTTTTGTTCTGTTGTTATAAATAAACCACTGTTGTTCACACAGGGAAAGCAGCTACAAATAATTTTGGAAACTTCCTAAAAATTAATAATACTTTCAAATCTGTTTAATTTTATCGCTTACTATTTATAAGATCTCTGCTCCATGGTTTTCCTGTCGGTTTCTGCTTGTCTCAGGTTCGGAAATTTGTGGCCAAGGACAGTGCAGGGCTCCGCATCCGCAGCCACCCCTCCCTGCAGAGTGAGCAGATCGGCATAGTGAAAGTCAACGGGACCATCACTTTCATCGACGAGGTAACTTGTCCTGGAACAGCTGGTACTGGATTCTGGACGGAACGATTTCGCATTGTTTGCACAATAATAAATACAGAGTTTTCTGTTAGAATATGTTTTAAGTAGTTTGGGTAGTGTTTGAAAAATTGGCAAAATGTGTTCATTGGGTTTCAGACATTTCATTTATTTGTATTTATCAATAAGAAAGTAACTAAAATTATATTTTTAACATGAAAGGTTAATATAGTAGTCTGAACCTGTATAAGTACTCACTTAAAATGGGTATAGTTCATCTTGAATTTTTTAATGTTATTTGTTTTTAAAAATGTGTTTATTGTATTGCTTTAACTTTGACAGTACATTTTTTCTAATAATAGAACCACTTAACTTCTGATCATTAAAATCTAAATTGAGGGAAAGGAAGACTCATGCTCTTTTGGGAAACATCTGATTTTATGTTTAACTTATCTTAAAGTATTATTTCTTTGTACTTTTACTCCTGTGACACTGTTTTTACAATCTCACTGTGTGAATTATCACATTGCCTGGCATTCCCTTGCTGCTTTTGTTCCTTAAAGGTTCTCTCATACTTACCATCTGCAAAGCTAGATGCTTATCTCTATGTCAGTCATTATTTGCCTGTTTTGTAGCCTCTCAGCCCTTGCTAGCTTCACAGGAGTTACAGGAGGGCATGGCTCCTTTTGTTGCTTATTTCTCAGATTCACAATGACGATGGTGTGTGGCTGAGACTGAATGATGAGACAATAAAGAAGTATGTGCCTAACATGAATGGTTACACTGAAGCCTGGTGCCTCTCTTTTAATCAGCATCTTGGCAAGAGCCTTCTGGTCCCTGTTGACGTAAGTAAAAGAGCATTTTAAAAAGCATTATTGGTACACTCTGTCCTCATTACAGGACATTCTTTAAGACTTTTCAGTTCTGAGATAAACAACTACTAAATAACTTTTACTTTATAAGTCCTTGAATTCTTGAGAGCTTCTGTATAATAGAGGTGGACTTTGACAAAACTAAGAACCTTATTATGATCCATCACAGGCAGAAAGTAATAAATGAAAACTAGGTCTACTGAGTTTTTTCAAAGAGGTGGGGAATGAGAGTGGTTTGCATATTTTTGTCTTTCTTATTCACATTATTGTTTGGAATGAATGCCAAACTAAATGTATTAAATCAGTATCATACCTTCAGAAATGTGTAACCGTTTATATGTTGGCATTTTGTAATTAGTTCTATGTTTTAAGTTTAAATCTTTTCTTTCTTGGCTTATAATATATTATTGTGTTAAAATAAGAAGGATTTTTAGACTTGTGATACTATAATGTACTAGTTGAAGCTAAACTCTACTGTCTGAGAGAATTCATTGCACCTCTCTCGCAAATGCAGTAGAATATTTAGAGCCAGTGTTCACAAGATTGCTACACAGCTAAATGTGATAGTAATCCACAACTCTTTTTGTAATCTTTTAACTAATTTTTATTTTTTTTAAAGATTTTTAAAATTTATTTTTGGAGAGAGGGGTAGGGAGGGAGAAAGAGAGGGAGAGAAACATCGATGTATGAGAGAAACATTGATCAGTTGCCTCTCGCACACCCCCAACTGGGGACCAGGCCTGCAACCCAGGCATGTGCCCTGACCAGGAATCAAATCAGCAAACTTTCAGTTTGCAAGATGATGGCCAACCCTTTAAAGTGATGACCAGTCAGGGCAACACTTTATAATTTAACCATAAAAGTATGATTTTTCTTTTTCATCACCATCAAGTGATGTATTCCTTATGACACTGCTAATAAATAGCACTGTTAAAATTTTATTTTTAAAAAAACTTTAATATTTTAGACAGCAAATTTCTTAAAAATCAGTGTATATAAAGTTAGTTTATGATATCAAATCATTCAATATATTGTTTATTTTTTCCTTGATAGTTCAGAATAATGTTCTCCGAGGAGGCCATTATACAAGATGATTCTTTGGGAAAGAAAATGTGGGAACTTTTATTTATATTTATTGATCTCATTCTTTTTTTATTCTTTTGTATATGTTTTATAATATAGTAGGGAGAGATATGGCTATATATATTTTTAACCCATAGATATGTCATTAAAAAAACTTAGAATGTATTGGCCTACTGTTTTACTGAGGTTAAGCTAAAGAATGACAAATCTATAATTAAAATGTAAAATTTTAAATAAACCAGATTTTCTTTTTAAAAAGATTTTATTTATTTATTTATTTATTTATTTTAGAGAGAGAGGAGGGAAAGGTGAAAGAGAGGGAGACATTGATGTACATGAGAAACATGATTGGTTTCCTCTCATACTCCCCCACCCAGGGGCCTGGCCAGGAATCAAACCTGTGACCTTTTGGCTTGTAGGACAATACCCACCCCATTGAGCCACACCAGTCAGGACTAAACCAGATCTTCATAAAGTTTCCTCAGATTTGTATCTGCAGGTGAAAATGTAAAAGATTGTGACTTTCTGGAAAAGAGGTACCACTCCAGAAGAGAAAGAGTAATTCTTTTACCATCTGTGGCTAATAAGTTGGCCTTAAATGATTTGAAGTCATTTTTTATCATAATAACCAAAGATTATTCAGGATTATGAAAACATTTTAAAGGAAGTAACTGTTATGGTCACTTTACTTTTTTTGTTTGCAGCTTTTTAAAAAATTTTCAACAATTTAGACTTTTGTTTATTTTAGTTCCCTAATAGGGCATTATATTATCTTTACTACCGCCTCCACTCCAAAATTCTTTTCCTAATTTCTTTGCCTGTTCATTTGAAAATATACTTTTGAGAAAAAAAGGCAGTCACAGATAAAACAAGAGAATCAACAAAAGTAGAAAGGAAGAGCAAGAACTATTGTGTGTTGAAATTCTAAATTTCATAGTTTGATTTTGGAACATTGGTGTTTTATTATTTGATGCTTTTAAACCTCATCTAAGACAATTTGTAGTAGACAGGGTTCTTGCCACCAGAGAGAAGAGCAGTTAAGAAGGTAAGAGAGAAAGCAGAGTAGAGTAAGCCGTACAGATGCTTGTTGACCGATTTTCACTGGAATGTGAATGAGAAGGCTGTCACTGACTTATTTGAAAACACCTTCATGCAAAATATTGGGGATAGAAAGTAAGGTGAAATAAGGGCTTCTGGTATTTTGTAGTCTTTATGTATAAGAATGACTTGAATTCTTTTTTCATGTAAATTCAGTGTCTGGCCCTGACTAATGTGGCTCAGTTTGTTTGAGCATCATCCCATAAACTAGGAGGTCAGTGGTTCAGTCCCTGGTCAGGGTGCATGCCTAGGTTCACTCCCAGGTCGGAGTACATACAAGAGGCAATGCATCAATGTTACTCTCTCACATTGGTGTTTCTCTCCTTCTTTCTCTCCCTCTCCTTCCCCTCTCTAAAATCAATAATCGTATCCCTGGGTGAGGAAGGCTGAGTTTTTCTGGTTCCTTTATTTTAAAGATAGTAGTGACTTAAAGATTTTTATAAAGGAAAGACACCAGTAGGAAAGGGGTAAATAAAAGATGTAGATGAGAAATCTGAAGGAGGAAAAGGAGGAAAACAATGGAATAAGGCCATATTTTGAGAGTTGTTTCTGTGAAGGAGCAGAGGATACGTGTGGCAGTAGATAAGTTTTTAGGGATAGAGGGAGGAAGGGAAGAGGTTGAAGGAGACCATGATACTTCCATAAACTAGAAGAGAGGAGAGCTATTCATTGAGATAGAAACAAATGGATTACATCAAAGGGTTCAGAAATGTCATGAAAATGAGGAACGATGTTTAATAGAAGTAGAAGAAGGATCTGACAGGAGACTGCTTGTTTTGGGATTGTTGAGCCACTAAGGACCGAGTGAGACCACTGAATGGGTCCATTCTGGACACCCTTCCTCCCACATAGATCTAAGTGTCCAGAATTTCAGGAGCCAAGGAAGCAGATTATAGCATTAACTGGACTTTTCTGGGATGCTGTGACAGAAAAATGGGGATGAAAAGGAGTTTCAGAAGCTGACGGAAGAGCAGTTGAGATCACCAGCTGGTATCTGGCCTCAGAAATATGAAAGGACAAATGGGGGGCCCAAGGGACTTGCAGACTTAATAAAATCCTAGAACAGTATAGTGAGTGCACTGTAGTTAAGATCTGGAAGGATATATGCAGTTTGTGTGATAAAGTAGAATATTTGTGTATGATTTCATAATTAGAGCATTTTCTTGAATGAGATGGCCCATTAACGTGACCATGAAAAGGTCACCAAAGTGTAGTGGAAATGAAAGTCATTGGAACTGCCTCAGCCTAAGAAGTGAAAGGCAAGGCAGTCGGATGGTCATCAAACCTACAACTGAAGACACAGTGTGATGGCAACACTGTAACTGGAAAGGTTGAAGTTGAATTTGTTTACCATTGCAGTTAGGGTCCATTAGATACCAGTGTAGTCCTGAGGCAAATGGGAATAGTTTGATGTTGGATCAGGGAGAGGCATACAGCAGTTTTGCTGTAAAAATAAGAGAACAGGGATATATGGTTTATATCTATGTGGTGACTTAAGATGACAGGATACAGCATAGCAAAATTAACTGGCCTAGGGCTCCAAACAGATCTCAGGTGGCCTCAGTGCAGGTGTCAGATGAGGACCTGCACAGAGTCAGACATATGTGAGGACAGCCTGGTTTCCCAGGGCTTGTCTGCAGGGCGTGCAGCAGGCCCTTACACAATTCGTACATTTTCTGTTAATTATTTTATTGTTGTTCAGTTACAGTTGTCTGTTTTCAATGAGGACCTTACTCTGTAGGGCTAAGCCATAGAGGGAATAATGGTATTTGCACAGAGAGGATAATAATTCCATCTCATCCCTTAAAGGAACTAATACAATAAATACATCTTGTTACTTACTCCTTTGCATCTCTTACTATTAAAACATTTACTACTGGGAAAGCACTTTATACTATTCTTTTTTACTTCAGTCCATTTGTGAATAAATCAACTATAAGTCTGATGCAAAATTGCAAAACACTGATAAATTAAAATAATGAAGGACCAATGCCAATAACTTAAGATGCAAAAGTACTGAAAACTTACCTTCAACAATCTTTATATCTGCCTCTTCAGCCTTTTCTGGTGAAAACAATTTTGCATTCACTTCAGTGTTTGTACCTTATTTGGGTCCTGACTCAAACCAATTTTTGGGAAGAGTGGGAGTGGGGATTGGAAATTTAAACACTGCCTAAATATATGATGAACTACTTTTTAAAAAAGATTACCATAGATAATCGCTTATTTAAAATAAGCTTTAAAGTGATTTTTATTGCACTGTTTGTTTACTTACTCAAATTATAGAACTCTTGTTTTCATTGTAGATATGTACTTTAGCTGAATTTTAGCCATCTAACAAGTTCTGTTTAAACAATATTACTAAAAAATAATGGCATTCTAACTTCATTCCTATGGGACTTTAACTCTGTTTTAGCATTTCAGTAATATTCTACTTTAGAGATTAAATCACATTAGACATTCATATTATAACTATATATTTATAAAAATATTTTTAAATTAATGGGAAAAGGGGATAAATATGAACGATGCAGATTTCTTATCTTTTCTTAGTTTGCCAGGCTTGAAAAAAATTTTAATTATATTTTATTATAATTACAGTTGTCCTCATTTTTGCCCCCTCCACCCAGACCCCCGACTCCCTCAGGCAATCCCCACACCATTATTCATGTCCATGGGTCATGTGGAGAAGTTCTTTGGCTACTCCATTTCCCATACTGCACTTTGCATCCCCATGGCTATCCTGTAACTGCCTATTTGTACTTCTTAATCTCCTCATGTCTTCACCCATT